AGGTTGGGCCTCATTGCTCGCGATGCCTGCGCCCGTTTCAACGACTGCCGAACGACATTCGTTTCGCTTAAAGGCAACAAACACCCTTTTTTTTTTTCTTTTTAGCAGGCGGAGGTTTGCCGTTTGCTGGGTGTTGGGAAAGAAGCGATATTACAATTTATCGTCATTCCGTCCTTTTCTTACGTCCAGGATCGCTCATGGTCTACTTCTTCTTCGTTCTTGTTTTGCTTTCTAGAAAGAAAAAAAGAAAAGAGGCGGTTGTCTTAGGAGGTTGTTGCGTAGGCAGATCACGTCGGAGTCGCGTGGAATGGATAGCTCCCGCCTTCCTGTTCGTCGACGCAAACTTTTGCTTGACAGTTGGGGCTGATAAGACAAAGGCCACCGTTAACACGATTAGTGGCGTCATTCGATTAAGCTTGACGGCTCGCGCTGCGTGCAGCTCAGGAAACTAGATCGTTCCCCTTTCCTGTCCGATGCTTCCAAAATTTGGAACGGATCGAAAAAAAGTAGCCACCAAGCGGGCTTTTAAGCTGCGCAACATCGTTTCCGCCTTCCAGCTGCTCTTTGCTAACGACGGCGAACGGTAATATAAGATGTTCTTTTTCTCCTCGTTTTTCTTTTCTCGACTGTTTCATTACAAACTCTACGAAAAAAAAATTTTTTTTTGTGTTTTTTTAATTTATTGTTTGCTTTATTTTCTCCACCTTCAAAATACCTCCTCTATTTTCTTTTCGGCTGTCCCGACTAATTTTTGAGGCGTAGGAGGCAGGGCACGACTATCAGGAAATCCGAGTTGGCGGCGGGTTTTGTCGGGGGGCCCTGTTCGCTTTTTGGGAAAAGAGAGGCTCGCCGTCAGACGTGATTCATAAGGCCCGTGTCCATTTTTGGGCGTCCGCAAATGAGTTATCGTAATTTCGTAAAGTGCTCGAGGGGGCTTCTTCGGCCCTGTCGAAAAAAGGGTCCCGGGCAGAGTTTGACTCCCGCGGCCCTCTGAAAACGGCCAGCCGCGCACTTCCAGACAGCAAGCACCGCCTTTTCTTTTTTTTCTTTTGTCTTTCGGTGAGCTTGTTGGAAAGTTGCGAGCACATCAAAGCCCACTTTGTTTCCTAACCTTCGCTTCTAAAAAAAACTTTTTTTTTTCTTTTTAATGATGAGTGAATTTGCGTTTCGCGTGCAGCAATATTTTTCTCTCCCTGAGCGGCGCGATTTGCGTCGCCTGAGCGGCACAGGGCGGTCGAACATTTCTGGCGCCGCAGCGGCCGCCGCTGGCCATTTGCAGCCTGGCGGGAGATCACCGGACGAAACATGGGGGGAAAGCAGAGAACGCCGTTGCCACGTTGCAAGCGGGCCACACGTAGGGGGGAAAAAACGGTTTATTTCTTGCTTTTATTTAAACCTCGAAGAGTCTGTGCGGTTCCATGAAGGCTTTGAAAGATCCCGTATCTCCTTCACTTTGGTGTCCGAACCTGTATCTATTCGCATACAGGCCCGGCCTGTTTCACTTACCTCCCACCAACGAGCTTTCCAAAACTCAAGAACCAATTGCGTTTTTCGGCGGTGATTAGGCCTGCTTGTTTTAAAAAAATAAAACTAAAATTAAACGTAGGAAGAGCAAATAAGGCGTGGCATTAGAAGCCACTGAAATCCACATTGCTGCGAGCAACACGGAGCATCGCAGCGGAAACTGAAGTATGCGCAACTAACGAGCCCAGATGGGGGACACGCGGGACATCCGCCTGGCTCCGACCCAAAGTCTCAAGCCAGTCGCCCAGTGGGTCCGGTGCTCGGGTAACGCCGTAGAAGATGCTTTTTAGTTGTTGCTTTTTTTTTTTTTTTGCCAATTTCCTAAACGTCATTCTGGTGATATCCCGAACACTACCTCATGATAGTTAGGGGGAGACAATTGGCTTAGAAGGGCGGGAGGAATCGTATGTTTGTCTTTTCAGAGTTCGGCTAGCTCGAGCAAGCTACTGCCCGTTACGAAGGGTAAAGCCATTAAAAACGCTCATGGAAGTGAAACCTTGCGAATCGCACCGCCGCGCAGGCAGCGATTTTGGCCGCGGAATCGCACGACGTCAGACTCGCTCGAGTGTTCGTTCGCTCGGCGAGACAAAAAGTGCAGCTCCCTTCGCAATTTCGGGGTGCGGAAGGTGAGGGTCATTGCACCAGTTACGTGAGGGTCTCCCGCTCGGCGCCGTGTGCAACTCGTTGCCCTGTCACGTTTTTGTGCGGCTTTCGGAAATTCAGCGGTCCTTTACGGACGACGCCTTCGAGAAAGGAGACAGGAAACACCTCGAAGGGTTTTCGCCGACTAACCATCGCCAGACAGGTTCTTACGAACGAGGAAATCACGGCCGTCGTCTGCTCTGGTCCGAGCTTCGTCGCACACGTAATCACTCTCTGACCTCATCTCCTTCACTCAGACGGCCAGGTCATTGAAAACCTGGCGATCGTATTTTGATCGAAAAATTAGTCGGTATTTGTTGCCTTGACATATGTTGCTCTTTTTCTTTTTTTGTTCCAGTGAAGTACATATGCATCTGGGACTCTCTATTAAATGTTTCGAGGGTAACTGCAAAGAAAAAAACTTTTTTTTTTTAATAGTTTATTTAGAACAAGCATGTTACAAAACAAATCTTCCCCGAAAAAACATTTTTTTAGCAATATTTACGCCGCAGGACGTAATTTAGTCGGAGTCACAACTTTTCCACATTTGAAACTCCCGCTCCTTCGACGCGCGCGGAGTGGCTGCTATCCGTCACTCCGTGACGTATAGGAGCCACTACGTGACGTGTAATACCAACTCTGTGGCGCGCGATTTAAAACGTACGAAATAGCCGCAAACTAAAATCAGTCTCGCGCAATAAATATTGCTGTAAAAAATTTCGTTTTTGGCAGAAAATTTGTTTTGTTACATGCTTGTCCCAATCAGGCTGTTTAAAAAATACACCTTTTTTTCTCTGCAGTTACCCTTTCAGAGTTCTGTGTAGAGTGTGGTTGTCTGTGAAAGTCCTCCATGTTTTCATTCCTTCTATTTCGAGTACTATTCATAATCAGAGAGCGCTCGCCTTAACCACTTTTGCATGTGCAGTGCTATATTTAGACTTTTAAACCGAGCGATTCTCCTAAATGACTCGCTAAACTTTCTCGTTTTCTTTTCACAATTCGTGATATATATACTTGCGATGTTTGTTTTAGTGTGTGTTTTTCTCCGTAAGTTGCAGCTATTTGCCGGATCTCCCTCCGTCATACATTTTGACGGAACTTGACACTAAATGAGCATTAGTATTAGTATTAGTTAATAACATATGCGCGATCAGCCAATCAACGCGCCGCTGTTCACACGGACGTCATTCGAGAGAAGTGCGTTCCCGCTTGACGGGGGTATTTTTGAATTTCATATTGTAGAGTCGTAACAGTTCGTCTCATGGGCATGCCGGGGGCACTCCGTGCAGTATTTTGCCCTTCGGCTTGCGCTTACTGTACGCCGTAGACGGATTTCACCGACCCTGTGTGGCCATGCCATGCAAAATAGCATCTGAACCAATGCGGGGAGAAAGTCGTGTGCTTCTTGGGTTGCGATGATGCCAGAACGCCGAGCTCTTATTGGCCGATTGAAAAATAAATTTTAAAGCATCTGGCATCGAGGTCTTCCCTCGCAATCAAAGCCAATCAGAACTCGGCACCGTTTTGACGTCACCGGGCAAACACTTTGGGCTTGCAGACTCCCCAAACAACAAAGGCGACCGCTTCGTCCCCCAGTTGCAAACAAAGTGCGCTCGTGCGCCACTTTGTCTCGGCCAAACGACAGTTCCCCACGGAAGCGAGAAACAGGGCCAACCGCAACTTTTACGAGCTCGCGATTGGACGAGCCGGGCCCGGGGGCCGCTCAGCCCTCCGCTAAATGCCACCTGGGAGCCTAATTTATTGCGTGCTCCTCGACTGCCAAGGAAAGCGAGGACCTCCGAAAGAAGAAGGACGCCACCGCCAGCCGTGGCCTTGTTTCTGCGCAGAAAGGGCAGTCGTCGAACAGCTACTGCCGCCTGCTACCGCGGCGGAGTTCCTCTGGCGATGGCGGCTCAAAGACATTTTATTATCTCCGGAGGCCCAAGCCGGGTCTTTATCTTGTCGGGGGCCTCCCGCGCGCCTCGCTGCGGGTGTTCCCCGATATCTTTCACGCGTCTCGTCCGACTTTCGGGGTCTCCGCGCAGCTGGGTGATGCGCGTCGATGCCTTCTCATGCCTGGAAGAACGTACAACCTCGCTGACCAGCGCGTGCCAGTCTTTGGGAGGCTGCTCCAGGCATTTGACCCACTGCGTTCTTCTATGACGCTCGGTTGCCACGGCCACAGGAACCAGCAAAACTAACGATCTGTCCGCCACTTAAGCGCTGGAAAGAGCCCGATATTAGACTCGTTCGATTTACTGGCCCTACATCGATTCTGGCAGTGTACTTCCCTGTGCACTTTATTGAGGCTCACTGGCGAGCCTAACCAGGTGGCAGTGGCACACACTCTCGGATTTCTCCGATGACAACCAGCACTGTAACTGACTGATTGTCCAGCATGTCTGCCGCACTTTTTTTTTTCATTTTCGAAACTCTTTGACAGACGGAATTTCTTTTGTCAGGTTTTACCCGCTGCGCGTTTGTGGTTTGACTTCTGTACTCTGGGTCAGCCCTTCGTAGCATTTCCAAAGAAAAATGCGCCTTCACATCTGTGATCGGCGCTCAAGGCGCACGAGCACTCATATTTCTGGCTTCACAAAAATTTTAAAAAAAGATTACCGCAATATTTTTCTGAGGAAAAAATCGTGCGCAAACCGCTCGGCTGGTTTCCTTAGTTGCGACCGCTCACGGCAGAGTGCGTTATAACCTCTTGTGATCACGACTAGACTGGTGCCCTTCACCGTGTAGGCGTGGAACATTCTTTCCAAAAACTTGGGCAATATTATAAACGGCCATGTTAACTCATAGATGGCGCCAACGTCTCGTCACAAGACATGTGGCAATGCAGGTGTGTGCCTTTAGGATGGTCACTTGGGTGCTTGGACCGCCTGTAACCGCTTACTAAGAGACTGGCATACTGGCGCCAGTGTGTTTTCTGCAGTTATTCCCAGTAGAACTAGAAATGGTTGAATTACAATGTTCGTTGAAAGTATGAAGCACTCTGGAACGCAAACGTGCTTTCCCAAGAACAGTGAGCAAAGAATGGTCGGTCCTCGCAGATCCTCCCCGCTACCGGACGGCCTACGCGTGCGAAGGGAGCCAGCTGCACATCGCCTGCGACGACGGCCACCTGGTGCAGCTGATCCGGGCCAACTACGGCCGCTTCTCCATATCCATCTGCAACGAGCACGGCACCCTCGATTGGAGCGTGGACTGCATGTCGCACCGCTCCTTCAGGGTCATGCAGCAGAGGTACCCCTTCCTTCACACCGACACGATACTCAAGGAGCGCCCCGGGCGAGCAAAAACGTAGAGCGCAGCTCCTAGGCGCCCGTTTCCGGCTTGAGCGGCGTTGCCGTCGGCGTAACCGCGCGTTGCATTATGGGACGTTTCCCATAATGACGCCACGTTTGACGTCACGAGGGAGGAGGAGCAGGGAATTTTTTCCACTGAATTTAGCGGGAAATGCAGCGAAAATTTCTCGCTATGTGGGAGGGGAGCCGGGGAGGGGGAGGGGAGGGTACGGAGGGGCATACCCTCCCCTCCTCCTCCTCCTCAAGAGCTGCGCTCTAATTCGGCATTACAGGGAGTTGTAAACGTCTTTCATTTTTTAGGTTGCGTTTTCGTTGTGCGTCGCGTCCTTTGAAACGCTTCATTGGAGCGCGTGGAAAGACGCTAAGAGAATCCCTTGGATCGTGCCCGATTGAACGCTAGGACGCCGCTTCACGTCAGCATTAAATGGTCGCGTCTCGCGAACGCGCGGAGCATTCCTAGGTAAGGAAGTGCGGAAAACTCCCTAATGCAATCCTAAGATCGAAATGATTATGTGCAGTCTGTGTGCAACATATTGTGTTGAAGCTCGGTGCTCGCCTCAGTGTAATTGCAGGACACTGCAAAGAACCGACCATTGTTTAAATCGGGGGTCTCTAAATATGTTGCCTAAGGGGCCGGATTGGGGACCTGTTGCAGTCTCGAGGGCCGAAAATCAGATAAACGAGGAAATACGAAGTCTAAAAGTCTAAATAAGCATTTAAATACAGAAACTTAAAGTAGAACAAGAATTTAAAAAAAAATAAGTATAAGGTGGGAAAATAGATATACGTTATATTTAAGTGCAATATTTTACTATTTATGCTATTATAATATAATTATGGCGCCCAAAATTCACCGGACAAAAAACAAAGCGCATACGAACTTGTACATATTTACACAGGGCAGAAAACCAATGAAAATGATAGATGAGATCACTAGGCACGACATATACGAGAACGTAAAACAATGTTTTTATTGATATGTACAATAAATAATGCCGCTAGAGAGCCGGCGTTTTGATGCAGTTTTCAAGACGTGTGCGAATAGTGGATTTTGAGTTGGAAGCGAATAGTGATCTTGGCCGAATATTTTCAAATCGAATATCGAATAGTTCCTCTAAGCTGTTCACTATCGCACCCTGCCTAAATTAAACCCCATCTGAACTCCTAAAGGTTGTTCCCAAGCTTGTCCATGTTTAAGCTAATTTTAAATTTTATTTTGCTATATTTATGAACCGAGACCTCATGAAGTCCAGTGTAAACGGGGAAGGGCAAGTAAGCAATGTATTTGACATGAAATTAAACCTATAGAGATGACCAGCTCAGGGGATGATTCGGGGGATTTATAAATATTTTGCTATATATGCAAATGTCCTATATTATATCTAGAATGTGAGGGAAAAAGAATGACGAGTGATGAGCTCAGGTTGTCAGGACATCTCTGCCTAGAGGGTCATGGGGATGTCACATTTTCGAAGGGTCTACAGTCCGGCTAACACTAGTCCGGCGCCTCAGCATAGCCATCGCAGCCGTCGGCGGCGCTTCGGCGTTGATGTCGCCAGATAGTCCTTGCTCTATTTCGCGCCAGGCTAGCCCGGAGAGATGCCCCGCGCGCTGGCTCGCCGCGCTTGCGCAGTAGCAACCGGAGCCTGGGAGCGATAGCGGCAGAGTAGCACCTCTGGCGCGCCGGGGCGAGCCTAGCATAGCGCCGACCACCGCTGGCGGCCGCACCCAAGACGTCAGCTGTAGATTTCAACATTCACAAAGTTCTTTTTCCATACACCACGCGCGTGCGTGCACCGTCCCGCTTCGAAAGGGGGCTTTCCTCCGAAGGAGTGACTGCGATATTCTTCGAAGAGTTGATCGCAGCGGGTCAGCCTCGTTGAGCGCGCTTCTTACCGAGCACGGGTGCACTGCTGAGAAGCAACACCCGCGGAAGCGAGCTCCGCAGGTGTCGCGGAAGCGACACCTGCGGAGAATAAAAAAGTATTTTTGTCCCGTGAATCTGAATATCATGTTTGTTATCTCCGAAGATGTAACCAAACGCAAGAAAACATGAAAAACCTGCGACCGGTAGTTACGTCGTACTAGGATCTTTCGGCCGCCAAGCGCATGTCGCTCCTGTGTAGTTGCAAGCTTGCCAGGTATATTGGTCCGTTTGCTTGAAGCACTAACCGCGGCTAAAGTTAGCCGCAGTACCTAGGAGGGGGATTTTGAGATCACGTGACTGGCTCGGTAGGGATGCGGGGAAACATGGGGCGGTGCCCCAGTGAGTGAGTGCCGCTCGCTTTGGAACTAATATGTCGTTGTAGCTGCAATATCGAGCGCGTTAGTCAGCAACGAATGGTGCAGGAGGCTTTCGCTTTGCCTTACCTCATCTAAACCGCAAAGCATGGGCAATGACATCGCCGCATTTTTTAGATAGTGTTTCGATTCTGGGCACTCCTAAGCCTAAATGAACGCGATAATTGTCGGCATATCAACGTCTTTGGAAAGCGGATTGTTGATAGCACACAAAGGCAAACAGCGTCCCGACAGACTTTTTTTTCTAAATTATTTAAGCACCGCGAGAAAAACGCTGGAAGTGTATTTCTACGGTTCACGTGCGCTGGCTTTCCTCTTAAAAGAGATTTGAAGTAAAAAATCATAATAAGGCTTTAACAAACGCGCGTGCAAGGCAAAATTTGTTTGATACTTTTTGCTTTAGAACGGTTACTACTGCAGACGCCAGCACGTGCGACGCGTGCAACTACAGTCGTAGCATGCACCTCGGTTCTTGGATAATTTAGAAAAAAGGTCTGTTGGGACGCCGTCTGCTTTTGTGTGCTATCAACAATCCGCTTTCCAAAGACGTTGCCATGCCGACAATTATCGCGTTCATTTATAGCTTAGGAGTGCCCAGAATCAAAACACTATCTAAAAATTGCGGCGATGTCATTGCCCCTGCTTTGCGGTTTAAGTGAGGTAAGGCAAAGCGAAAGCCTCCTGCACCATTCGTTGCTGACTAACGCGCCCGATATTGGAACCACAACGACATATTAGTTCCAAAGCGAGCGGCGCTCGCTCACCGGAGCACCGCCATGTTTCCCCGCATCCCTACCGAGCCAGTCACATGATCTCAAAATCCCCCTCCTAGGTACTGCGGCTAACTTTAGCCGCGGTTAGTGCTTCGAGCAAACGGGCTAGCAAGAGTGCATGTGCATAGCTTTGACAGGTACTGAAAATGCACAAGAGCGGATATTCCAAAAACTCTTAATATGACGTCATGCTTCGTGAAGGAGGGGCTTCAGTGTTACTTTGAAAATGATTTTCTGCAACCTTCATGCCCCAAATTGAAAAAAAAAAAATCTCAATATTTGTGACTTTGTAGGCCAAATAGAGACGATTTAAGTGTTTTTTCTCAAACACAGAACTGCTTTAGTTTCCATTTAACCTGGCACTTAGCCAAGATTTTTTTTTTTTTTTTTTTGGGGGGGGGGGGGGGGGGGGGCATTTATGACAACATGCTGTATGAGGGGGAGGGGGGCGAGGAGGTCCCAGTGAAATGGAAGATTTTGGGGGAAGCCTAGGCCCCATGCCCCCCCCCCCCCCCTCCCCCACACACCTTGGCTACATGCCTGCATTTAACGTGCTACTTCAAGTAGGTTTAGAAAACTTGTACTTTACTTGAAGGCTACATTCCCTGAGTATGTACTTGTACTTTACTTAAAGTATTCTTCTTAAAGTACTTTTTGGAGTACTTTCCGAGAAAAGTACAACTCCCGACTTTAAAGTACATTCCAAAATTTGGTCTTCTTAAAATTTGTATCACAAAATGATGCTTTGTCAACCCTGAAGAAATACTGGAATGGATATTCTACTCTCATCATAAACGCGAACAGACGACGCATAGCTCCATTTGTACTGGGGGCAGCTTTCCCGCAGCATTTCAAACTCTCGCTACTTCTCGTTGAGTCAGCGAAAGCGAGGAGATTAAAATCATTAGGAGAGGACACTCCTCTATAAGAGGATTATTTGCGGGACCTACGGGTCTGACGTCATGCTTCTTCATCCCAATATTTGCCGCCATTTCCGAAAATAACTGATGCACCCCCGATTACCCCTGGGGCAATACATACCAGAAAAAAAGGGGAAGAAAATAAACACTGTATAGGGGAATGAAAGGGCATCACAGGAGATCGTATTAAAAAGTGTTTGTAATTTACTTTCAAACTGCATTGTATCTATAGTACTTTACTTCAAGTGCATTGCACCTGGTGTACTTCCATAATCTCTCATTTACTTTGTACTTCATTTCAAGTACTTTTTAGATGTACCCAAAACTGGTTATGAGACCTAATAAAATATAAATAAACAACAACAGATGATTGAACTGAATTTTGGGTGACCAGAATTTTCTCACTTGAGGGATTGTGCGTGTGTGAGATATAGTGTCTTTCTGTCCTAGTTGTGACCTGAAGAAAGGCTGCACGCTGCCAGCATCCACTGTGGTCTTTGGAGACCCGTGCCCAGGCACACTCAAGTACCTGGAGGCTCACTACCAATGCATTCCCGGTGAGTTCCGCACCCCTCTTGGCCACGTCTGCATTAAATTGGCTCTCTTGGGAGAAGAGCACTTCTGGCAACCCCGTTATCTTTTGTTGTGGAACATTCATACCCTTATCATGACTTACGAGCTTTTGTGTGTTAGGTCAAGGACCCTTATCAGACATGAATAGTAGGTTTCAAAGGGAGAACTGCCGAGCTATTCTGAGGTACAGAAGCACTGAAGAAAGAAGACAAAAAAATGACCGCATCTCCGTGGTGAATGATGGTGATTGGGGCGAAGCTCTGGTGGTGCTGATGATACTGATTTTGTTCATAGGTAGTGCTGATGGTGCTGATTTTTTTTTATTGCTCATAGGTAGTGCTGAGTTCCAGGTTGCGTTTCGAATTCGTTGTTACTGCTTTATGGTCGGTGAAATGCAGAGCCAGTGGTTCTTCTAGCGGATCAGCTTGGATCCGCTAGAAGCAGTGGGAATGCATTTCCACCGCCTAAGTCAACGAACGGTCCATGTCAGAAAGAGAATGTGTGGTATGGAACGTGGTTATATACGCATTTGAGCATTTGACCGCAGTGCCCTCTCGTCCATAAACATTGAGCCAATGCATGCAAAGTTTAACGCGATTATATACGCATTTGACCGCAGCGCCCCCTCCTGTATAGACGTTGAGCGGCTGCATGCGACATTTCATCCATGACAGAAACCCCAGCTCTTGAGTTACTACCACATTTCAGAGCCCCCTACTCGTCCCGCAGTTGTGGCCGAGTAGTTAAGGCGATGGACTGGAAATCCATTGGGGTCTCCCCGCCAGAGTGTCGAACCGATGTTTTTATCGGTTCGGTTCGGGTTCGGGTTCACGGCTTTCGGTTCAGTTCCGGTTCAGTTCCGGGGCGCAAAAAATAACGGTTCAAACCGGTTCGAACCGGTTCGAACCGGTTTGAACCGCTAAATTGAGAATATATTTTCCGCGTTGTTCTGTCAATAGGCACTATTTAGGCCATGAAATTAACGGCTGTAAACGATCTGATTTTTGCGAGGACCTATTTTTGAGAATTTCGCAAATCGCCTACAATTCGCGAAAAATGGGTCCCGCGAACAATTTCGGTAAAATGTAAACAGATTGCAATTTATAGTGAGTTTCCACCGCGTCGAGAAAATTACAACCCGCGAATTATTCCAAAACTTCAGCTTTGACCTAAATCGCGAAATATTGAGCCCACGAAAAATAAGTCGTTTACAGTATATAGTTTTCTTTTTTTTTATCGTTTGTAATCCAGTTTTATTTTCAGGTACAAAAATTATAAAATTCTGTTATTAATACCTACACAACAAGAAAGGAAAATCTACATTAACGTACAGAACGTCGTGTTTATACGACTCAACATCCCTTCGTTTACCAGAGTCACACACATTGTACCTGAATCGAAATGTTTTCGCGAAGTGAAGTAGGTTGCCTAAAATACCCGTGATTGCTACAACTTTGTATCGCAGTATTAGATGTTGAATCGTGGTTTTGCCCTTGAACTAAGGAATTAATTACAGTGAATAAAATCATGAAATGGGCACCTGGTCGCCATATATACCATAAAATGTGTTTTATGGAATACGTTTCACAATATATATATAATGACGAGACGACTGATCTTAAGGCAATATAATTTTAAAAATGTCACGAAAGTCACGGGACAAGTCCTTCCACTCTATATTTTATAAAAACACTAAGCGACAATCGCAATGCTTGTTTTTTTTCTAACTAGCATTGTTTGCTCTCAGCACCATGATGCGGGCGACGAATCATGCGAAAAGGAGTGGCTGAAATTGTTCACTCTAACCTATGAGCACCTTCGTACTGAGATCGAATCTGACCTAAACATGGGTAAGCAACAGTGCTTACCCATGTGAACATTTTCTATATGGGATAAACTGGCATAGCCTGGTTCTGAGGTTTGCTCTTGACAAAATGCCGGTCAATTTAATTTGCAAATAAGCATCACCCTCTCTAATTGATGATTTTTGTTAAATAGAACAAAGTGGAATTTCATGCTCTACTCAATTCGGAAGCTACTTAATTGGACACTTTCTGAGAGTTTAAGTGTGCAATCGTCATAGTTCTATCATTTGTTCCAGTAAAAAAGGGCGATAATAAAAACACATAAAAAACGCGATAATAAACTTCTATATATTTGAAAAGTTATATATGCGTGAGGAACACATATAGTTATTTAAATTAGCTTCAAAATAAAAAAAAAAAAAACATTATTTAAAGCTTTTTCAAATCACCTATAACGTGTCTATAGAGGATAAAAGCGCCGAAAAAGATTTGCAGAACATCTTTCAGATAATTTAAAGGTGCATTTACTTATATATCTTTGAGGTGAGGATCTTCTATTTATGCTGCCAAATATTCAGACAGGAATTAAGTATATTTGTATTATCATCGATAAATTTGACTTTATGAAGTTCACATAACCGCATGAGACCGACACGGAAGGACGATACTCGAAAATACGCCAGCTGTTGAGTCTTCGGCAACGTGCTTTTGTTAGCTGTTTTGCAGTGTAAAATACTGGGTTGCAGGGTATGCCAAAAAACACTGTGGTCACGTGATATATCGGAAGGCAAATACACGAAATGTGCAGAAATAAGGAGATGACACGCAATTTTTTCTAAATAATCCCTTACACAACGCTTTACTGCAAAAAGAAATGCATAGAAATGCATAAAATGATATTCCTAATTAAACATAGGTTCCGCGCAGGGCAAATGAAGATTTTTAGAATCCTAATATAAATCACTTTTGGGCATCAGCTTGCCTCAGCTCGAAACGTCGCGAGATACTACCTCGGGAGGCTAATGTTATCTTAGGTTTTACGTGCACTTGTTTTGGGGCCTTACTTCACGACTCTGTTCTTTATCAGTCATGTGCTACATTTCATTAGGCTGCCGTATATCATCGCGAGACTGCTATAAATACTACACAACTTTACACCTTGGACGTCTACTGCTAGTGTTGCGAACGTCGCACTTCACCAGAAAGCTGAAGTATTTAACATGGTTTGCACGTGACGTAATCGCAACAAATGCTGGTGGTCCTTGCGAGTTGTTCTTGCTGAGAAAATCAAATCCGATGGGGCAAAATGCACGCTGCAAAATTTTCGGCTCAGTGCAAGCTATGTATTTGAGAGGCACACATTTTTCTTTTTGGTGCATCGTCGTTAGGCACGGCGCGAGTATCTGGCACGGCAAAACGTTCTTTCTGGCAAGAGTGTTTTTACAAATGAAAGTTGTACCAACTACCCATCTGTCACTATCGTTTCCAGGCCACGCTTTCTAGTCTGCGCCGAAAGTGCGGGGTAGAGGAATCGTTACGACACAGTATGCTTTGAAACTAACCCCCTACCCACTCCCTTCTTTTTAGTTGCTCCTCAAGATACTTTTTATTCCTCAGGGATTGCCTGCTCCGTATTGAGTGGTGTTCACTCGACAATTATATTTGTGTCACTCGTTAAAAGTAATTCTTCCTTGCTTTTACTTTGCACCAAACTGTGAAGGTTAAACAAAATACAGGGCGGTCGAAACTTGGAGAACTTGAGAACGACACTCCTGTGAGACTTAGAGCGGCTGCCAACGTTTGGCTATCCCCGTGAGGCCACTAGGATCTTTCTTTTCAGGTATCCCTCATGTACGCACTAATAGTTCCATGTAACGTCTGACTAATACGTCACATTTAGACCCTTTAACACTTCTATTCTCGGTACAACTTTCTGAGGCAGTTCAGCAATAACGAAAACATGTTTGGGAGCCTCAGTGGTGTGCATACATGTAAAATGGGTTCGTGCAGCATTTTTCTTACCTTCAGTTCAATAAATACCGCTAAGTTGTAATCCCTGACGTTGATAACTTGCAAAAGCATCCATTAGTTTGCCCCTCCGAGAAATGGGAGACATTCGAAAGAAAGAAATGAAACAGCTTTCCCCTCCTCAACTCGCAATTAGAACTATCAGCCACGTGATCTGATCCTAATATATGCAGCGTCAGTGTTTATCATAGTCATAAGCAGGGCTGGCAAAGCAGAGCATGGGCTAATCTTCAGATATAGTTTTAGTTTGGCTATAATGGGGCCCGAGCCCCACGAAAGCGACAAACAGAAACAAACGACAGCAGCTAGCCTTAAACCAGAGTATTTCGCGATTTGACAGGCTTTGTAGAATAAAGAAGGCTATGCTCAAGCACGAGTATCATGCACAGGATGGTACCATTTGCAGGCTTGTAAACACTCGTGCTAACTTCGCGAGCACCGAACAACTCAAAGCCGTATAAAGGTACCATCGCGAACATGCTGCATGTGTCTGAGGCTTGTCGCTTTCGTTTGTTTCTGCTTCTAGCTCTAGTGGGACTCGGGCCCATTATAATCTTTGAGTTGAACACGAGCCGTTACCCGAATGTTTGGCGATACTGGTCGTCATGAACCAGAGCATTTGACTCGGAATCATGACAATCGGGTACATCATGGTGTCACGGGACTCTCAGTGCGAAGTTGTGATGTCATGTGACGTCACGGTATCAACAACGTTAATAGATCTAGCGACGTCCTCAATTTGAATCGACTTAACCCGGTGAGTCACGTGACGTCACGGGGTCACGTGATGTGACATTACTTGACAGCATGTCTTGACATTATGACGTCACGTGACGATGTGACACATGGCTATTCATAGTGCCAATAAAAAAGCGCCGCAAAAAACCAGGATTTATTATACATTGGAATTCTGTATATGACGATTTGATCAATACGTAGAGGAATACACTTGCCAATTTTTTATTCCCAAATAATAAATTTGTAATACTAACAAAAAAAAATTACCGTGAACCGTTTTGAACCGGTTACCGTTATATTTTTTTCCGGTTCAGTTCCGGTTCAGTTCCAAGATGGCGGCGAAGATTTCGGTTCGGTTCAGTTCCGGTTCGGCTAAAAATAACGGTTCTGTTCCGGTTTTCGGTTCGGTTCGGTTCCGGTTCGACACCCTGCTCCCCGCACAGGTTCGAATCCTGTTGACTGCGCAAACATTTTCTCTTTTTTTAAGAAGACAGATGGGATGGCAATCGATGTGAGCATGGACGCCGGACGGACAAGGCTAGACCCTAAGGAGCTTTGCTCCTAAAATGGGAACCCTGGAGCAGGGGAAGAGAGGGGTTGTCCATCTCATTTTTCTCCTGCTCCTGGGTTAATATGTCTGTCTTAAACGAGCTCGCCTGTACTCTCACTTCAGTTTCAACATGACGCTTCTTGTGCCTGCAGTTGGCGTTAGTAGAGTCTCACTTAACTGGAGCGCTGACTAGGCCTGATTATGTCTGCTTTCGGGCATGTACGTTTCTAGTTAATGTTGGGACAGTTCACGCCTGCCTGGCCCCTTCGCTACATATGTAGAAAATGTCCCCGAAAAAAAATTTACAAAATTTTTTTTATCTGAAAAAAAAAAACAAAAAAACTATGCATCGCCCAAAGATAGCGCCTGAACTAGATGCCAAGGTTTCAGTACGAACTAATGTTTTATTTAACAGAACCAGTGTTTCTGAAAATTTCAATGGGAAAATGGGGCCCATTTTCGGGCATTTTCAGTTTCTGGTGCCATAGAGCTCCATCTTTTTGAGAGCTCCATTGGCCATCATTTTCGCATTGAAATTTTCAGAAAATCACTTAAAATTTTTGAATAAAATATTGGTTCGTGCTGAAACCTTAGCATCTCGTTTGCACCTTTGGGCTGAAAATGAGCAATTGGCAATACATAGCTTTTTAGGGGCGAAGCTCCTTAGGGTCTAGCCTTGTCCATCCGTCCGGCGTTTGTGCTCATATCGATTACTGCCTCCAGGATCGGCCCACTTTAAAAAAAAGGACAGTGTATGCCCGCACAAGGGTTTGAACTTAGAACCGCTTGCTTACGACGCAGACATCTTAACCACTCCAACGTTGCATGTAGCCGCTCAACGTCTATACAGGAGAGGGCGCTGCGGTCAAATGCGTATGTAATCGCGTTAAACTTTGCATGCATTGGCTCAACGTTTATAGACGAGAGGGCGGTGCAGCCAAATGCTCAACTGCGTATATAACCACGATCCATACCACACATTTTCTTTTGTGATATGGACCATTGACTTAAGCGGTAGAGATGTGTTCCCATGGCTTCTAGCGGATTCAAGCTGATCCGCTAGAAGAATTATTGGCTCTGCATTTCACCGACCATAAAGCAGTAATATTGAAGTCAAAACGCAACCCGGAACTCAGCACTAGCTATGAGCAATAAAAAAAAAAATCAGCACTTCCTATGAAGAATAAAATCAGTATCATCAGCACCACCAGAGCTTCGCCCCAATCAACATCATTCACCACGTGGAGATGCAGCCTCTTTTTTTTTTTTTTTGTGGTAGAAAGAAGGTTGTAAATTTGTTTTTTGGGACACCCTGTATATATTCTCGTCGGTTGTAAGTTTTATTTTTTTGGTGGAGAGGAGTCAGGATGGGCAAGAAGCAGTCCTATACTTTGGTTAAGTTTGATCGGGACTGTGCATTCACTTTTAAGTCAGAGCTTCGTAACTCCAACTTCAATTGCACCTGCCATCGAAGCAGTTGAAATGGACAAAAGTTTTTAAAAAAATCCCTAAAAAGAAAAAAATTGTTTGTTTTTTTTTAACATTGGGACACGCGTGTCAAAAAATAAATTTTATGCAAAATCTTTTTCATAGCATTATTGATGGTGAGAGATTTATTTGAAATTCTCCGCGGAAAGTCCATGATGTCACGGAATGGTCGTTCGCTCAACGAGATAGTCATTCGCTTTGTCGACCTCGACGTGAAGGCGGAGCTGATCCAGCTCTCCTCCACGTGCCCGAAATGCTGTAAGAGAAAGCAGCTGGAAAGGAGGTGACTACTAACTAAATCGCCGTCTAGCCCCAACCGTATTGCTCTAAAATACTTTCTTTTTGCGTAAAAAGAATTTTTTGAGACGCATGTCCGACTAAATTGGTTAAAATTTTTCTTCTTTCTTTTCAGTTTTTTTTTATACTAGGTGATACTCTTTGATCTGAAGATTGCAATGATACTGTCACCGACCGATTTTTCGGACGCCAATAATTCACACTTGTTAGATATTTCGGACCTAAAGGAGGAACCGTAACCTATCCTATAGAAATGGTGCATAATCACGACCGACGTTTCGGACAGCTTGAAGTCTGAAAGTGTTATTTTCTTGCAAAATCATCGCGAACAATCAGTGAGAAACACCACCGTGGAGCCGTAGCACAGGCGACACTATGCTACGGCGTTTTTTCTCTAGCTGCGCGTCTTTATCATCATCGATGTTACCATCTCGCTTCGTTCATTTGCCGTTCTGCAGTCATGTGCTCGCACCTCTCATCTCAATCTTGTCTGGGTGAATCGTGTTTTCGGACTATGCTGCCTCAGACACGTCATGGCCCCATCTGCTCTTCCGTGAAGTACCGCTAAGAAGCGCAGAAAGTACTCGACCATAACTCTAGAAAAGAAGGCAGCCATTCTCGAGCTAATAGAGAGTGGCCTAACGCAAGCGGAGGCGTAACCTCAAATGAGGCACGAGTGACGTCTTCTTTAAACCCGCTTAAACGGAACAAGGCAAGTTTTTTTTATCTGACGATTATTCGCACTGACCTATGATTCGGACGTTTTCCAGTCCCTGCAGAGCACTGAAAGTTTGTCGGTGATTGTACGCCTATAAGCAATTCGATGCAGCCAAAGCAATAAAGAGAACAAACAAAATATAAAGCTCGGCAATGTGCTAGTACCTCCCGAGGTAATGCTCTTGCGGGCTCTGCAGGTACGCGCATAAATTATAATATTAATAATTATAATAAGAAGGGCAGCATGGTTGCCACCACCACCAATCTCAGACATGCTGCTGTAATCACTGAGACAGTGAGAAGGGTCTTTGGAATGCCCGGCCTCAAGCTCCATGCCTTCTGCCGAGTTTTGGCTGCGCATGCACACTCAAGGTGCGTAAGACGCTGTTGTTGAAGGTGGCTGATGCTCCCCCTGCCATTCTCACCTTGTCAGGGACTGTAGGTATCAGTGCTTGATGTAGACCAAGAGGTTAGCCGTTACAATGTACATATAAACTCAGAAATAAACGGACTGAGCAATATGGTATATTTCCGCTAAATTTAGTGGGAAAGCTTCGTGCTAGATTCAGCATTTAATGTTTTTGCAACGCACATAAAGCTCAAAAGATCAAAACCTGCCCTATAAAACACATTCTGCATTAAAAATGCTGGCTAGATGCAGGTCGCCACTTGATGTAAGGGGTTCCGTTGTATGCATCCATCTACTGAGCCACTAAACAAGCTACATTTAAAGCATCAACTGACAACTCCAGTTGTCAGCTACACTTGCAGCATCAGCACTCTACTCCCTGATTGTCAGCTAAGCTTACAGCATCAACACTACTCCCCGATTGTCAGCGACACTTAGAGCATCAACACCCTACTTCCTGATTATCAGCTAAGCTTAGATTGTGAACACTCTATTACCTGATTGTCAGCTAGGCTTAGAGCATCAACGGCCTAATCTCTGCTTGTCACCTTATCTTAGAGTATTGATACTCTATTCCGCAGTTATGTTGCGGACAGCACCATTTCGTTGCCTAGTGCCGAGCGGGTGAAATTGGCAATGGTTAGGATTAAAAAATGCAACTTCCTGAGTGATAGGGTGTCAGGGATCTCGCTAACTCTTTTAATGCTTCTGAAAAACTGAAAAGCATTTTCTGCGGTTTTGGGCAAAGCTTAAGGCTGAGCTTAAGCTTAATTAATGACTTCAAAGAATGAGATGGCTGAAGTTTTTTTTCCTCGGAAGCATAGCCCAGACTCCCCCGGTGTTGTTGCTTACGAAGTGGCTGATTGTTGAAACACTGCATGGTTATACTCTGCCTCTGAAGTTTGGTGCTGTGCCACGTTGTACGAGGTTTGAGCCATGGGCTGATTCTCGACGCACAAAAAGCGCTACATCTGGGATACACAAAAGAGAGTCCAGGAAAGATAAGAGTACTCCTTCCCAGGTGCTAGAATTGCTCCTTTACCTCGCACAACACAGCACCCAAACGACGAGATAGGTGAAGCGAGTCGCCTCCCGATTAGAATTGACCCGCCCCCCTCTACTCAGCAGCGGAGTCGACGACCTCGAGCAGTCCCAAGCAGCTTTCCCTGGGGTCCCTGGGGTCCCTGGCGCCCCCCCTGGTGCTGCAGGACCTTCCCAAGGGGACCCCGGGGGGGGACCTGGTGCCTCCCCTGCCGGGCACAGTGCACGCCGCCGCACCCCCGGCCGTCGTGCAGGCGGACAATGCGCGCACTCCGCCGCCCCCGAGTCCGGAGCACGTGCTGGACATCGGCTTCCCCTTCCGCACCACCACCACGGGTCAGTGAGAAAGAGTTTGGATTCACAGCTTTCGACACTTTCTATGCTAACCGGGCATTCAAGACTGGCTTGATAGGGAGCACCATCTTACGCTAGGGTGACCACCTTCCTGCTAGCAAAATGCGGGACACGCGGGGCAGGGGGGACGCGGGAGGGGGGGGGGGGGGGTAGAGGAAATGTATTAACACGGACACCATGAACCGAGGCTGTGTTAACAGAATTAATATCATTTGCTGTTTATACACCTGCTAATTGTATTGCAGCAACTAAACTCACATAATTTGCACTCCCAGTGATATATTTTTCATGCCAAATGTGTTATTAAATGTGTCGAAGTTGAAAACATAAAAAATGGACTTTAGCAGAGCTCACTGCATCAAATGGAAATAAACAACAGTAAATCTCTTTCGGGTTATTTTTTTCTGTCAATTAACGCTTACTTGTATCAACATGGACCTACACAAATTTTTAACATTATGTTCTTTTTCGACCGTCGTGAGTTGCAGGCTTTTTACTTCTGTAACTGTCTTCCCTAAAAAAAAGAAAAAAAAAATCCATGGCAACCTTTTCGCATTGGCACAGCAATCTGAAAATAATTGCAGTATCTTATATTTAAACTTTTGGCGAGCAGTGTTTCTTACAACATTTGCCACCAAGAGGAGAGGCACGACGGAGCATGCACGTCGGTTCTCCTGCAAGAACGACGGTCGCTTCCCATAATACTTGGATAGAAAATGGTGTATACCATTGCGATTCACACAATTACCAGTGACCTCTGCGCTTCCCCGGGCCCCGTTGTTCAGCAGCACCTTGAGTTGCAGAGTGAATTTTACGACAGTATGAAACGCGGGACATTTTTGAAGATTTGGAAATTTCTTGCGAGACACGGTATACGAGCCCTGAATGCGGGACAGTCCCACGAGTCGCGGGACGGGTGGTCACCCTATCTTACGCGGAACTGTCGCGACTCTAATTACAACCCACAGCCGCAGTCATCGGATCGGACCTCGAACGTCCGAGTGCCTGATTGTGACACCCCACCGTAAAATCCCAAGAGAGAGCCGACCTAATATCAAGAGCAAATCGGCTGAGAATATGGAGTGGGCTAACTTTCAATGTACAATCAAGAAAAGTTGAAAGAAATTGCTATTTTTAGGTCGTGCTCCTTCCAAGCTTGTTATGGAGGCGGGGGGGCAACGAAGCAAAGATGACTACTTCCCAGTCAGCAATGTTCGCTTATATCCCACCATAGCGAACTGTCCACATTTACACCGAGGCCATCATTGTTCCCAACACTACTATTACCAGGGGTGGGCTAGCTTTCAATGTTTAAAAACATATATAGCAAATCAAGCCATAAATAGGGGTAGGCTATCTTTCAGGGGTGGGGCATCTCTTGGGATTTTACGGTAGTACCACTACTGCTGAAAGTGGCAAATAATAAAAGGAAAAGATGTGTCATTTTAGATGCATCCTTAGCCAGCAAACGGTGAGATCGTGTGCGTCCATCTGTAAGTGACCTGGCAATTTTGGTCTGTAATTAAGACGTAGTACATATGTCATGTTTTATTTTTGTATAATTGCTTCGGTGCCTGGATCGCGACCGCTGATTTAGGTGTCTTAGTGCTCTGCAAGCTGTGTTTACAACTTTTTTTCCCGTGTCACCTTTTCAACATTGTTTCTGTTGAAAAAAATGAATGTACTATTGTTATTATTATACACCGATCTGTTTTCGCACTAAATTTAGCGGTTTTTCCCGCTGTATAGTATCTAGCTGGAAAACTCGAATAGTTATACACCAATTTAATTAAGTGGGAAAACTTCAATTAAATTTGGAAGAATAAAATAAAACATCAATAATTAACGCCTCTGTTTTCAAAAGTGCCATTGAAGATTATTTTTTCTCCCAGGAACCAGCATTTGTCATATTTTTCGCCACTTTTATGTATCTTTGTTATTGCCCACTCCTTTCTGTAATGCCCCGTAGGCCTCGGAAGTGTCAGAGTACCTAAATATAAATCGAACTAATTGATCCAATTTAACCCACAGTCATCACTAATACTTTTTCGGGCAATGCATGCAGGCACGCGTGTTTTTCAAACCTGGCCCATAGTCTGTTGCAGGTTAAGAAAGGTGTCGTAAAGCTCTCTGGCCACCCTGGTTTCCTCGTCTCCGGCGTCTCGAGTGGAAAGAGGGCTTTGTGACGGAGCTTGTCCTGGTTTTCTTAACCCGCAACGGGTGTGCCCTGGCCGCTGGACAGCTTCTCGATCTTCGTCGCAATTTCTCCGACAGAAGAAACGACAGAAGCGCCATCCACAGAGGCGGCGACGCAGGAAGTGTCAACATCGCTGGACCTGCTGACGGACTTCTGCCAGCCCGTGACGGTACGAGAGATCTCTTGGAACTGGACGCGAGCTGGAGAGGTGGCCGTGTACCCGTGTCCAGGAGGGGCCAGAGGTCAGTCGCGCTCTTGCCCCACACTTCCTCCAGTTCGGACCGAAGTTCCGTTCAATCGCATAACTTGGGCTTGTGCCGGATCTTTCTCCTATGGAAGGCATCTTTGGGTGTTCAGGAGACATCTGTGGTTGACCGGGAGTTCCTACTAATAGGCGCAGGAGTGGGCAGTCTGGCTAGGCTATGGTCCAAATGGAAGCCTCAACTGCCCCCTCTAATTTGTTTCCCAAAATGGAATATCTTGTACTTCCTCAGTTACGCTTCAAATCCTCAAAATTAGACTTTTTTTTATGTGAAACGAGGATGGTTACGAAAACAGAATTGCAAGACACTCGGTTACAAAAGACGGCACGTAAAGGAGGATACAGTTTTTGAGGTTATTAGTAGTGCAAAAGATGAATATAAAATTTTTTTTTTTTTTAAATAGAAATAAAAAAGGAAAAAAAAATTGCAACTTGGACATGTTGCACGCAGTTGCATCTAATTCTGTTAACTAAGCTGAACCAGGCATGCACCCTAATGCCGTTGACTGGTTATACTCGGCCGTATAGACGCTCATTTTAATTTGTGGTCTGGAGCAAAAAAATGTTCTTGGGTTATATAGCATTGATTTAACGGTACGAAAAATTGGGCCCATTGTCCCCTTTGAAGGAGGATTCCAGCCAGAAGCAAAAGATGAAAACATGCTGGGGGCTGTGCCTCTGTGCTGCAGGGGATGCTCGTTGGCAGTGTGGAGTGAATCCGGTCAAGTGGCTGTCGGAACGACCCGATCTCAGTGGCTGCAACTCCTTTTGGGTTGGGGACCTGGAGAGGAGGGTGAGTGGATAATTTCTATTGCTCTCCGTTTCCATAGCTCCGCTGCTCTTCGCTCAGCAGAAAGTACATTAATTTCACACTTTTATGAAACACTATGCAAAGTAATCTATATGTTTAGTTCACCGATAGTAAATTAAATGTATACTTTTCTCGTGTACTCCTCAGTTGCCAGAATGAGTTGACATGCATACTGCGCAGCTAAAGTTTGAAGTATGCTAGAGGTATGGTAAAAGTATATTATTGAAAATGTACTGTTTTATAAAAGTCGTCTAGTTTTAGTGTTCTGCTTTTTGCCACAAGGCGATGATACAAGTGGGCGTTGCAATAACCGCCTGCCGGATGGCAGGAGCCATCCTAACAGCAACTCCTGTCGTGACACATCACATAACATCAGCCCCTGCCTGTTCAAACCTCGGCGCTATTATTAGTCGGCGCCAAAAATAGCGCCGATTCAGTCGAGGCAGTGCTGATGGGGCACTGTGTTAATGATACTATATAGGTAGTGCCACATCAGTGCTACATTAAAGTAAGCGTTGCTCCTAATGTCTTAGCGTGCAGCTTTAGAGTGACATCAACCGACACATTTCAGTTGTGGCTCGTAGATTGTGACGCCATTCTGGCTGTGGGAAACACTGGAGGCGGCAGAGTAGAACCTGTGGCCAGCTTGTTGTCCGCAAGGCGAAGCTTGAGCGGAAGGGACAATGGCGACAGATCCACGACGGGGTGTCGGTGGTGAACCTGGCGAGCGAGCTGGCGCAGAAGACGCGGGTGAAGGTGCTGTACGGCGGGGACCTGCTGCACACGACGAGCATCGTTCAGCAACTACTGTCCAAGATGGAGGACAAGCTGGACCAGGCGCTGGACAGCTACCAGCGTCAGCAGGTCGTCGAGGAGCTCATGAACGTGAGTCCAACTCTGTCACTTAAGTTTGGCTGCCACTTCTGGACGCTCAGAAAAAGGCCTAGGCCTGTCTCTTTGGTTTATCCCGTGACGACGCATGATGTCGTGGTGTGACACGACATAGTGGTCTTGCGTGCATTTCAGTGTCACATGACCACTAGTAAGGCGTGTGACGTTACGTCACATCACAGTGTCGCATAACGGTGCGACATCCCGATTTTTCGTCGTGGTGTCACCTGACATCAAGGGATGTCACGCGAGGGAATTCTAGATCACCTCGCAGTGCCACGGAACGTTTTCACGTGAGAAAACGTCAGTGGGAACAGCATGCTGGCGTCGTGGTGTCGTGCGTGTGACGATCGTCTTGGAAGGTACATCCAAGGCACGTACGCGAAAGTGCCAACAGCTGGTGCTTTTAAAAGACAACTGCTGTTGGTTTTGTCCTCGCGAGCTGACCTGTCCGAGGCTGCAACCCGTTGCCTTCTCCGCCTCCAGTACGTGGTGGACTTCAGCAGCAACCTGCTGGAAGAACACCAGCGCAGCTCGTGGGGAGACCTGCCTCCGATGGAGCAGCGGGCGGCTGCATCGTCACTCCTCGAGGGTCTGGAGCGCAACGCCATGCTCCTGGTGAAGAGCCACAGCGCCAACATGAACTACAGCCGCCTGCAGAGCAACATCAGTAAGCACCCTTCACCCACTCTCGTGGATTCCTTTTTCACCTCCACCACTGCAGTGGAAAAGACTTGCGGAGCATTGTTCCCCCTCTACCTGGTAAACACTCGTATATACAGCGAGGCATTAAGTTCCGCTAGTTGGTGCATAATAATAATAAAATGGTAAAACGGCGCTGAAACTACCGAGGACACAAAGATGAGACAGTACACTTTGTATCCGTTATTCTTTTCTTTATGAGTAAAAACTTTCTGACAACCTTTTAAGAACTACTTTGCAGCAGAAAAAGGTTGTCCAAGTGACCCAGCTACTTGGAGCAACCGATGATTTTGGTCAAATCATCAACAGCAGAAGACAAGTTGACATATTGTTCCTGGATCTATCTGAGGCATTTGATAAAGGTCCCCACAAGAAGCTTCTTTTAGAAGTGAACGCAGTTCTTAACTTACACAAACTAGTGAAATGATTCGCTTCACACCTGGAATGGGAAGAACAGTATGTGTATTGCGAAGGCTATGAACATAATATGATGCATGACTTTGGGGTGCCCCAGGGCTTTGTGTTGGGACCTTTGCCTTTTCTACTTCACAATAATTATATTTAACTAAGAACATAGATGTCAAAAACTAGATTATTTGCGGACAATTGTGTTTTATACAATGATATATTCTGAGCAGTTTAAACAATTGCTTAGAAAAAATACTCGATTAGTACTAATGGAATTAAATCACTCAAGAACAGCGTCAATGTGCAATCACCCGCAAAAACCTCCCGAGGAGTTCTCATACATCAATGATGGACAATTAGTTGAAAAGATTGAAGAAGGGCTAAGCTTGAGATTATATTTTAATAATAAACTACCTTTTACGGGATAAGCACATTAGGGAGTTTAAGAATAAAATGCGTAATTTTAGCACACACACTAAATTTAGCGTTTGCACACGTTACACAAGAGAGCTTTAGAATAGCGTTTCTTCGCCGCGACACAAAACCCAAGCATCTCACGCTTGCAACACCGCCAAGGTACAATAACAATTCTTATTTCACACGCAAAATGCTGTAACTTGAGATAAAAAAAAAAAAAGAAAATAGAAGCTTTTGCTCCAGAGTAACATTTTAAACTTGTTTAAATATGAAAAAAGGATGCAAGCGGTCGACCGGTCAAGGTTGCATCCGTCGCCTCGGCAAGAGAGGCCTCGTGTACCGGCCTTCCGCACACCGTACCTTTGCCGTCCTCTATTGAGAATTGCTGTTGCGAAAAGGCCACCGACATCGTGCTCAGGACAAAACCGCCAAGGTGGCCGCGTTTGGTGAGCACAGGTAGAAGATGGCAGCTGGGAGCTGGCATTTTCTGACTGTGCTCGCCTTGGCTTTAGCCAACCTCTCGCACATCACGAATCCTTCTTAAAAGAACGCAAAGACTCTGCGCATGCACAGAGTTTCTTAAAAATAGCGCCTGAAAAGCACGAAACGAAAATAGCGTTCAGTGGAAGCGCAATGGCGATGACAAACTCCCTATTAACTCTGCTGTGGCAGAAGTGACCCAGCAGCTTTAGTCTTTGAAGCGTCTTCTGATGTTTTCTTCATCTAACACAAAACTGACTCTTTAGAAAACTTTATTACGTTTTTTTTTAGAATATGTCCATGAATTGTGTTGGACTCATTGACGAAAATCAACGCCAATAAGATAGAAAATATACAAAAAAAAAGTGGTTAATTTTCTACAAATACGACATGCTGAGTTCAGCATTACTGTGGCAGAGACAACTGCTCAAGTTGAGTGAAAGAGTGGAGGTACATAGATTGAAGGTTAATATTACAAAATATATGAGCTTTTCAGGCCGCCTAAACACCCATTCTTGCCATGCGCATTCATTACTGGAGTATCCTGTTCGACTCGACACATTCGAGTATTATAATTTTTTTCTTTGATCCATGGTTGAATAGAATGCCTGCATCCCTAACAAATTCAGGCTGAGTTGACTACTACTTTATTAATAAAGCTTGGACTTGGGTTTGGGCTAGTTGGTTGTACATTGATAGACGTGCTCCGCTGCAAAGTTCTACAGAACAAACGTGTGACCAAAAATCAATTTTTGGTCACCCGTTTGTTCTGTAGAACTTCACAGCACAGCGCATCTAAAGACTACTACTTCGTTGATGGAATCGCCACTTTATTTAATTTAATTTTATAATTTAGTTATAAGTGTAAACATGTGTTCTTATTGCATTTTAAATAGGATAGAGACACATGATTGAAGACATGTGTCTTGAATCATGTTGCCACGCATATTTCATTGTTACATTGTGCCTCCCCCCTGACCCTAATTGGGGCAGGTGGTATAATAAGAAATTAAAGGAAGATCCATTGATGGATTCTTAGGGAATGCATTAGCATGACCCTTGGGAAATGCCACACACGTCCCCCTTTACTTTTCTGGCTTTCTCTTTTGCTTCCTCTATTTTTTTCTGCCTCTTTTTGGCTTCGTTGCGGGCTCAGTGTTAGCGTTTCCCAAAGGGGGATGTGTGTGGCATTTCTTAAGGGTCATGCGAACGCATTCTCTAAGGATCCACCAATGGACCTTCCTTTAATTTTTTCCGGCCTTGCACACTTCGCAGCGTCATTCGTTGCCTGGCACTGCTTTTGCTGTTCACCGGTTTCGGCAGCCCGTCTCCTTTGTTCACAACTCGTCTTGTTTTGCCTCCTTCTTGGCCCAGCGCTAGTACTTGGTTCACACTCGATTTTGTAGCACAAACCAAGGCCTACGCACTCCGCACACCTACAAGTTGAGACTCGCCCCAGCATCCGCTCGTGCACATCTTCCGCCCCGTGACGTCGCCTCCCCCTCTCCTTTGTCCTTCCCTATACGCTCCTCCTCCCTATGTGGGGTGCTTCCCATTTCACTGTTTTGTCCGCAGACAGACGCCGTCAGCTTTTCCCCGTCATGTGGGTACTCGTGCTAAAGCATTAATAAATACAACATCAGCCGTGGCCCTGACGACCTCCCCGTTGATGCGCAGTGGTGGCAGTGCGGGTGCTGGGCCTCCAGAGTGTGACGGACCTGTCCTTTCCCGACCCCAAGATGGTCCGTGGCACTCCGTGGGCAGACTTGGGAGACTCCATCTACCTCCCCTACAAAACCTTGCTGGAAAGCGCTCGCAACGGTACGTCACTCTCTGTGCATACGACGATGTTTGTCTATTGTGCGTCCTAATTATGTTAATAATATTAACAATTATCTATACATAATGGTAGCCCACATAAGGACACAAGCGCTTCGGGACCATCAGTAATGATCAGCGAGGAAAGAATGCATATAATGGTGTCGCCGACTGAAAATTCAAAGTCAACGGGGATTGCGTATAAATCCAAATGACCGAGCACTTGGAAAAAAATTAATTCTGTGAGCATTTTTGTAATGCAAACTAAATGACTAGAAATGGGGCAATGTTTTACTTTCACGCATTCAGATCGCCTTGCACTTCAGCATTCTGCGTTGCACGGCCGCACAATGGCTAGCACAAAGGGCACTGTCCTTCGTTGTTTATACTAAATGACTGGGAGGTTTCTTCTTGATGTTTTGTAGGAATGTACATTCTGATATTATTGTTTTGGAGGACTTAAACTTTTTATGTTTTCTGTGGCTGCGCTGGAGGTGACTACATTGCTTGTTCGAGATTTCACTGAACTTTGTTGATGTTAGCACTTATCGTGTTTTTTGTGTCATTTGTTCTTTTTCCCTGTTTTTTTCCTGTGAATTTCAGTACTATATTTCTTGGTTTACAAGCAATGCATCACAAAAGTCGCACCCCCCTAAAAAGAGCCACTTTCACAAAAAAGTTGATATAATATATAAGTCCCGCCCTTGTTTAAGCCGCATTTCCTTGTATGATTGGCACAGCAAAAGTACATTGATAAGACCGTAGGTGTGTACAATCGCTGACCTATTTTTTGGACTTTGCAGGGACCGATAAAACATCCGAATAATAGAGCAATCCGTAAAATCAGAAGATAAAAAAAACTTGCTCTTATTACGCCTAAGCGTGCAAAAAAAACGTACATAGTGCCTTGCTTCAGGTTCTGCTTCACACTTTGCTTCAGATTATGCCTCTGCTTGCACTCAGCCACTCTCTAATCACTTGAGGATTGCTGCCTTCTTTTCTAGCGTTATGGTCGAGTACTTTCAGCGCTTCTTAGCGCCACTTTGCGGCGACGGAAGAATAGCTGCGGCCATAACGTCCAAGCCAGTGTAGTCCGAAAACATGATTCACCGAGTCGAGATGAGAGGCGCAAGTCCACAACTGCAATGGCGAATGAACAAAGCAAAATGGTGACAATGATGACGATAATGACTCGCAGCTAGAAAAAAAAAGCCTTATAGCGTTACCTAGCGGTAGGAGTTAGCAGTACTCAAGTTGCACTGCCAAACCAAGCCAATTCATGTGCAGCCAGCATAAAATCCAAAATGGCGGCTTCTCGGTGGCGCTTCCCGCTGATCGGTCGCAATGATTTTTTTGTCCATAAAATTAACTTTCAAACTTTGTTTGAAACATCGGTCGTGTATATGCATTATTTCCATCGGGTAGGTCACGGTTCCTCCTTTAGGTCCGAAATATCAAACAAGTCCGAATTATTGTCGTCCGAAAAATCGGTTGGCGGCTGTATTGTGATTCCGATATAGCCAGTGTTGGCAAGTGCTGTACATTGTATGAAGTACTACTTCAAAGAGGTTTAGAATACTTTTACTTTACTTGAAGTACAGGGAGTTCCAGAGAACAGAGAACCGTGTTTCCCGGCCAGGATAAATAAACTTGGCATTGCAGTAAGCTCCATGAGAATGTGAAGCTAGCAGTTGGGATAGAACGCAAAAGTTTGAGAACATGATGTTTCCTGGATCAAAAGATAATGGAGAAAAACAATATTTTTCTGGGAGCCAACGTCCACCTATGCCTAGTATCGTCAAAACAACAAATGATATTGTGAATGTTTGTGGTATTTATATGAGGGAAAAACGCATGTCAGCAAGAAAGAGAACATTTTTTTCTTTCTTGCTCACAAATTTGTTTCACTGAAATACCGTAGATTCTGCAGGCACCCCCAATGCCATTTCTTGTTTTGAAGATATTAGGCTTGGGTGAACGTCGGCTCATAGAGATATTGAGTTTTTCTCAGTTATCTTTTGATCCAGAAAACGTTTTCAAACTTTGGCGTTCTATCCCTAGCGTCACATTCTCATGGAGTTCAAGCTTTCTGCAGTGCATAGTTTTTTTACCCGGGGCAATGAACACGGAATTTTTTTCTCGGGAACCCCCCGTACATTCTCTGATTATATGTACTTGTTCTTCGCTGAAATTATTTTTTTTCTAGTAGTTTCCGAGGAAAGTACAACTCCCGACTTCAATAAACATTTCCCAAATTTGGGCTCGTTAAATTTGTATCCCAAAATGATGCTTTGTGAAAATAACTGATGCTTTGTGAAAATAACTGATGCACCCCTGATTACCCCTGTGGCAATGCATACCATTAAAATGATTGATCATCGTGAAAGGTTGTCTTAAAATGCACACTTGTACTTTATTTGGAAAAAGAAATTGGGTTGTGTGTGTGTTTATACAGCCTAGAACTTGGTCTGCCTCACAGGGGCGACGAGTCTCCCAGCTGTAGATGAGAAATTTAGCCAGTGCGGTACAGCCGCTAGCCTGGGGTCTTCAACGTGCATCACGCAGTAGTGATACACGACCGCACGCCGGTGTACGATGCTCATCCAGATCAAAACGGGCAGGGGTGGGGCTCGAACCCAGGATCCCTGGGTTCTGCAGCGCGAGCTTTCGCTCCACGCGCTCCGAGCTGGTGTGCGCTAGACCACTCAGCCACCGATCCCCCCACTTTACTTCGAAAGTACATTGTAATTGTAGTACTTTAAATTCAGGTTGATTGCACCTGGGGTACTTACTGCTACTTTCCTTGAAGTGCATAACCTCTCATTTACTTTGTACACTTTACTTGAAGTAAGTTTTAGACAAAACTTTACCAAACTAGCGTGGGCCAGTTTCATTAACGAATTGAACGAAAATTATACTCCTCCGGGTGCAATTTGCACAGTTACGGTTCATACTTACAAACAAAAGTGTATGAGTCTGACCGTTGTATATAGGGCGCACGGACATGAATTTGTGAGCCGCGACTTGTACACCAGAGGACATTGTGCCTTGTTCAGTGGGAATAGCATGGTTAACTGTGTTTCCCTTGTCCGCAGGTGTGGTCAAGGTGGCCTTCTTCTCCTACCGTCAGATGGAGGCCATCTTGTCTGCCCCGAGTCCCCCAGGGGGCGACGGGGTTGGAGGCAACATGACGCGACTGGTCAACTCGAGGGTCATGGCTGCCGCACTGGGTCGCCGCCGTGTGCTGGGACTGTCCCAGCCCGTGCTGGTCACCCTCAGGCACAACAAGGTGCACATTTTATCAGCCACCAAGGCATTTGGAATGGCGTTACAATGCAAAAAGAATAAAAAAATAATTTGACTGCACAAAAGAAATGATTTAGAAATCAAATATTCTCAGAATCAAGAAAGAGTAATTTTTGATTCAAATTTTTGTCTTTTCTAAATGTCAAGTTCAAATATTCACAGAAAAATCTGATTAGGTCCTGAGTATATCAAACTAAGCTAAGTCAACTAGAACATTTTGACGAACGCGAATCAAATTTGAAGAATATTTAAATTTAAATAAAAGTTGGATGTACATAGTCTATGTCGGAAATTCTTTTCGATCTGAGCATAAAATTATGAATACTTGCGTGGCCCCAAAGATTAAAGCCTCTCAGTCTGATCGTTTTTATGGTTTTATGCATCTTCTACGAAGCAGTTGTGCGAGTCACTCTTTTATGTATGTATAGCCATCTATTGTGAATGTTGCCTAAGTGAAATAATCTTTTGTTTTCAGGAGGAGAATGTGAGCGACCCCGAGTGTGTATTCTGGGACTTCAGCAAAAGGTATGTTTATTGCCATATACTTAATTTCATTGTCACGCAGAAATGAAGGCAGTTTTGTTGGGGAACAACTGTTGACTGCCCTCGAAAGTAGCACGAGTTTGGAAGTCAACTCTCAATAATTTGGAGCTCATGGAGACAGCGGAAGTCTTCAAATTAGGTGAACTTGGAATTAAGAAATGCGCTGAAACTGTGAGATCTTTTTGTTTTTCATGTAGTACTCACCTGGGAGAACACTGTTTTGGGGTGAGCACGTTGGATTTGGATAAAAGCTTAGGAAAGAATTGAATGTAGAAGGACAGAACACGAACAGCCCATGCTGTCCACAGGCACCAGAATTTGTTTTTGCGGGTGGGCCAAAATAACTTTTTGCATTGAAGGGGCTCTTTGCCAGCCCCAACGTAAAATATATGTTCGGATATATTTAGGTCCAGTTCTCATTATTGAAGTGCTTCTGTAACATTTATGATAGATCATCCTATATGTGTCATTGTAATTGCTTTTTCTACAAGCGCACATATTAACGAAAAAAAGATTTTTTTGTCACGAGTTTCCAGTTTCTTTATTTGACAATAGATAAACCATGCATCAAATCATAACAACCAAAAACAAGTGAATATGCAATTATTGAACGCATACCTTTGGCACTTTAGACAAGACGCTTGTCAACATCAGTGTTGGTCGTTGTCGCTTGCTGGCCCCGTTGCTGGCTCTATCTTCCTCCCTCTTCCTAAGTACCCGGTCATCCGTGTTCTGTGCTTCTATGTGTAATTCTTCCGTATTTACTTAGGAGAAGTTGACTTTTGCTTGCCTCCGCCAACAAAGACATGCTGTTTATACAATGCTCTGCAGATTGAAAACCTTTCTTAGGGTGCCTTCAACAATTTCATTGCGAAAGAAAATTAAAAAAAGTACTCCGTGCTATTGCAAGCAGGTTCTGTGTCAGCAACACTTGGCTCGTAAAGAGACGTAATTGTTCCTAGGCCTAACCACTTGCACGATTTCGCTGTCCAAAAGTGGGCCACAGACCACGGCATGTTTTTTTACATCAATATCGTACAAATGTATCTAAGGGTCACTCTTTTTTGTCCAGCTTTGGGGTTACTTTGTTAGGTTAAGCCCATAAACGGATAAAAACAAAAGGGTTAAAAAATAGACGACGTTGCGTTTGTATGCAGCGGGCTGGAACAGCTTTATTTCGGTCTCGATCATTGTACGGTATCCTTAGCTCCTTTTCAGGATTCAGCTCGAGAAGAAATTCTGCAGAATTTCTCGTCAAAGCCCATATTGTGGCAGATGAGGGGTGATGTGGTGAACTTGCGTCGAGAAAACAAAAGCCAAATAGTCACGTCGAAGTCAGCATAACCGCAGGGGTCGAGCACCGAAGCAAGACTGACCTCAGACCGCTACGAGCACCTTCTGTAACCGCGTGGGTTTCTGGAACATTTGGCGTAGAACGCTCGGCGCGTAGAACATTCACAACTCGATCGGACGACAAGGTTCCCAAACTTTCGAGAACGCTAAATCGAATTAACAAAAAGATGCGTCCGCTCCCAGGAGTCAAACCTGGGGCCTCCGCGTTATAAAGCCAAACACCGTAACCATTTGGCCATGCGCTCGCCCGCTCGTGGACGCGCGAGGCAGTATTGACGTTGAGTGGCCGCAGCATGCCACTAAGCCCACCCAGGATGGCACTTTGTCCCACAAACTTCAGATCATTGCTAAGTCGGCACCAAATGAAGTTCGAGCCAGTGCTCAGTAGGTGCCAATTCATGTTCAAGTCATTGCTGAGTTAGTGAGTTATGAACGTTCAAACCAACATTAAGTGGATGAGAAGTCATTATTTGTTTATTTATTTCAAATACCCTTAAGGTAAATACATTGAAGAGGGGAGTGAGCTATAAAATATTTACAATGCGCACATATACTGGTAAGAACATTTTTAAACAGGACGATATCAGTGATGTTGACAGTCGAGGCGGGAAGGTTGTTCCAATCCAAGGACTTGAGAGGCGTGAAAGAATATTGAAATAACAATGTTTTGAAATTTGGAATGCCGACCTTATGACTGTGATCAATGTGAGCGGAGATGTAGGATGGTGGGTTAATTATGTTTTGACGAAGTACAGCATTTTGATGGAATATTTTATGAAAAAGACACGAACGAAATATTTTACGGCAATGAATGTGATGGGAATGTAAACCTAACGCGTTTTTCACTGTAGTGACGCTGGGGGTGTGGTGATAGTTTGACAGAATGAAACGGGCTGAGCGATTTTGAATGGATTCAAGTATGGTAATTAGTGACGAGTGAGCAGGGTTCCATACTGCTGCAGCATATTCCAGTTTTGGGCGAATTAGAGTTTTCTACATGGTATAGTTTTAATGAAGACGGAGCGAGAAAGAAATATCTTTTCAGGTACCCTAACATGCGCATTAGCACTATTAACTACGTATTCTACATGTATCTTCCAAGAAAGGTAGATGTTATGTGAACTCCAAGATATTTATAAACAGACACTGCAGTGAGAGGTAATTGCTGTTAAGATGGTAGGTATGACACAGATTTTGAGAATGTGATATTTTCATTGATTTGCATTTATCTGTGTTTAATTCCACGCAAGTGCAAGCTGTCATGGCTAGCACCAAGTCCTGTTGAAGTCAGTGCAAGATGAGCACACTATTTCGAGTGCTGGCAGCACTAATTATATGGGAACCGGTTGTAAGCATAGCGTGAAGCAGTATTTGACCGGCTGTCCGCACTTTCCCAGGGACTGGTCCGAGCGGGGCTGCTGGGTGGAGTCGAGCAACCAGACCCACACCACCTGCGCCTGCAACCACCTGACAAACTTTGCAGTGCTCATGGACGTCAGGGCCGTGCAGGTGGGACCCCCCTTCCGCCCCTTTTCAATATTCAGAGCCACCTGGCGACCCAAATAGCAGTTGCCGTACTACTGGCGGTCGTGAAAATGTACTTTGTCGGGCATCGTCACTTTTGCACGTCGATGGCAGATAAGAATCTGTCCTTTACCTCGTAGTTCTTTCTCGGTTTGAATTCTGCTCCTCTCTGCACAAAATCGGCTCTAAAGCGGCTTTGTGCCGAGGGAGCAGAGTCTGAAATAAAGGCTGACGCTGCGCTTGTATTCAATTTGTACGTTGCATTGTGCTAGTGTCTCGAAAGTTTATGCCTCGTATCCCTGGGAGCATCTTCAACATCTTGCTTCATCAGTCACTAGAGGGCTGCCATTACTGTGGCACAGACGCTATACCCTCGCACGATGATAGTAATCAACGGGTCCAGACTGAGGAAGGGTTTAATACAGCATGGCACGTCAGCATTCAAATCTTCACTCAATACTATTCACTCCCTACAATCCTGGCGTAACATTGCGCAATTGTGTCCTCTCCGCACATTTTATCACAATGTCTTCCAGTCTGATTGTGCTACTGAACCTTTAATGGCTTTTAAGGTGTATAATAATTAAACAAATAAACGAGTTAATAGGTAAATAACTGTCCAGTTGACTAATGTCAGTTCCACATGGTTTTCACACTTTGGTGATTTTTCGTGCGAATTAATCTACACTTTCTTTAGAAGTTTGGAAATATTGATTCATGTGCAGTGTGTCCTGCTGTCAGTCAAGCATATTTTGAAATGCTGTGGCATTTGGCTGGTTCCTAGTGTTGCAGGTCTTGAAACTCGTCCCCACACTGTTTGTATACAGCACCATTTACTTATACTGATGAAACCTTTAGCTGGGTATTGTTAACATGCTAACAAAAGTATCGAATTTTATAAACGCACACAAACTGTATTTCATTTTTGCATATATTGTTGCACTGCTTCATTATAGTCCGAACTTGGTGAGTGTATGAATTCTTGCGCACTAATTTGGTTGGTTATTGTATGAATTCTTGCGCACCAACTTTAAAAAGAGGACAGCTTTTCTTATTAATGCAGAATATGTTTATAAGCTGGATTTTATGGAAAAGTGTAACGTTCAAGTGTGACGAAAAAGCGTTACACACAGGCCAAGGCAACGTTGAGGATGCGTAGTCCACTGCAGGCAATGCATAAGCATTCAAACCATAAAAGCCCCACCTCTACTTTTGCCACGATTTGTATTTTTTTTTTTTTTAAACACCAAAAGATAGTTTATTTCTAGTATACTAAATGCAGTGCCTGGGTCAATGGTGACATTGGCAAAAATGGGGTTAGTTAGCTACTGCGGCAAATTAACGAACATTTGCGACTGCAGTGGATGGCCATCTATGCTTCATCGTCAGAGCTGAGATAACGAGTTTAGGGTGTCGCATAGATCTAGAAATGTCACTTTTTTAACATTTCTCGATCGCACGCAGAAAGTTAGCCCAGCCCTTATTTTTACTCGATTTCCTCTTAATTTTAGGTAGCCCTCTGTCCAGCGTCGGCGCCAAGTCATACTTGGTCCAGCTAGTCCGCAGTTAGCAGTGATTCATACTTTGTCCAGGGTACTTAGTCCGCAGGCGGGGGCAAGTCATACCTAGCTCCAACCTTAATCCGATCACACCCTACACTCCGATAAAGTCATTCAAGTAAAGTGACCCTTTGTGCTATCACCGGCAAAACCAATCACGTAAGCATAAGCAAACAGCATCTGTCATTGTGCAGGATTGGTTTAGTGACCCGGGGGTCGGCAACTTTTTGCTGAAGCGGGCCGAATTGCTGCAAACTCGGGATGAAGCAGGCCGATCAAAAACCGGAAATGGGGAGGGGAGGGGAGGTTGCAAATTATAAAGAAATTTCCCAGGCTTAAAGTGACATAAAAAATTTTTTCTTGATTTAGGCACACATAACTTAATATTGATTCGGTTACGTCGCTGTCTCCCGCAGCTTAAAGCACAATGCGAACTACAAGGTAAGAAACACCACTATGCGCAAGTTGCACCTAAGTCGAGTGGCACTCAGTCTCGTAAGGTTTCACTTCGAGGCTATCAAAATATACGGTTTATTTGACTAAAGCTTATTTTTATCCTTCAAGCATGCATTGGTCGAACCCTTACTCCTATATCTTTATAAAGGGCTCGGGAAAACAGTAGTGAAAAGAGAAACATTAGACACAAAAATGCAGTCTGTGGGCACGTACGAAATGTCATGTTTAGTGTCGCCCAGAATATTTTCTAGGCTTTGCGACTCGCTAGCTCCCTTCCGTAGACTGCGATGAATGCTCAGTGGGAATATTGAGATATCTATCGGGCTATCTCCAGAGATATATTCTGACCTTCTGTTGTTTTGATGATGCAGCTGTCCTACTCCAACGAAGTGGCCCTTCAAGTGATCACATACATCGGCTGCTTCATCTCGATCATCTGCATGGCGCTCACTATCATCACCTTTCATTTCTTCAGGTGAGCATACATAGGTATGCCGTGGCTAAGTTGCATTGTTCCTACGTCATCAGTAGGTATGTTGCCAGTCTGGTGTGTGTCGATCATCCAAGTTGTATGAATGAGCGTAGCATCTCGTTCATGTGTGACACTGTCAAGCAGACTTATGCCCATTATTTTAAAAATGTAATGGATTACAATTACAAATTACCGAGCTTCAAATGTAATGGATTACTGTTACAGATTACTTTTGATGAAAAGTAACTGATTACTTTACAATACAAATTACTTTCACGTTACTTTTTCCATACAAAAATCAAGAAAACAATAGAGACAGTGTTGATGTTTTCAAAAATGTTCTGCAATGCTACTTTTCATTTCCCATAGACCCCAGCCCCGCATTATGGTAGTCCTTGTAAAAATCCGGTCAACATTTTCAAATTTGGGATTACGACTGTTTTCAGCTCAGTCAGTGTCCCTAAATTACGAGGCATTTTTTTTCTATATATTTTATATAGTTTTATATATATCATGGCCCAAAAGTGTGGTTTTGGGCGTCAACAGCAAAAGCGAAACTATCTGCTAGAGAGATAGCAACACTAATCATCAGCTGTACGGCCGCGATGTGACGTCACAGTGGTGCTGTGGTACATCCAATCAACCGCGGCTCCACGGCGACGTGACGTCACGGGGGTGCTGCGGTACGCGCCGTCCAGTCTTTCTTGACTAAAAGTTAACCCGCTTGCCACCCGCTAAAGATCAGCTCGTCGCGAATTTAGAATCGATTTTAGTGGAGTATGCGGCACTACTTTGACGTGATATTTCGGCTCTGATCATATTTCGTGCCACGAACGATACCAAATATTCATTTAGGTTTTGTTTTTGACCGGAAAGAATGTAGGTGCACTTCATCCACCTGTAAGCTGACAAGACAGCAACAGCTGCAACCACACCCACCATCCCGTTAGCTTATGGTGACCAGAAATGGTGCCTGGAATTCTGCAGACAAAGCTAGTGGTGCGCATGCTCAGTCGCAGCGTCTGCCTCCGCTAGGAGATCAAGAAGACGACTACTCGGCGTTGTCTTCCTGATCTTTGTTTTTCGCATATTTGTATATGCATTGCACGTTTTTCTAGTAGTTCAAGTGACCGGTCATACAAAAAAATTGTTTTTTATATTCGGTTCTCCTCTTCATGACGTTTTCTATTTTGCTGAACCTGCTATCTTTATGCTGCTGAACTGCCTGCTCCTAGCTATTGCTTTAGTTTCTGCATTATGTTTCTATTTTTAGAAAGTAACGAGTAACTAAAGTAATCCGTTACAAATATTTGTTACAAAATTACTTTACAAATTACTGCTGCAAAAAAGTAACAAGGCAATTACAAGATTACTTAATAAAGTAACGGATTACAAGTACCTAATTCGTTAGTTGTAATAGATTACATCCCAAGTCTGCAGTCAAGGTTCGTTTGGGATGACGAGAGAAGAGATCAGGAGACTGACAGCGATATAAGCATGGTTATTCACAAGGCATTTGTGCTACGCATAGTCACCAGCGGGTCCTGACTTGCGTTGTTGGTTCCCTTGACCGTGATGGGCCCGATGCCCTGCCATGCCGGACGGAGGCAGGTATGTTTGAGTTTGGCCCCCGATGCCGAGATGGGGTCGAGTATGTTAGTGCCGAGGATCTTGACGCCGGAGCGGAGCCTGTGAATACTTGAGGCCAGGTGCGTTCACACGGGAGAGGAGCTGGTGTCCCTGAGCCCAGGTACATTGATGCCAGAGCGAGACTGGTGTGTGCGCCAGTCTCGCTCGTTGCTCGTTACCTGAATTCATGCGAGAAAGTTTTAATGCGAAAGCATTAACTGGGGGGTCCCATGGAGTGAGCTGACATCGTCAGTTGGAAGCCCTAAAACGGCACCTAGTTTCCCCGATCCCAAAGGAGCGAAGTAAAGCTGATGGATTTCGCCTTGGGTTCCATTGGCTGGCGCGTCGACGGGGCTCACATTGGCCGCTGCACTCGTCAGTTTCCACGACCGCCCATCCCATGGCGCTGGGTGTCCATCAGCACGCCGTTAACACAGAGCGTCCAAGGTCACCAGGGGAGCACGCGCGCTGACCGGCGACGAAAAGTATGCAGCAGACGAAAAAGGGAGCGGATGAGCGGTTTGCATGCTTTTGCATTCACAACTTGCAAGAAGTGCTTAGGTGTACCTCCAGCCTTTTTTTTTTTTTTCGACTTTCAATGACTGTGGTACTCGTGGCATGGTTTAGGCAGGGCTGCGCGACTCAAGAACGGTGTAGGCCGAGCCAAATTTTATTTGGAACCTCTTAGGCCACTGCCTGGCCCAAGTAACTACCTTGCTGCAGTACAAAAGGCCTTATTTCAACAACAGTCAGACAATACCTAAACTCTTCTCTGCTTATCTCTGTTTTCTTGACGCATTGCCTAATGTCATATCTACCAAAACGTACCATAAAGTGGTTTTCTATTTTTGAAAAAAATTCTAAAAGGTGGCGCACTCGAGGGAATGTTTCTTATTATTTGTATTTATCCGAGAAATTTTTTATTTCGGACTGGAGGGCGTATCCAGTGTGCTCCTCTTGCAACGTGACTTGGCTGGTTTTTGCGAGGCCTTAGCCTAGCCTTACAAGGAAAAGGGGAGGAATATTCGGGCTTGGCGCAATGATTTTTACACTTTTTTTGGGGGGTCTTTGTGGCGATCAGCATCCTTGCTTGCTACAAGGACGTATTTCCTGCAGGGTCAGAACATGCATGTTTGGAAGCGGTCAAGCAAGTTAAAAAATTTCCGTAAATTTGGAGGGTAGAGCTTCTGGATCAGCTGAAATGAGAACTTGCTCTACACTCTTTGGCAGAGTGAAACCATATCTTCAGCATGTTCATGCCCGTGATCGACGAAAGCACACTGAAGCTATATTTTTGCGTTGCTAGTACTACGAGCTATTTTATACTACAAGCTATTTTATAGTGCACAATGACTACGAGCTATTTTATAGTGCACAATGGCGTAAGTTTATCTCTTCCCAAATGAATTAAGTTTTAACTTTTTAGTGAAATTCGGTTCAACATTTTTTGGGCTAGTTACGTAAAGCTTTTTTAGGGACGCTGCAGTAGGGGCCAAATTCTGCATCTATTGACCCCGCTTACAGGAGCTTGGAAAGCGACCGCACGGTGATCCACAAGAACCTGTGCACCTGCCTCCTGGTGGCGGAGATTGTATTTGTGGCAGGCATCACGCAGACGAGCCAGCGCGTGGTCTGCGGCGTGGTGGCTGGGCTGCTCCACTATTTCTTCCTGGCGGCCTTCCTGTGGATGTTTGTAGAGGGCTTCCAGCTGTACGTCATGCTCATAGAGGTCTTCGACTCGGAGAAGTCGCGGCTCGGCTGGTACTACGTGTTGGCATACGGCGCACCCGCTGTCGTGGTCACCGTAGCTGCCTGCGTGGATCCGACCAGCTATGGGACGGAGCGGTACTGCTGGCTGCGCGCCGACAACTACTTCATCCTCAGCTTCGTGGGTCCCGTCGTAGCCATCTTGTTGGTGAGCAGACCTTAGCTGTCTCTTCCGGTGGTTTAGTAACTAGTCGAAGACGAGGGACAAAAGTTAGGACATGCTGTTCAGTGATTGGTTGAAGAGGAGGTACAAAAGTGAGGACATACTGTGGTTTAGTGATTGGTCGAAGACGAGAGACAAAAGCGTGGGCGATCAATGTTTTCACCATCGCGTTGGTTTGTCTCTTAGTTTTACGACAAATAGACTTAGTGGTGCACCATATATTTTTCTCTCTAACTCGATAACCAGATGATCACACAGATGCTAAAATGTCCACTGTCCAATTCTGCCTCTGTAAAAGATAACACTTGCAGTGTCAAGAAACCGACCTATATGGTCCACCGAATTAATGATGTCACAAGTCGAAGGACCCTGCTTATACAATGTCTTGATGCTTCTCTGGTTTACTGTTCCTCCTGGTGCAGGCCAACCTGGTGTTTCTGAGCATCGCCATCTACATGATGTGTCGCCACGCCAGCCTGGCCAGTTCGGTCAAGAACAAGGAGCAGTCCAAGATGGCCAACCTTAGGTGAGCCTCTTCTGGCACTCTTGTTTTATTTCTACAACTCCCACTTTCTTTAACCTCACTTAAGCCTTGCGCTTAATGGTGCCAGCATTACATACATTTGCTCCTTCCAGAGTCTTTTCAGCTTTTTTGTTTGTCATGCTCATTGAGTTTCTCCACTGCTACCCTTTAAGAGGAGAAAACTTTGAGGATTTTCTGCATTGCAGGAAAATAAGTGGTCTATTGGCCTTTGACATGCTTGTAACAAACATAGAAAACCTGTTGCACAATAAAACCTTTCGAGTAGCTATCAAATACTGAGTATGGCTTAATAATAATTTTGATTGCAGTTTTTATTTTCACTTTTGTGGAGCAAGGAAGGACAGGGAAATCCACCCAATACAGAGGCCATTTGTACACCAGTCGATTTCTGGATGCACAACCTTCACAAACTTCTAGGATCGACAATGGCCTCGTGTATGCACGATTGCCATCAGGTCATGTTTTTTTTTTATAAAGTCTACCTGCCAATTGAAATGTTTCTCACAGACCAAACAAGATTTTATGTTAGCGAAGGGCAATTTTTAGGAAGGAAGAAAGTAGTGATACTTTTGGATGGTCTGTGTGAACACTACAGCAGCCACACAGAACTCGCAGCAACTGCCTAATTGCTAACAATGGTTCCTGTCTTTCAACGGAACACAATAATTTTTCTCTCTGCATGTTCAAGTTATGTATCAGATGTACATCTGGAACCATGGTAAAAATGTGGGCCAGAAAAGCTAAAGAACGTTTTTCTGCTTTCATGCTCTAAAAGTGTTATGTTTTCTGTTAACGCTGCTCGCTCCAGCAAGGAGGATACAGGAAGTCCGCTCCGCCTGACGTAAGCCTAATTTCTTTTCGTCTTAATCTAATTTGAAAAAGGAGTGAATGCACTTTTTAGTGTCTCAGCTGTGGTGGTATGTCCCGGTGAACGAGTCAATGTGGTGATGTATGCTGCACAGAGGTTGCAAGGGGGGTATACTCAGGCCACGACCGGCTTTAAAAAAATCGACCGGGTCATTCGAAGCCCTCCAAGCAGGGGGAGTGGGCTGCATGTGCCTCTTTAGCAGTTTTTAGTTCGTCCATCTGCTACAGAGGCCACGGCGCTGAAACTTCATCCGACGCGGGAGGATTCGCTCCTCTCCCCCCTCGTATGTGTCGTCTGCTCCGCTTGAATTTTGTGAGCGGTGTGAGCTAACTTGCGCTTGTGTGACTGCGTTTCATGGCGCACCGTGGGTTCGTGAGGGTGCCAATCAAACCATTCGGGCATCTCTGCCGCGAGGTGGCTATGTGGTTGCCTCGCCTCAGACGCAGTCACACGGCTGCGTCGCCGCATGTCCATCGGGATCCCGAACCCGGCTCCCGACGTACTGATTGCTCTCCTAGCCTCTGAATGGCGCTGTAGGTGCCCCAGGGTGGGCGAGGGGGATCTCCAAAGGCAAATGTTTAGGGTTGTGCGAATATTCGAAATTTCGAATAGTAGTTCCGAATAATACACTATTCGATATTCGCTTTGAGAAGAACTGCACTATTCGCGTTTTTCGAAGTGTTGATTGCGGCGGGTTAGCCCGGTTGAGTGCGCTTCTTGCCAAGCACCGGTGCGCTGCGGAGAAGCACTACCCGCGGAAGCGAGCTTTGTGGGTGTTGCTTCTCTGCATTACGTCGCTGCTCGGTAAGAAGCGCACTCAACAGGGTAACCCGCCGCGATAAACACTTGAATAAGTAGGAATATTACCATTGCGCGCTTGGAAGAGAAGCATACATTCAAAGCGGGTCGGTGCACCCGTCACGACTGTATTTGAAAAGAAATTAAAACTTTGTGAATCTCTATATATACATTGTAGTAAAGGTTTCAAAATTAAACGGTTATGCAAGAGTACACCATGTTGGGCAGAGATGCCCTTGCAACCTGCATTCATCATGCGCAATTCATTCTTTTCTAACTCGAGATTAAAGAAAAACATTTTATTGAGCAAGATTTGTAAATTCCTTTGAATTGGATATAGTTGGCCATTTTTATAGGATTCATTTTATGTTAAATCCGTCGTCTACTTGCCATCCCAGGACACCAGACCTTCTGAGGTCACAGTTCATAAATATGGATAGATTAAACTTAGCTTATAAATGAACAGACAAGAGCGCTCTGTCTACTTCCTCGTCCTTGTGTTTTTTTTTTTTTTTTTTTTTTTTTTTTTTTTTTTTGCGCTTTTGTATGTGATCTTGAACCAACTGGGCCAAATTGCTACCTTAATGGTAGTAAAAGGCGTGGGAAAACTATTCGATATTCGAATTGAAAATATTCGGCCCAAACTCCTATTCGCTTCGAACTTAAAATCCACTATTCGCACAACACTACAAATGTTTTTTTGATAGAGCTCTCGTGTGGTTGGTTTGTAGATATTACGTTGCGTACAGGAGGACTGTGTATTGTAGGGTGCACCGATGAACCCGTTTCTCTCTCTCGTTTTCAGGATCTGGATCCGCAGTGCCACGGTGCTTGTGTTCCTGCTGGGCCTTACGTGGGCCTTTGGGCTGCTCTACCTCAATGCAGAGTCTGTGGTGATGGCCTATCTGTTCACCTTCCTCAACAGCCTGCAGGGGCTCTTCATCTTCGTCTTCCACTGCCTCAGAAACGACAAGGTGACCACTCCGACCTTGTCTCCTTTGGGTCATTTTTGCACGGTGTGCGTGACAGATACACCGCAGCTCTTCCTTGGCGGCATTAGTCAGCAAAGCCTTTTCGGAAGCCTTGTCTGGTGGCGGCAGCTGCAGAAGCTCGTAATTTTCGGTTTTAAGTCGGTGACAAACAGAATCGACAGAATTGCGCAATTTCGTGAATTGAAGGCAGATACATGGGCCAGTGCTGGAAGCCACATCTCTGCTCCATGGCGCTGAGACAACATCGGTACTACTGCCAGCACTGACTGAACAGCGAGTTTATTATGAACGGACTGGCCTTACACCATCAAGCGCCGTGGGTGAACTGCAGTCATGGTGCCTCCGCCCCTCCACCCCACCCCAACCTCTTTTTTTTTTATACACCGATATCTACTAGGTGTACAACATTACGTAGTAATAGACATGCGAGTAGTGACCGAACATGAGTGTTTAATCAGCCGAGAACCGCATTCCAACAAGGAACAATGATCAAGCATATAGCATCATGTCGGGTGCTGTGTACATGTAGATTGAAAAGCTAAAAAAAAGAAAAGGTGGTGGCACCCTCCGATTGATGGCGCCCTGCGCGACTGCCCAGGTGGTCCACCCCAAAGGCCGGAACTGGCTACGAACCAAAAATCGGAAGCGCAGATTAGTGTAGAATTTCTCGGAAGCTACGTATGCGAATTTATTACAATCACATAAAGTGATTGTGATTTCAATTGTTAGTGAAATTCAAAATTCTTCGTTACGTTCACCTTTGGTAGAGCACATGTCGATATCTGCCTCATCTGTAATTGTTTGTGCAAGTTCCGTCATTATTTTATTGTTGCACGTGTTACAAAAAAAGAAGTATTTTACTAATTTACATCAATAACTTTTAGGTCCAATTACGTAGTGTTCATATTGTCATCATTCTTATGGCAGTTGCACACTTATCACGAGAGCATCCTGCTAAACGCAACCATTTTTAGATAGTATTTGCCCAGTGCCGACAAAGAAACAAGCGAAAAACCATATACGGATTTTGGCGGGTACCGGGATCTCGTCGTGGGAATGTCCACAAAGTTCCTGGTCACGATTTGAAGACTAAAGCGTACAAAATGCCTCTGGAAGTTCCTATATTAGAACTCACGACGAGCGGTGAGGTACCAGGATCAGGACAGTCCTCTCCTTGGGACGCTCCTTCCTCGTCGCTCAACATCTCGGGAGTTTCTTCCGAGAGCGGCTCGACGTTGGTAAGGAGGGGAATCGAAAAAGGCACAACGTCGCGATTACTGGCTGTAGTGTCCCGTTATTTCCAAGGTTTCGAGCGACGAAATAAAAACGTGCGTATCTATATTTGAGCTTCTCAAATTAATTTCTCGATAAAATATTAGTTATTTTGGATCGATAATTTGGCAGCTTAATTCGAGGTACCGTATTTTCCGAACTATAGTCCACGGACTAGTTGAAAATTCACCCGGTACAGACTATCTACAAGTGCAGACTATACAACGATTTGTTTTTTTCTAGATCGTTCACTGTGACAAGTCGTGAAGGATTTTATCAGTAACGGACTATATTAAGGTTGATTTTAGTATGATAAAGCTTCTTTATGAGCTTATACAGTAGGCATCTGTCGAGGTGTGCTGGGTTTGATACTTTTTAGGTTTGGATTAGGCACTAAGTGCAGACTGTGCATGGGGTGCAGATTATGTAAGACTATCTAAGCAAATACTTCTACTTTTGACCTAAAATTTGCCCCTGTGGACTATGCACCGGGTGCGGACTATGGTCCAGAAAATACGGTACTTAAAATTGCACGAGGCGGGAAGACCTACAATTGCGATTTTTAGACTGGAAAGGTCCTTTAACTGAAAAATTATGAAAATTTACTTTGTAGATAAATTTGGAAAGACATGCGCTGAACTTGAAAAATTAGAAACCAAAAAATTTCAAACCTTGTGCACCTCCGATAAACTCGGAGATACACACAATGTATTGCAAACGCACATGCTGCGTGTGTGTATGATGTCACGTGACCAGCCCAAGGAAATCGCCCGACCATGGCATGGTGTCACATGACCTCACGGTGTTATGTGACATTAAGGTGTCGCGTGGTGTTAAGGTGTTGTGTCATTCTGATGTCACGTGACCTTACAAAGTCACGTATCACAGGTTCATATGATGTGACCCTGTGACATCGCATGACCTCACAATGTTGCACGATATGACATTATGTGACGCCGCTAAGTCAAGATATATAAGCAATATATTGCTTATATATCAGGCCAATGGGGCTGTATACAGCCCCATTGGCCGGGGTCGGCAACCCAGAAACCAGAAAAGTGCCTCTTCTCCCGCCGCTTCCTCGCACAGATTCAAGGACGGCAGTTTTTACCTCGAATGGGGTAAGGTGGGAACAACCCCCAATTGGCATAGTCCGGCTTCCCCATACTTGGGCAGAGAACGTCTTCCGTCGCGCTTTAACGGAGCGAATGCCGGAGTGGAGGTTCTTGTTGCCCTTCGCGACTTGCCGTCCGGCCCCCTTCGTGTCGGCTTCGCGACGACTCTGCCCGCAAAAGGTTGCCGACCCCCGCCTTATGTGACCTCCACCCGCGCGTTGGTCGAGTGTAATCTGTGGCTTTTCTCGTGAGGAGTTGTGTGGCTTTTCTCGCAAACCCCCCCCCCCCCCAATCTCGGGGAGTTGATTGTTTGTCCTCTGACGGGTGCAGGTGCGCAAGGAATACAGGCAGCTGGTGCGCCAGTGCCCCTGGGCCCCCCCGTGCGTGCGTCGGGAGGACAAGTGCCCGCCCGCCGAGCGGCCGTCGTACGCCCACTCCAACGGCACCGCCCACTCGGCGCCCTCGGGCGCAGCCCTCAGTGTGCGTACCTCCTGCACCTCTACCTTTGCCCACCCCGCCCCGGCAGGTAGTAGCCACTCCCCCCTCCCCCGCACTGCCTGGAACGCGTCTCCGCATCATCCCGGCGGTCGATCCTAGAAGGCGTAGAGCGGGTGTCCAAACTGCCGGAGCTTCGTGAACCGTCGAGCTGGAGCGCGACCCGTGGTAGAACGAGCATCTACCTCTGCCGCTGCGGCACCTTCGGGATCGCGACGCGCGACGGTTCTACCGCCTCGTTGGGCAAAAATCTAGAGCCTAGAAACGAGGCCGACGCACCGGGCGGAGACACGTTCCAGGCACTGTATCCGCACGCCGCACTCCTCTGCATGCTGCACGCCTGATGTCGGCACATTGACCGAGCAATTCGTTCTTCCACCAATAGACGATGGGTCGACGGTAGTTCGACTCGACAAAGCTGCAGCCCTGTGGGCTATTTCTTTGGCCCCGCACGCGCGTGTTCGTTGCTCCGAAAATTGGGCGTGGCACGTGCCGGGTGTACGGAAGTTAGAAATTGCACCGCCCAGAAGTCCCTCGTAGACCCCTTATGCAATCTTGTGCGCAGCAAGGACGAGGACAAAAAGGAGAACAGGGCATAACGAGGCGCAACTCTCAACTGATTTTTATTGAACACGTGCTCCGGTATTTGTAGTCCGAACTATCGTCACAAAACAAAAAACGACAAAAACAAAGAAACAACCATCACAGAGCATGATTGGGAAAAGCACTATCTCATTCTCAGGAAAACCAGTTCATTATTCCTTGAAGGAACTGGTTTTCCTGAGAACAAGGAAATCGTTCCTTGTTCTAGATTTAGTGGAGAAAATCTCCCGCTAAATCTAGCGGAAAAATTTCCCCGCTAAATCTAGCGGAAAATTTTTTTTGGGGGTCAGGGGTCATGTGACCCCCCCACTCCCAAGGTAAACGTGATCCCCCCCCACCCCCCCCCCGAGAACAGGTGACACTCAGTGTCCTTCCCTCCTCCTCCTCAAGAGCTGCACTCTAATTCGGCATTACAGGAAGTTGTGAACGGCTTTCATTTTTTTTTTTTTTCAGGGTTTCAAATTTCTTCCTTTATATCGAAAGTGTTTTTGTTTTTATACAGTTTTGAGGTTTTTGGTGTTAATTCTTGGTGTGGGGCAAAAACTGGGCATTTATCGGAGTGAAAGAAAACGGGGGATTCCCTAACCCTTCGAGAACATACTTGGAATACGTCCCAGTAGTGACAAGAGGAAAAAAAGAACACTCAAACGCACGGACAGCGGAGCTGTGTTCCCAATAAAATATAGCCGATGGTTGTTTCTCATGAAGCTGTTTCTGATCCAGCTCCAGTTGGGGCATTTTTGGTTCTCCCCGACTTTGGTAAAACCTGCTTGGGTGTTACTTTTTGGGGCTTGTCGGTAAACATCGGTGGAACCCTAATTTTATCTCCCTCGTGTCGAGAGCATTCTATAATGGTTGCCAAAGCATGCCTTGCCCTGCATGTTTTTTCTTTCCGTCTGGGTGAGGAGTGCTTGCATCGCGTGTGCAATGGGCCCCCTTCTTGACTCGGTCAGGTGGCAAATCAGTTCTGGAGTCCGGCCAAGAACCAGGAGTCCAGCGCCACACAATCATCCTCAACGAGGTCTGCTACACTAGGTACGTGCCACACTGAGGACAGCCCAAAGGCTTCCAAGTTAAACATCAATCTATCCACAGTTCTTTCGAGATGAACTGGCATTGACGTGTAATAAGCTTTGCCAGAAGTTTTACGGACTTTCCTGTCTGCTTCTTATTAGGGATTGTGCACTACCGGGTATCTCAAATAGCGGCCAGGCTCTTTAAATCGACCGCAAAATTCGGTTTTTTAACCTATCGCTCTACGATTTTGTGCAGCGTCGCCCACAGCCGGTGCTTTTTTTCCATAAAATTTGCAAAGAGTGAACTTTTTGAGGGAAAAGTAAAAAAGAAGAAGGCTTAACTCCTATAAAACGCAGCAAAGTCTTTGGACTTCGCTGCGTTTCCATTGGAGTTAAGCCTTTTTCTCTTTTTACTTTCTGTTTCTCATAAGGTTACCGGCACTATATGGAGCCCAAGTACACTCGCACGAAACGCCACTGAACCACAAGTTTCTTTGTAGCCGTGCAATTCCAATGATAAAAGTGGACATTATTTTTTAAGTTTCTCTTTCGCTAATCTCCATGACAGAGTTGTGGGGATCACATTGTAATTAACAATGCGATCCCCAGTATTTGGTCGTCAAACTTGGCAATCCCTGCAGTGACGATATTTCATTGCGGCTCATACAGCGGTCACGCAATTCGGTCCTGGCTCGTGCCCAGTCGCTGCCATGAGGGGAACGTCTTAAGGGGGGACACTGGCTAGAGGTCAAACTTTTGAACTACTCAAGTGATCAAAATGAAATTTTCAGGGGAGATTTAGCTTCAGATGTAGGTGTACTGTGCAAACTTTCAGCTCTCCAGGACAAATTTACATACCTGCATAAGATGATGTGTCACTTTTCATTAAGAAATCTATGATATGCAAATGAAGCTAATAAGCATCACTTTGACTGCTTGAATATAAAGTGGGGGATATGGGACCTCGGGCTATCTAGTTTTAATAACTTAAATGTAAATATTTCAGGAAGAGTTATTACCTCAAAATATGAGATGCATATCTGTCCTCATGTCAATTTTTGAAAACTTAGCTTTTTATCACTGAGGACTTCAACTTAAATCAAAATAAAGTAGATAGCCCAATTCCCCACTAAATTTCAGTTCAGAAACATCTTGATTGCGGTATTCAAATACTTTTACCTTCGAACAAAAGATTCCTTCGTATGAATTTTGCAGCAAAAAGTGGAACTGAGAAAAATGCATTCGAACATTGAACTCCTTTACTTTGTTACTGCCTCACAATGTGTTGAAAATATTTTATATCAGCGTAACTATTTGGCATATGGTTATCAAATTTGGTGTAAGGGTGTATAATAAGTTTATGAAACTGAAAACCTTAAAATTGAAAAATGAATTTTTTCAAAAAAATTTAAAATTTAGGCCCATGTCCCCCCTTAACAATGTATGAAACTCCGCGCATGTCCTGTGCTTTGCCAACCCTCAATTGTGTGGCTACGATAAACATTGGCAGCATATGACCGGCTTCAGATCACGTGGCCGTATGTTCTGGCTGCAAGTTGAGAAAATAAATGCCGCTCATTCTTTTCAAATTTTTTTTCGGCGACTGTTCTGCGTGGAAAAGAAAACTAATGCATGTTTCATAGGTTATGAATGTTAAAATAATTCTAAGCGGTATCTACTGAAAGTGCAAAGATCGTTGCATCGCCCCTTTAAAGCTCCTGGTCTGACTGGAAATTTGTTGCGTGCCAATCGAAAATTTTAAATCCAGTCTGGCACAATTGGGACTAATGGCAGTTCCATCCAGGGTGAAAGAGAGAGGTGTGTGAACAGCGCTGCCTTGTCACGAGTTGACTGTGTCGAGGGTTCGCTCGCATTTCTGACAAACGCCGTGAGACATGCGACGTGACTAGGGGCTCTAGGAACCGTCCTTGTCCGCGCCTGCACAGGTGTCCTAGACAGATGGGACCCCTGCCAGGAGACGAGCGAAGCCCGTGTGAAATTTTGGCCCCATTTCTGGCCTCAATCTTTTCTCTCTTTCCACCGTGGTTTTGTATCCTTCGGCCTTGCAGTCCTCTTTAGCTGGCATTAGATCACTCCGTCATTAAGTTGCAGCACTTGTAACTAGGGGTTACCACACTAAAAGGTGTGTTCTGAATCATTTCTCGACGGCATCCGTGGGAAAAGAAGTTGAAAAAATCTGATCATTCAGCATTTAAAATTTTATCCCCGATACCCAGCGCTATTTGTGAGAAAGGCTGAAGCAGATTTGTGCAATTCTGCTTGCATTTCTTTAGTTTTAATATGAACTGGACGTCTCGTCTGCGTTAAACGGATATTGATAAACATCAATAGGCTGACCCGTTCCAACTACGCGCTTGTGATGGTACATTACACTTCCTGGAAATGTCAACTTTTGAACCGCCCACTCAATTTGCATTAAATGTGCAGGTGGTGTTTGTAGCCATATAGAAGGAGGGCATGCAAAGTTTTAGGCCTGTGATCCCAATTTTATGAGGTAAAATGAAGTAAAGCGTAGCTTGACATGGGAATCCGCTTAATGAATCTATCATTAAGAAATTGTCTTGATAACCACATATTTTCTGGTGGAATGCATACCGTAATATTTGTTGCCGGTTACTATGAAAAAAAGTTTCACAAAATATGCCTTTTTCAACTAAACAAAAATTAATAAAATAATTTTTCCCCCACATCTATTAAGTTTTGCAAATTACAATTTTTCATAATAAAGGAACATGAAAAAGCAAAATCTAAGTGCATTGTAACTGGCTCCATAAAATATCAGTATATAAACCGCAGAAATTAAGTCTGTAGTTTCATACTGAAACAATATATGTTTTAGGTGAGATTTATGCCAAAAAGTGGAACAGAGAAAAATGTATTCAAAGTTCTTTAGCATCGATGGACTGAAAATAATTTTAAAAAACAATAGCTATGCAGTGTAAGCAATTAAAATTTCTGGGAATACTGTCTAGATGTTGGCAGCTGTGAAGACGGCATTTCTCAAAATCAACTTTTTTTGCAGAAATATTTTTTCTGGGTAGTGTCTCCCCTTAAGTGTTCACAACCAAATTTGTTACCCCGACTCTATCGCAGATCGCCCATCTACAAGAGTGCCAGCCTGCCAGGTACTCAACAGCCGCACGACGCCGCGCGCCCGTGACGCCATCTTGGTGGTTCCGCGACACAAGAAGCCGTCCTCGTGCACCGCTCGGTGCTCCGACCCGGACGGCATCCAGGGCTACGACCTCTGCCTCGCCGACTCTTCGGCCGTCGTCTCCGGCTGCCTTCCTGGCTTTGCAGACGGCTTTGTCGAAGGCTTCGCAGAAGGCTTTGCAGACGGCATCCAACACCCTCCTCCCTACGGCCACTTCCGGGGCTCCGAAGCTTCCTCCGTCTACCTAGACCACATCTACGAAACCATCGACCAGGAAGACGCCTTTCCGTTGAGTGCCACGGTCGGCGGCGGCTGCGCACGTTTCGTGCCGATCGATCCCGGGGAGTGCCACATCCGCAGCCGATCCGACGCGAGCCACCAGTCTAACTCCAGTCTTGGCTGCGACCGGAGGCCGCTGATCCGGCAGCGGATAGGCGGCAGCGCCCTCTCGGACGCCGGGGAGAGGCCCGTGGATCCGGCGTTGGTGATGGCGGTCTTTGACGGTGATCGCGTCAAGTGCACGCTTCAGGGGACTGCTCCCGGGAGGCCGGGAGGCAAGGCCCTGGTCACCAAACACCCCTGCCAGCCCTCTGCACACCTCAGCACGGACTGCTGACGGACGGTGTGAAGGGCCTACGTCGCAACGGACGCTTAGCGAACACGTGCGTGAATTTTAGTTTGAGCAGACGGGCCGACGCGGCCAATCGCTTCCGGCGGAACTCCTTGCTTGGAAACGTCTGTTGTGGTGTGTGTCTGGTTGTTAGAGTGTACATATTGAACTTGGTGTTAAAGAAAGGCTGTGAGGGGGGGACATTTATTTTCTACTGCCACGAACTGCCGCCGGGACTGCCGGCTTCTACGGATGGACTTGCGCTTGAAATTGACCGTTTTATTTCCGAGGTTTTTCTGGGTGTGTGCACGCGGGATGCGGATGCTCAAGAATCCTGGGATGACGTGTGTTCCTCTTTTTTGTCGCCGACTTTTCGGCCCTCGTTTTTCCCGTTGTTTGAAAGAGAATCGACGGAGGCTGGCCAAGAACAGTTCCTACGTTTGTAAAAAAAAAGGCGGCGACAAATGATAAATTGGGATGTCCAGGTGGGACTTTTCCATGTCGACTTGCTCACAATGTGCCAGGTTCAAGGGTGGCCGCCAGTCCCTTTCCTTTCCCTAGCCCCATTGCCAGTCAAGCACCAAATTTTAGCCTCGCTGTCCTCGAAGCCAACTCGGTCGAGAGCCAAAAGTCGGGTGCCGACATTTGTTTTAAAAGTTTTGACCCGAAAAAAGCGTTTTCCCACCCCTGGACGTTGTCCCCCATCATTCAGTGTTGATTTTGAAACACCCTAGTCGTCTCTCAATCACTAGAAGAAAGAACATGCTGTGATGACTGCCAATGCATTCTCGGATGATCACCGGGACTGTTGCGTGATTCGCACGCATTCCCTCGACTTTTCTCTTGCACATGATTGCGTGCGTGAATGTCTTCAAAAGTCGTGCATGTCGTGACAAGAAATGGCGTGGGAGGAAAAAAGTGTTTTTTTTTTCCCCTCAAGCCAAATCTTTTTTTTTTTTTTTTTTCAGAGCTGCATTTGTATCAAAAGATTGCCATAATTTATTGTGTTACTAATTAAATATTTCGTAACAATGCGTGTTTCCGTCCTTTCAAGAAGCACAACCTTGACTCTGGTGTTGGAAGTGCTTCCCAGCATGTTGGGGCTAAATGCAGCTTCGTGGTTTCAAGGAAGCTGCTACCACCTAATAGGGATATAAAGGAACATCCCAGTTAAAAATTCCAATTAGGTTCCAATAGGAATTTTGCCATTGGTACCAGTTAGGTTTTCAGACAACAAATTGGTCACAACCAATGGGAACCATTGGGAACCCATTCAGGTTCTGGAAAAATTATTCTAATTGGTGGCACCCATTGGACAGTGTGCTCCACTTGGAACCCACTAAAACCAATTAGGCACACATTCTTATGGAAACCGCACCATGTGAAACATCCTTTCAATGTTTATTCATTTGCCTGAACTGGCTAAACCAGTGCAGGAACTGGTACATTCGAATCAACCACAAGCAGCACAGTTGCTACACTGATGCGTTTGTTTCATCCCAGTCCCTCAAAACCTTGCACCAGCTCTGAAGTCAGTTCAGCGTCTGTTTAGAAGCAGACGACAAGAGCAGAAGACACACTTAATCCGTTTCTGCTCGCGGTGCCATTTCCTGGAGCTCTCGCTCGAACACTTGTGATGTCTTGCATACACAAAAACGCAGAGACGGTGCTTATATTTCCTTGCATCGATGGAAGCAAATTCCCCCTCGCTGGGTGCAAAAGCGAGGTCGTAACAAAGGGCATAAATTAGCTCGAATCTGATATTTTGAAAGCGTCTTATGCACCTGCTCACGTCGGTTTGGCTTCCTATGGCAAGTGTTAAAGGATTGGCTTACATCAAATGTTTTTTACAGCGAAGCTGTTAAGGGCTAGGTTCCCCAGGATCGTGTCCACCAGCAAAGAAGTTGTGACATCGAACTCTGGACAGCTACCGCCACCTACCAGCAACGGCGGCAACCGGAGAATTGGTTGCCGCTGTTGCTCATAGATGGCGGCAACCTTTCTTTGGAGGAAGAAGAGCGGTTCGGAACAAGCGGCGATGTGTTGAGCAGCACAAATGGTTCCGCAATCGCTGCGAGGCCGCTATTGCCTGAAGTTTAAATGCGTCGAGCACTTCAGATTTCTTTGCAAAAGAAGAGCAGATCCCTCGCCTGGAAAGCCACCGCCGAGAACAAAAGGTACAGCTCCGCTGCTCTTCCTTCTTCACCAGAGTGGAAAGGCTGAAAGAGTTTTTGTATGCTATCTGGACATTGACTATGTTCATATTCTTTTTTAAGGCAGAAGAATTGCAGCCCTATTGGGATGCAGTCTGAGGAATCCCATACATCGTAGAGGTCGGCGATTTGGTACACTGGCACTCGTGTGTCCACGTAGCAGCGCAATAATGCATGCTTTGTCCGCTCCGCTGACATCTGTGGCCACCCACTAACGGGACCTGGGAAAAAATGCGGAGAATTGATTTTGGTCTGGCACTTCCACATGGATCTTTCTTGAGCCAAAATAAATGGTGACGGTCAATAACTGTTTTGGCCGAGGCTATGCTCTCGTCAGGCCTTCGTCCTCAAAGACCACTGCAGCATGCTGCTGCCTGTAACTCCCGACGCTGAATCAACCCATTGTCGAAATGCGACGCTCGAGAGACTTAGAATGAATTTACTATTGCCCAGTCAATGGGAATCTTATTGTGGTCCAAGGACACGAATGCTTATGGAAATGATGGAAGCCAGATGGTAACCGTTAAAAAATGCAGATAGAAGCTTTGTTCTGAAAACGTTTTTTGAATGCAGAAACATTCATAAAAGACATTTTGTCTACATACTTTAAAACAAAATGAAGGTAAATGATCCCACCAAGCCATGAAGAAACGTAGCATACTCTATGACGTGCAGACACAAGAGCCAACAGTTGCAGACGACAGCCCGCTCTTACGCTTAAGCTGATTACAGCGCCATCACGCCATCACTGAACGACTACCTCTGAGCCAATTCAGAATTTTCAGGCCAAATTGAACATACCTAAAGCAGGCCCACAGTTCTCGCTTCTGAAAGTTGCGAGGCTTCCAGGAGCTTTTAGATTTGGTGCACATTATGTGTGTTTATCACGTCTTAACGTTTGTATCGAAGGGACCTCCACCATCCCTGATGAGTGCAGAAACAACGAAGGATTTTATAATAGTAACAGTAATAGAAATAATGCCAAAATCATTGCTGTCACTACGCTAATTCTCGATGAAATGCCTTAGCATTTAATGCAGGAGCTGAAACTAATCGACTAATTACTTTGTTACTTTGCTTGATTTAAGACATGCAATTGTGTATAATTAAAGCCCCTTTATACGGAAAAGTAGCGCCATCCTTTGAAGAATGCCACCTGCTCTCTTGGCCCGATCATGCGATTGGCAATTAGTATTCTTGTATGCGCTGATAAAATGACTTATTTGCTATCTACATATAGCAACTACTTTATCACGTCGTTTAATGCCCGAGACTGTGGTGCAGAAAAGAAAAATCTTTTAGTCGAAGGAACAGACGCAGAAGGGAACGTCTCAAACTCAGCTGACTAAGTTATTTCTCAGCATCCTATATCCCAGGTAGCACAAAATTTAACACATAACGTTATAGGTATACTCTAAATGTTAGTATAACATTCAAATCAAACATATATATAATGTTATTGTGCGCAAAATGTTATAAAAGCATTCAATACATGACTGTAAAGCAATGTTATGAAAACTAACCTTATTTTGAAGTTTACAGTTAAACATTTTAATAACAGTCAATGCAGGACAGTATAATGATATTGCAAGAAATAACTTTGAAATAATGTTGTGATAGCATCATATTTCCAATGTTATCTCGAAGTTCATAATGAAACATTATAATATATGTACAATGCAGAATATTAAAATAATGTTACAAATAGTAACACTGCAATAATCTTTGGTTTGATCACATTTCTGTTATTTCAAAGTTCAAATAATTGCAAATACATACTAACATTGAACAAATGATTTGACAATATTGTTTTTAACAATACATTGAAGTTTACAATGAAGCACCACAGTAACAATTTATTAATTGGTAAAACCACTGATCTCTATGGCCCGAACGGACACCTTATTCAAAAGTTATGTGATTTTCTGAAAATTTCAATGGGAAAATGGAGCCCATTTTTGGTTTCTGTTGCCCATAGAGCCCCGTGTATTCGAAAACTCCATTGGCCGCCATTTTCCCAATGGAATTTTTAGAAAATCACTTATAACTCTTGAATAAAGTGTCCGTTCGGGCTGAAACTTGTGGGGATTTCCGTGATCTCCTTTCCCCGATGGCTGCGATAATGGCCACGAATCGGAACGCTCGGTCTCTTTCGCCGTGAGCTCCGACCTGTTCGTGAAGTGAAGGGTCCCCCGTCTTGGAAGGGCCCTCCCCTCACTCCCTCTTGGAGGGACCTCTTTCCATTCCCCCGCTCAAATGCGGATCACTGTGGACACGCAAAGGTTTTGCATCTTGTTTTTCCGCTTTCGGGAAAGGGACTTGTCTGGTGACCGCAAAAGAGAAAATACGTGTATCGGCGACTTCTCCGATGCTTCCCCGATCTTGGCTCTCCGGAACCCCGCGTCTGGCAGGTAAGGACATTTTCTTACCTTGCCGGCGTGGAAGTCATTTTGGATTGGGACATTAAGAGTTTTAATAAATGCTCTTAGACTAGCTCTGTCCTTACTCTGACACGTGTCCTCTCTTCCGCTATATTCGAGCGAGTGAGACAAGGTACACGATCTTTGGCACCGACAGAGGTAATTTATCAAATCAACCCGCGCTAATGTAGCCCCAAACGTCGTCTGTATTGCCGCGGAGATGTGGGGACCGCGCTACTAGGTTTGACATCTCCTTTGAGATCGCCGCCGCTGTCGAGATAACCCTAGGGTCACTCTATCGGTACCCCTGTAGGTAGCAAAATCCCACATAAAATGGCGCCCAATGTGGGGCCACGGCTTCCTTTATCGTGGTCGTGGATCACTGCGGACAGGCGAGGAGGTGTCGCCTCTTGTTTTCCCGTTTTCGGGAAAGGGACTCGTCCAGTGACCGCGAAAGAGATAGGACGTGTGTCGGCGACTTCTTCGATGCTTCCCCGTCTTGGCTCTCCGGAACTTCATGTCTAGCAGGTAAGGAACTTTTCTTACCTTGTTGGCGTGGAAGGCATTTTGGATTGGGACATAGTAGTTCATTAAGAGAGTTTTAATAAATGCTCTTGGACTCTGTGCTTACTCTGGTACGTCTGTCTTCTCTTCCGCTATATTTGAGCGAGTGAGACAAGGTAGAAGATCATTGGCACCGACGGAGGTAATTTATCGAACCGACCCGCAGTCATGTAGCCCTAAACGTCGTCTATATTGCCGCGGAGATGTGGGGACCGCGCTACTAGGTTTGACGTCTCCTTCGAGATTGTTGCCGCTGTTGAGATAACCCTTTGGTTACTCAATCGGTACTTCTGTTGGTAGCAATATCCCACTAACTTTGGAATCTGGTTGTGACCTCTAGCGCTACCTTTGGGCGGAGAATGAGAGTTCGGCGATGCCTAGTCTATTTTTGCGGTAAAAAAAAAGCCGTTTACAACTCCCTGTAACGCTGAATTAGAGCGCAGCTCTTGAGGAGGAGGAGGGAAGGGTACTGGGGTGTGGGTCAAGTGACCTCGGGTGGCGGGGGGGTCACGTGACCTTGGGATGTCACGTGACGTCGGGGGGGGGGGGGGGGGGGGGGTCATGTGACGATGACGATGCCGATGACGTCATCAGTGACGATGACAATGCGGATACCGATGATGTCACCAGTGACGTCACTGATGACGTCATCAGTGATGATGATGATGCCGTCATCAGTGATGTCACGGATGATGTCATCATTGATGATGGCGATGACGATGCGGATGCCGGTGATGTCACTGATGACGTCATCAGCGATGATGATGACGATGCAGATGCCGGTGACGTCAGCAGTGGCGATGACGTCAACGCGGGGAGGTCACGTGACTCGGGGGGGGTGATGTGACCTGGGTAACCATCGTGACCTTCGTGAGGGTAACCCTAGTGACCCTTCTGAGGGTAACCCTAGTGACCCTCCTGAGGGTAACTCTTGTGACCCTCGTAAGGGTAACTCTCGTGACCCTCGTGAGGGTAACTCTCGTGACCCTCGTGAGAGTAACTCTCGTGACCCTCGTGAGGGTAACTCTCGTGACCCTCGTGAGGGTAACTCATAACCCTTGTGAGGGTAACTCATAACCCTCGTGAAGGTAACTCTCATAACCCTCATGAAAGTTACGAGGGCTCGTAAGCCTTGTAGCCCTTGTGAGGGTAACCCTCGTGAGAGTAACCCTCGTAACCCTCACGAGAGTTATTCGCAGTTACGGCGACGGCGGCGGCGACGCCGCTCAAGCAGGGAACGGGCGCCTAAAAGCTGCGCTCTAAAAAAACCCTGTAAATTTTTTCGTGACACACTGTATATCCTATGTACAGCAAGAGTACACTAGTATACTTTGTTTCACCTTACGATGGACCGCAAAGGATGCTATGAGCCACAGGAGGGCGTCACGTGTCCTTCTGGTTCAGCGGAGTGATGCAGAGAGCGCGAAGTCACGAGACAAGCTACGAACTACAGATTGGCCCGTGTAGCTCGTAGCGTCCATCACGGTCCATCGCAAGGTAAAACAAAGTATACTGGGTATGCCGAAGGGCTAAAAGGCTTTTCTTTGTGTGTGTGTGCGCGCGAGTGGGCGTGTGTGTGTGTGAGGAGGATGTTATTTTTTTGTTGCTAAGCAATATTTCCCAAGGAGAAAGCAAACACAAACATCAAAATAAAAACAAAAAGTTGACGGCTCTTGGCATGTTTGTTTCGTGGTTGCGAAACCTGGAGTGCCAAGAGGGGAAGCCGCGACACTACGGCGCCGGTTGCCAAGACGCCAGTCGCACAGAGCCCTGGACGCCGCTTCAAGTATTTTTGTTTTTTTGTGTGTGCGCATTTCCTATAAACAGCAAGTCAACCGTTTTATTTTGGTCCTTTTTGTTTTAATCGTCCTTCGCCAGCTTCACTATATTTCTCCTCTTCAACTCAGTCGTTTGATCAAGTTGTCCAGGCGCGTGGTGTGGGTATAGATTGCCGCTTCAACCTGGAGGAGCATTGTAGCGGCGTGCGGAATACCACATTTAAACTGAATGGACTTCTGAGCGACATCCACACCACATAAAAGATGTTAATAAACTCTCCGAAAAACCTTTTTTTTTAATGTTTACCGTAAAATCCCGAGAGATGCCCCACCCCCAAAAGGTAGCTCACCCCTATTTATGGCTTGATTTGCGATATTTTTTTTAAACACTCAAAGCCAGCCCACCCCTAGTAATAGTAATGTTGGGATCAATGATGGCCTCAGTGTAAATGTGGCTAGTTCGCTATGGTAGGATATAAGCGAATATTGCTGACTTGGAAGTAGTCATCTTTGCTTCGTTGCCCCTTGCCTCCCAATTTTTTTAAACTTTTCTTTATTGAACACTGAAGGTTAGCCCACTCCATATCCATATTCTCAGCCGATTTGCTCTTGTGTGGGCTGTCTCTCAAATGTGTAATTACAGTCCCTACCCCTGGCAAATAGCAAGGATTGCAGATGTGGGACTCGCAGCATCCAATATCGGTGGTAAAGTGGCTTGATAATAAGAGATGCAGGACAACACAACCACTTTTAAAAATTTTAATTCTGCGATAAGTCTGACATACTCGAAAGACAAAGTGGAATTTACACACACATAAAATGAAATGAAAGCACACAAACAAAGGCCACAGACACTAAAGCACAAATGAAATGAAATTACTACAGCGATAAGATTGTGTGTCGGTGCCATTCTCGAAGCTGGAGCAGGGTTAAAAATATGGCCGAGTAAAAAACTCTGTCGAGGTGTGACCACAGAGGCTTGAAAGGCAGGCTGTCAGAGCAGTAAGTAGTGAGATGAGATGTGGTGAAGTTCACAGCGCAACCTTTGCCGGTCTTCCGTCTGCAGGAACTGCCGAGCTGAGACGGGAGGTCAAGGAGACAATGGTCACTAATCGGATCATGAAAGCATGATACAGTGTAGACTGCATATAACGTATGTCGCGGGAGTCGCGAAGATCCGCACTATAAGCGGTACCGCGCTATAACCAAAACATCAATTTTTCAGGCCAAAATACATGCCATCAGACAACTTACCTTTGTAAAAGAATTTATTTTATGTTAGCTGAAAAATAAAACTTAGTTTGAGGAAAGTCTTTACTTCACCAGACTAGTAGTACATTCTCTCTCAAGTGTGTCACACATTTTGAAAGAAATGAGCGGCTTTTGCCTGGCACAGCCTTTTAAAGGACACATGCAAAGGAAAAAAACATTTTTTTTAAACGGCTTAGATGGAAAAAGGACGCCATAAAACGATTTTACAACGAAGAAAAAAAATTTTTAGAGCTATATTTACGGCGCAAAACGAATTTGTAGTTGGCGCCCGCGGGCACCGCGGAGAAGTGGTCCGTATTTATCACGTACCTGGTCTTTATTTGTCACGTGGTGCTTGCGCTCTTTCGAAAGCTTCCTATGGCCTCTAAAAGTAACTTATTCATCTTTGTTTGAAGTACAACAAAAAACCAAGACGAATAAGTAACTTTTAGAGCCCAAAGGAAACTCCTGAAAAAGCGCAAGCAGACGAGATAGACCTGTGCGCCGGTCAGACGGTGGCGGCGGCGCCCCGAAGCAGACGAACTTGTGCGGCGGCAGTGACGGCGGCGTAGAGAAACGCGTTGAAGCGGCGTTCGCACAACGCTCAGCGTGCGGCGGCGCGCGGGCCTACCACGTGACCAGCGGCGGCTCCCGCGAGCGCCAACTACGAATTTGTATAGCGCCGTAAATATAGCTCTAAAAATTTTGTTTCTTCGTTGTAAAATCGTTTTATGACATCCTTTTTCCATCTAAGCTGTCTAAAAAAAATGTTTTTTTCCTTTGCATGTGTCCTTTAACGGCGTCATGGGTTGCGGACGGACGTTGAGAGCGTTCAGGATTGCTAACCCTAATCACTTTTCTCCAGTGATGAAAGCGCGTGAAAATTTGCATCCTTTATACGATACGCGCCAGTAGTACAGTCTAACCTGGATATATCGAATTCAAAGGGGATCGTAAAATATCACTGCACCAGGATGGAAAAGTGTATTCATTTCGCGCGCGTAGGGAAGGGGGGTCAAAATTCTGATGTCGGAGTTGGGGGTGCGTTTATTACGCGAGTGAAAAAAAAGTCAAAATTTTGAGAGCCGATTTAGGGGGTGCGTTCATTACGCGAGTGCGTTCATTGTGCGAGTAAATACGGTGCATTTTTTCCAAATAGGGCTCGTTAAATTTGTGTCACAAAAAGGTGCTTTGTCAGCTCTGAAGAAATACTGGGAGGGTATCTACTTTCACCAGAAAGGCGAGCATATCTCTCCGTTTGTTCTGGGAGCGTCTTTCCCGTAGCTCTGCAAACTTTCGCTCCCTCTCGCTCGGTCAGCGCTAGTGAAGAGGCTAAAATATCAGGAAGGGACAATTAATCATAATGAAACTTCCGAGGCTGTGGTATGGAGAAATAAAGAAACTTCCAAGTCGAAGAAAAAGATGGCGGAGCAGAATGTCTCAATGTTTTAAAATATTCTCCTCTGTTGTCTTTTCCTTCGACTTGAAAGTTTCTTAATTTTTCTGCACCACAGTCTCAGGTGTCATATTATGATTAATTATAACCAGCTCGCCTGTGCAGTCATTGTTTCTTTCATTAAGGAGAGGACACTCCTCTACAAGAGGATTGCTTGTGGAAGCTACAAGGCTGACGTTGCGCTCTCTCCTAAAATGTTTATAGTACAGGCGGTGCCAAACTCAGAAGTCGGAGGGACTTCTGAATTTAACGCCATTCCTGAAAATAAGTACTCTGTGGCCACTTGACTTTATCCAATGTTCGCCGCCATTCTGGAAAGTAAAGGATGCACCCCCGATTACCCCTGGGGCAACGCATGTCAGTTAAAAAAAACACTGTATAGGAGAATGAAAGGGCATCATGAAAGATTGTGTTGATATGCACTTGTACTTTACTTTGAAAGTACATTCGATTCATACTACTTTACTTCAAGTACATTGCACCCGGTGTACTTACTACCTTACTTGGAGTACATCACCTCTCATTTACTTTGTACTTTACTCCAAGTACTTTATGTACCTTTTCCCAACACTGCAGTAGAGCCTAGTTGGCGGAGACTGCAAACACCGCCGTGCTTACACCTGAGCCAGGCCGAGACCTCCACACATCACACACTTGTATTTTCAGCGGATGGCTATATTTTTAGTTCCAACCGACGAAATCTGGCGAGCACTTCAAAATCAGCCATTGAGGCAGCGCGATGCGGCTCGGGATATTTGCCCTAAACGTTACGTTCACAACGTCACAGGCCCATAAATAGCCAAGGATATCAAAATTACAATCATTGTCTTTTGGTGGCACCAGCTTTATCGTCAACGCGTTACAATCCCGCAGGGCGGGAATACCCGAGGTACGGTGTACTCTAATTGGGAGGTGTGCCAAGCGCCGCTTGCTCCCGGGCACCTCCATCGTCCACTGCTGCGCCGTGGTGCTGCTACTAATCGGTCCGTGACGTCAGACATTCCAACGAACTTGGCCCCCAACTACCGGGTGATAATGTGAAATTGTTTTATTCTTTTTTAAATTGCTTATCTTGCGTGTACGAACGAAATACTGGTATTTCTGAGTTGCAGTCACAAAGGAGACCGCATCTACACAGAGAAATAAGCAGTAACATTTCACTTCTGAACCCCTTTAAGGTGTGTTTTACTAGTCCAACGGGTGGTACAACGCACGCTCATAAAAATAATGCATTCAAGCAAATTTAAGTCATTAAGAGGGGCTTCAATTTACTTTTTAAACCTTTTAGGTTTTTTTTTTTATTATTATTATTATTATTATTAGTATTATTATTATTATTATAATTATTATTATTATACTTAAATGCCACCATTGTTACACCACCAGATACAGTCATGTTTTCATTTAGGGGAAACCCTAAACTTGAAAAAAGGATATTAAAAAAAAATAATTTACTTTTAAAACATTTTTTTAGTTATAAGTTAGAAACAACATGTACTGTAAGTATTACGCTCAAGAAGTGCACATTTGTATAGCTAGATCGATTCAAAGGTTCGTATCCAGGCTGTTTGTAAGCATGTTTTGAGAAGCTTCTCCCGTCTTATCAGAATACAATTTTTTCCTCGGAACACAAAGTTTTGCCTGCGGTATCTTTGGATCAAGAACTTGGACCTGCATACCTTTTCAGGGTTTAATTCTCGCTCATACATTAGAGAGTGCAACCAGGCTACTGTTTCTGAAAAATGATAACTACAAAATTTTGAAATGAACAGGCTCATTTGTAGTTAACACTGAAAAAGCTTCAACTGAACCACCTTTTCTATAATGGTGCTAAAATGAATACAACTGTTTTGTTTCACTCTCTGCTGTTTATAGAACATGCTGACATACTTTGTGCGATATCTTTTAAGGGAGTATCGTAAAAACGTAGGGCGGAAACATTTGCGATAAAGTTGAGGTTTTGTTAAAAACTGTAATAGATTGGAAATATTAAGCGTATATGTGTGCTCAGCACAAGAACTTAAAAGCAGATATGAAAATTTAATATAAATTAAATCAGAAATGAGAGAAAAATGGTGTAGACCAAGGTCTCCCTTTAACTTAGCAAACTGTACTTGAGTTGTAAAAACTAAGATATTGGCCCTTTTTATTATCATCATTTTTTGTACATTTGTTAGTACCACTTCTGCCACAGCCTGGACGCGAGGAGAGCAGTGTCCTCCCAGTGGCTAATCTGAGATGCAAGCACAGGCTTCACTTGGCTGTCCAAGAGGGGTGTGCTCACCGGTAGAGGAAGGAATTGTTCCGTATCATGGGCAGCAGGCGCTCGGAGAAGCGGTGGTAGTTGCGCTCAAGCTCCTTCTGGTAGTCCCTCTGGTCGGCCCCAATCAGCGTCTTGTTCTTGCGTAGGGCGTCGTTGCACCTGGGCAATCACAACATTGCATTGGAGACCATTGCACCCGAGGATCGATCTTAACCGATTCCGACGGTCCTCCCATGAGATCGCATGAGTCAGTTTCTTATCATATACATTTCTTACCAAGGCAGGTAGTATGAAAATATCAGCTTACTCGAATCAAAAGAAAATAACGCCTTTCCTCCGGGCAAACGCTGAGCTTAACTTTTTTTCTTTGTTGTTAAATTTAAAAAAAATAGAATTGTTAGCCACGTGGAAGGGAAATAAAGGCGGCTTTCATCTTGTCCCCCTCATTTTGCCTCAATAAAGGCCACAGTAGCCCACCGTGACATTTAGGGATTTCGCGAGTGCCAGGCCTTTTAGGGGAAAAATAGGCTTCACAGCGACAGCTGTTAGTGGGACACTTTGTGGTTTCACGCCGTCGGCCGCGCTCCATATCGACGTGGAGCATTTTTGGCCCTTGGCCGAACATTCCACACGCACCTAAAATGATAGTTGTGCGCAAAGTGTGTAAATGCAAAAATTTTACCCAGAATAATGAACGCAACCCCCCAAATATGCGTCAACTTTTTGGAAAAAAAAGTGTGTTCATTATGCGAGCGAATACAGTATGTCACAAAATTGTAAGAAGGCGAGACTGAAATAAAAATAAGCAGTCAATACACAGTAAAGTGACAACGATAGCTGCGTCACGTCACGTCACGCACCGTGGGGCCTTGAAGGCAAAGTCTCAATTGGCCTCATTCTCACCAGCATGCACCTCAGAGTTTTCCCTGCAACAAACGGCGCGTCTTTCGGCATCTCCCAATAAGCGTGACACTAGCACGCTTATTGAAAGATGTCTGCCGCTTTGCAGCTCAAGCTTGAGCGCATTTGCCGCTTTCAGCCACTGCCACTAACGATGACATTGTGCGTGGGCCTCGTCTTCGAGGTGGTATACAAATACGGCTGAACCCTTTTAACTGGGCGGCAACTTCCTGGCCGAAGCTTTTAATTTAAAAAAGTTGATTAAATTTTGATTTAGTCGAGAATAATAGAAAATTTTCCATCCCCAATTAAGTCACAGCAACTGTGGCCATCTAGCGGGCACCACACCAGACTTCCGCACAGCAATTCTGCAATGGGGGATCGGTGGCCGAGTGGGCTACTGCACACCGGCTCGGAGCACGTGGAGTGCAAGCTCGTGCAGCAGAACCCAGAGATCCTGGGTTCTATCCCCACCCCTGTCGATTTCGATCTAGACGAGCACTGTACCGGCGTGTGGCTTTGTGTCGCTACTGCGTGGTGCACGTTAGAGACCCCAGGCTAGCGGTTGTGCTGCAATATTTCTCATCTACAGCTGAGACACCAGACACCCATCGAGGTTGACGAACTTACTGCTGCATAAACATACGCGCAACACTATTTGTGTTTATCCACATTACAATGTGCTTTTCCCCTATATGAACAAAGAAGCTTCTTGGTCATTGCCTGCCAGCCTCCTTGGGTCCCACCAGTGTCTGCAAGCTCGTGTGAAGTCGGAAACATTCGGAACATTGTTGCACAACACCTTTAAGTGTATTGGTGGCTCTAGCGGTGCCTGAAAGGCCACTTTGACCGGACCTTCTTGTCGGTCCCGTGCATCCCAAGTGGTGCTCAAGTGGCAACACTGGGGGTGTGCGAATACCGAATAGTAGTTATCGAACAAATACCGAATTGAATTCAGAAAAAAAAAGCCAAATATCGAATCGAATATAGAATAGTGATTTTATTCGTAGGAGTGTTTTCAAAGCGTGCTGTGAAGGAGATGATTATATGAGCAGAGTATGCACCTGGTGCAGAATATGCATCTCGTACAAAACAAAAGCTAAAATATATAAAAATTCTGGCGAAATTATGCCGCAAACATACCTATCTACTTTAAGTGTCAGAAAAGACCCAAAGTTACAGCCACGCCTTTTTTTTTCGTTAAAAGCACGACCTAACACCCCCCCCCCCCCCCGTTCTTTTTTTTATATTTATATATTTCAGAAAAGGGGCATATTGCAATATTTGGTCTCAATTGGAAGAAAAAGGGCACCCGGGATTTTATTTTATATAATAAACAAACAGCTGTTAAATCTGAGTAAACAGGCTTAAACAATATAATCTGAAGAAAAAAATTGTGTGGTTAGGTGGCGCAAGTCACCGTCCAACTGCCGCTATGCATCCATTCCTCCGTCCATCTATCCCATTTTAGAGAGCCTAGATTTAAAAGAGGTAGCAACCGAAACTGAAACCACGGAGACTGCTCCTGCACAGATTGGTCGTAAGTGTGCATGTGTTGTGCAGTCACGTGGAAAGAAGGCGACCGAATGGAAGAGCGACATTGCCTGCCCGATCGACGCTTTCCTCTTTTCGTCACCTTCTCGCAGTCGTAATTCAAGAGCGGCTATCGAACGGTTGGAAGCCCTCTCAAATCTAGGCACACTATTTTTTTCGTTCCGAATCAGAATTTACGGCTTGCGATTCTGAAAGAACTACAATGACAATTCGACTGGTTTCATCGGCGTGGTTAAGGTGGTTTTCTTTTTGTGATCTTGCAGTTGCCGATTTCTGTTAGTGTGGCAAGTGTGTTCTACATCGGCGCTTCAACTTGAAACAAGGGGCTTTACGCGTGAAAAGAATTAGGCACGGCGCCGGATTTCGGCCTCCCAACAATTCCTCTCTGGAAGCGGTGCAAACGGGATGTTTCAGTTGGGATTCAAGATTAGATTGTGTCACGATCATGAGTAAATCTGCATGCTATAAAGTTTGTGGCGTTCGTTACTTTTCTTTTTTCTAGCCTGTGCATTAGATTTTTGTGGAATGGTAGGATCAGGAGGTGTTTCTCGCATGGTCCGTCGAACATCACGGCGCTAACATCGGGAGAAAAAACTGCTCTTTTGTCAGCTCCGCGGCAACCGCGCGTCTTTGGCCGAATAGATTGAGTATTTCAAATCAAAATCAAATCAAATCTTTATTCAACATCGCACAGATGTTAGGGGTGCAGACAAAAAGCCTATAAAAGGCTTGACTAAGGGTCTGCGCCCCCTATGACCGAATATCAGTGACTGAATACTAGGAATTTGATTATTCGAGAACTTGCTATTCAATTCGAATTCGTATATTTGAGGATTCGCACACCCCTAGGCAACACATACCAGGAGCAGGCATGTTTCGCCATCGAATGTCTGGTGGTTGGTCGTAGAAACGCCGGCAAAAAAGGAGAGCGGATCCAACTCTGCTTTCGTCAACAGTGTAGCCTCTGCCAGGCTAAGAGACTTTTGCGACCAGGGGGAGACGCTCACTTGCGGCTGAAGTCCTTGAAGCAGAGGCGCAGCTTGTGCTGCCAGGGCGAGGGTGCCCGGAGCGGGTCCTGCAGGTCCGAGAGGAACACCAGTGCCACCTCCATGGGGCCCTGGTTGACGGTGGGGCCCATGGACCCCTGCAGCACCATCTGCAGGATTTTGGGGTCCGAGGGTTCCTGCTGCGTTGCCAGGGCCAGCTCCAAAGTCTTCTTCTGGATGTCCTCGATGGCTACCTCGATCGGCGTCAGCACCACCTGCACCATAATTTCAATCTTCCTCGGGCGACGTCGTCCAGTTTCTACCCGACTCTCCGTCCCAAAAGCTGGGCAGAGTCGACTTTTAGATGCGGAGCATCTCTTGCTCAGGTCTATGTTCCGCGGCGTCGTAGTCCGCACTCACACTACGCAAGCGCAACTCTCCTCCTTCCCCCTCTCCAACAGCTGCGCATTACTCTCTCCGCTCTCTCTCTCTCTTCCAGCTGCGTGCACTTCGCGTGCGTTCGCTTCTACTCACACCGCGCGCGCATCTGCAACTCTCCTCCTCTAGTCTCCTCTCCTTCAAGTGTGAATATAAGCAGCGGTAGCACGCTGCACGCGTTCAAGGGGAGGAAGTAGCCGAGTGGGCTAACGCGTCTTAGCTCGGAGCGTGGAGCGAAAGCTTGCGCTGGGAACCTCCTGGGTTCGATCCCCGCCGCCCCCGACCGTTTCAATCTGGACGAGTTTCGTACCGGCACGCGTTCGTGTGATCACTACTGCTTGATGCACGTTGAAAACCCCAGGTTAGCGGTTGTACTGCACTGGCTAAATTTCTCATCTACAGCTAAGAGACCGATTACCCGTTGAGGCGCATCTCCATCAAGGCTGTATAAACATAAAGAGCAAACCAATTTCTGCGCGCGTTTAGTTCACCGCTGTTGACTCCACTTCAGTCCGTTCTTCCGAGAAGTGTGATGGAATGATGCTCCGCATCACCCCATGGTTCCCCTCGGGAAGATGGTGTAATTTTTTGAGGGGCTCGCGGACAACATTGTGATACAAATCTTGGAAATAAACAACAAAACAGTGAGATGAAACTTTTTCGACTATTTCTACGTATAGTTATACTCAGTAAAGCTCTATTAATTTTGAAATATAATATATCGTATGGCACGATTGGCCCGTGTCAGTCGCAGACTCAGATGTAGCGAGCTTTCTTACCGTTTATATTTGAGAGAATGTGTTTAGTATTAGAACATAAACATTGTAGAAAACGGAATGTTACCGTAAATATTATATCTTCTTTTTTTTGCAAAAGACAATTTTTTTTGTTATTGGAGGAATTTTCTGCTGGATGAAATCCGGCATTCGATATAGCCTTTTTAGAAGTCAGAACCATCTAGTGGCATTTTAAAAGGTCTAATATTTATGGGAGAATGAGACTGCCTAACACGAGCACTTTTAAATTTGTTAAACGAAGGCCACATACTAGGACCGATTTGTTTGAATCAATTTCCTGCTTTCTATTCTATGCTTTAGAAGACATTCGCTTTTCCTGAAGAAAAGCCCTGTATTACCGCCATTGGTGCATCGCGCTTGGTCCTGGACAGGGTGGACAGAAGGATCTTGAAAAAGGCTCTATTCAAACCAAAAAAAAGGGGGAATGCAACCAGTGAACCAAAGTAGCAGAAAACGGGAATCGAGAAGACTGGAATAGAAGCAATTTCGAAGTAGGATCACTTCCCATAACTGCAACCAAACCACCTTTTTTCATCTCTTTTATTTTTTATTGCGCCACGAGTGATCCCCAACATACACTTTGCACTCTCCGCTTTTGCCTGCCTCCTCGTTTCCTAGATCCTATCCAGTTTTTAGCTTGCCCCAACTTGGCTCCCCTCGCAGCTTAGGAGAGGGGAGCGCTAAGAGAATCATCTTCCCTGCAGAAAACCAAGGTCGACATTTAAAGCGGTGGTTCCCCAGTGGGGGTCCGCAGACCCTTTGGAGTCTCCAAATAAGGACTTCTTAGGGTCCCCAAAACCTTCAACCATCAGTCGAGACGAGCAATAAGAACATTTTTCAAAATTATTGACGCTGGCTGTCTCACAAAGTAAAATAAACCAAACCATATGCACCGAGTGAGTAGGGTTCGTTCTTCTTAATTTTAAAGCTTCGAAGTTGGTTTTTCGCATATTTAGTTCCCTCTATTTTCCTTTTTGTCATTCTAAATGTTTTATCCCCCACAGTAGATGGGATCCCCGTCCCCCCTGCCGATCTCATAAGGGGTCCTTGAAACTGGTTCAGAACCACTGACTTAGGGGATGCGCTTCAATCCCCAGATGACTGGGAAGGAAAGATTGCGAGACAAGGCCACAACAACCAGTTTATCCTGGCTTTTTGAGTGAACATATACTATCAATGGATACAGGTTAATATGGCTGAACCCTTTGAATCAAGTGGTCATACCTGCCAGTGTCTCTCTTTTGACAAAGACGCCATGGATACTGTGCAAAGTGCTCGTCTCCAAATAGGGGTGTCCCTGACAAGGGCAGGAAGGAGGGAGCTTCACCTCTCCAGCTTCCGATGCAGACCCAACGCTCCTCATGCAGGAAGGCAGTGTGCGCATGCTGGAGGCGTTCCAAAGACCCTTCTCAATTTGTCAGCGACCACCCCAGTGGCAGAACTGTCCATGTACCGTGGAGAGCATTGGAAACTGATTTTTGGGGGCGGTGGCCACAAAACATAAATATTGTCAGCTCTGTGCTTTAAAACACATCTCTTTGTCGGTGAATCTCGTGGGAGTTCCAGCGTGCAGTCATAAAAAAAAAGCGAATAAGCCAATGAACGGACTGCTGATAATGCAATTGATGCCAAGGTGCGAGCGAGCTCGACGAGAATAACGATAAAAATTCCTTAAGAAGGGGATGAAGGGGGACAAAGGACAAACACAAACACAGCTAGCATCTGGTGACCAACTGAAAAATCCACCTGGTCCTGGTACCGAACTAGGGACCTCGCCATTTCCAGTGGAGTGCTCTTTGAACTGAGCTAACCAGGGGTTAGACATCAGTAGAGCAACCAGTTTGGCTGTCCTCTGGCATCTTCGGCTCAAGTCTGGCACTTTGGCAACTATGTGGTGAGTGAAAGAAAAGCCATAGAATCACTAAATACTCTGGCTATACAAGCAACGCCTTGGTGCCAAACCGTTTTGGGCCCCAGTTTGGTGTTCCCCCGGTATACCAGCTGCCCCCTGGGACGCACCTGCTTGCGCTCCACGACCTGGATCCGCGTCTTGACATAGGGGAAGGAGTTGGCCACCGTCACGATGGTCTTGCGCTTGTACTGCTCGTGCAGGTCGCCATGGGCCCGGCCGTCCGGCGTGAAGGGCGTGGCGTACACAAACCGCTCTGTCCAAAGAGACCCGGCACTGGTGAACGTCCAACGCACTCAACAACAGAGTCTGTCGTGTCAACTTTCAGCCGCTGGAAATTCCCTTCTCAGTGCTCCTGTCTTACACTTTTTATTCTGCGGGCTCTTAGCATTATTGTTATCAAGCCTTCCCACGGCAAAGACTGTCATAGTTAGAAAAAGTGAAACAAGTCTCGACTATGCTTGTCACGTCGAAACTGCGGCCAGTGTCACAAGCAGATGACTTGCTCTATTATTAATGTCGTGACTACTATTATTATTACTGCAGTAATCCCTTTTTGTATAAGTACCGTAATAATCAAGGTATGGTGTACAAGAACTATGCCAAGCGCCGCTCGTTCCTGGGCGTCTCCATCGGAAACTGCCGCGCAGTGGCGCTGTTAGCCAAGGTGCAGGTGGTTGATCGGGGGGCGGAGTGCAGGCCGTGCAGCATTTCACTTTGGATGTGTAGCAGTTATTCGCACGATTGCGTTAAAAGAGGTTTCTGATTCCTTATTTCTAACACAAATTCATGAGGCAATTAGAGTGCTCTATTTATTTGTTATTTAAAGCAGAATTACTTATTGCCAAGTGTTCTCTTATGTGGAAGCGTTCGGCCCACATATCACTTTCGGCCGAGAAATTTCATTATTGCAAAACATTGCCGTAACCAACACTTTGCAAAATATAAAGACAACGAAAATAAAGTTTCCAATATTTTCAAAACTTTTTTTTTTTTTTGTGCTCTTGTAGTGTTTTTAAAGGTCTTCTCAAATACCTAGTATATAAATATTGGGCGGTAGCAACCCAAAATAAGTTACTATTACCGCAATATTACTTATTCCTACATTCGTCTCCAACTGTTTCAAGAGATTACTGCAAAGGAAGAACCGAACTCCTCCACGCTGCCCAAGGTCAGACGGGAAACAAATCACAACAGGTTCATTTGATTTTGACAGGAAAATCTTATTTCCATCAAAATGAGGCCAACCTTCATTTTGTCAAACCCGCAGGTGCCCACATTACACTTTCTTTTTCTTCCCTTACGATCTATTGGCTTTGTCTTTTCTGTCTTGTTACTGCCTTTCAAGAAGAAGTCCATCCGAGTGATGCCGTAGAACTTCACTACTGACCAGGTGACACTCTTGGAGAGTCTAGGAATGGTTGCAGCAAAATAATAAAGCTAAATAAATAAAATTGAATGTATGGAACCTATTTAATCACTCAAAGGTACTGAATGGAGAAACCAACTGCATGGTGCTGTGAATGCACAAATATATATTTTTATTCTTTTGAAGTCTGGCGGTGGTGGCTTGAGAACCGTAGAGCATTCAGAGTGCCAATCAACAATATCTACGAAGCTAGGCTGGCAAATGAGAATGAAAATAGGCCCTAAAAATGATGTCTGTAATGCAACGCTAGGCGTGACGTTTGACATGCTCATGTGTGCCCAATGTCACACCGCAGAATTACGTCCAAACGCAATTTCGCCCTCATACTGTATTTACTCGCACAATGAACGCACTCGCGTAATGAACGCATCCCCCAAGTCGACTCTCAAAATTTTGACTTTTTTTTTTCACTCGCGTAATAAACGCACCCCCAACTCCGAGGTCAAAATTTTGACCCCCTCCCCCCACGTGCGCGAAATGAACGCACTTTTCTATCCTGGTGCAGCGAGGTCGCGAATGCATGGGCAGCGTGGGCGAACAAAACGCATTGCCAAAGGCGTAAAAACAAAATTCGCAAAGATCCAACGAAAGCAAGAAAAAAAAATATGGAGCTTTTTTTTTTTGCACAGCGCAGTCTGCATGGACTTTGGATTCGCGCGCCGCCGTGCGCAAGGAGGTAAGAAAAGAAGCGGAGAAGCGCTTTAAGCGAACGAAACAGCTTGCGAAAGGCGGCAAAAAGAAAAAAAAAAACACAACTAAAAGAAAACAAAAAAGGTTTTTTTTTTCTTTTTTTTTGCACAGTCCAGTTTAGTTACGGGGGGTCGCGCGCCGCGCGCAAGGAGGTAAGAAAGAGGAGCGGAGAAGCCCTCTAAGCAAACGAAACAGCTTGCCAAAAGCTGCAAAAAGAAAGAAAGAAAGAAAGAAAGAAAAAAAACACGGAACTAAAAACAATTAAAAGCAAAAGAGGGGCTTTTTTTTTTTTCTTTTGCACTGCGCAGTTCGGTTCTGGGTGTCGCGCGCCGCGCGCGAGGAGATAAGAAAGATAAGCGGAGAGCCCTCCCCTAAGCAACGCCTAAGCAAACAAAACAGCTTGCAAAGGCGGCAAAAAAAAAACGAAAAAAACAAGGACTAAGAGAAAAAGAAAACAAAGAGTGTTTTTTTTTTTTTTTTGCACAGCTTAGTTTGGTTACGGGGTCGGGCGCCGCGCGCAAAGAGATAAGAAGTTACTTCGATCTTTCAGGATGAAAGGTCCGTTCATTATGCGAGTAAATATGGACGCAAAAATTTTACTTCGCGTAATGAACGCCCCCCCTAACTTTCCATTGATTTTTCGGAAAAAAAAGTGCGTTCATTCTGCGAGTAAATACGGTAATTCATCAAAATGCTTCTGCGGATTGCAGTGATTGCCTCCTCAAGAGGTGCTTTATGGGAAAATGTTTTTGAATGCACACAAAAGAACCAAATCAAGGCACTTAGTTTGTGAAGGTGCAAGGGGGCACGATCAAGCCTCGTAAAAGGTACTCACTGATGTTGTAGTTCTTGTCGAAGTATGTGTGCCTCTCCCGTAGCTCGTACATGTCAAAGTACGGCTCCACGTAAGTGATCTGGATGTAAGCCTTTGAAAGACAACGACCGAGTTATGCTTTGCACTCCAAACGTCAAGCACTCGTGACTACCCAAGCTCCAAGTTCCAACTAAAAGCCACCTTCCCTGACCCCAGTGATTGCGCAGTACTGCGGAAAGAAATGCCACCGCACCATTTTATTTGTCCAAGTTATTTTGTTGTATTTTAAATGTGCTAGCATTTCTTTCAGTCACAGGGCCCCTGAAAAATTCCGTTGCATCTGAAATGCCTGCAGGTGCACGGCACACATCCCGTCCTCTCCGTATTGTACGAATGAGCGGGACGACGAGCTCACTGGATGCTTATTTAATTATTTATCTGGATACCTACACCACCTAAAAAGGCATTACAGTAGGGGGACGCACACAAAGAACAGTACACATGATCAAAAAATTATGACAAAACAAATTCGCAACTTTCATGACCTACGGGGGGCGCACTGGCGCCTGTCAAAATGGCTGTCATCTGGATGGTCGTCGTAGAACAGCAGTACGAGGCGGGGTCTGCGACGCATAAGTAATTCTTGTTTTGCTATATGCGAGCAGTGTTAGAATCTTGCTTTATTTTTTCAAGTCAGGAAGGTGTAGGCAAGCACCTTTATTATAAAGCCAATCATCCAGGAGCTAGGGAACGTCATTCTCACACCGCGGTACCATCGTCGCTGAAAGTTGCGAATATGAAACATCGTTATACAGATAAAAATGTAGAGCCCTTCTACTTCACGTGGAGATGCAGGACCACCTAAGCTGTTATCTATACGACATCTAGGACGACGCTTAGAGGACGTCTAGGATGACCTCGAGGATGACGTCTAGGACGACCTCAAGGACTTCTAAGACGACCTCAAGGACGACTTCTAGGACAACCTCGAAGACGATGCCTAGGACTACCTCTTAACCCACCTTCAGGACGACTTTTAGAATGACCTCGAGGACGACGACTAGGACGACATCTAGGGCGACCTTAAGGACTACTTCTAAGACGACGCCTAGAGGACGACCTCAAGGGCGACTTCTAGGACAACCTTGAGGACGACGCCTCAGACTACCTCTCAAATGGCCTCAAGGACGGCTTCTAGGACGACGTCTGGGACGACCTCAAAGACTACTTCTAGGACGATGCCTAGGACTACCTCTCAAACGACCTCAAGGACGACTTCTTGGACGACGTCTAGGTTAACCTCAAGGATGACCTCAAGGACGACTTGCAACGACCAATGGGGAGTTTTCTGTCGACATTTGTCCATGAACACAATAGTGGGGGAACTAGCGCTTAACAGCTTCGCTGTAAAACACAACAATTCAAGACTCAGTGACACTAGAATATAATATTCTAGTGTCAGTCGTCATTCGTGACAATATAAACAAAGAACTGGAATTTGTCAAAGAACAGCTCCGGCATTGTAATTTCTACTATGCCACTGGGTAATTTATTCCAGACATCAATAGACCGTGAAAAAAGAATATTTAGAAGCCTCAGTTCTACATTTATATGGACAAATCTTCTTTGAGTTATCTATTCTGAGTGACACGTAAGCAGGCTGCAGGAGATATCTTGATTTACAGCTACAAGTATTGTCGAAGAATGTTAAATAAAAGTTTCAAACGGAGGGATTGACGCCTCTGACACAGAGGCCTCCAGCCCAGAGACGACTTAAGTTCAGTTACACTTTTACTCTGAAATCATAATTTCCCGTAACAGACCTAGCAGTGCAATTCCGAATTTTTTTTAATATGATTTTTCAAATTAAACTATACCGGTCCCAGATTGTACATGCGTAATCAAGAATGGAAAGTACATGTGAGAAATGCAAGGTTTCTTTTAGCGACGACAAGACCAACCTATACTTACGTCTAATGAAACCTAGTGACCTTTGCAGTGATATAGTCAACATGTTTGTTCCAAGTTAAATTTGATGAAAAAAAGAACTCCTAAATAGTTAGCCTCTGTTAAAAGTTCAACTGGCGACCCAAGAATAGTGTATGATGAGGGAGAAAGAGTTAACAGATTTTGATAGATTGAAAAACATGCTCCCTTGAAAACACCAAGCCTCAATCTTATCTCAGTCGCTTTGCAGAGCAAACATATCAGTGTCACAAGAGACGTCACTGTATAAAACACAGTCGTCAGCATACAATGTTATGCTAGAAAAAGCATTTTCAACCGTATCATTAACATAAATTAAAAACAGGAGTGGTCCTAGCACCGATCCATGCTGGACACCAAAAGTAACTTTTACATACGGGGACCAGATTCCATTAATTACCAAGGACTGTTTCTGAGAATTCAAATATTCACCTATTCGACCTGCTTGCTTTTATCCGAGTAAATGTAGTTACACGCGGATTCAATAAGAGATAGCTGAGCAGGAGCACGCCGGAATATAGCTTTCACAGGAAACAAGCAATGATATCGCATCTCGAGATAGTCTGCAGCAAAGCACCGCAGAAACATAGCCCGGCCTTTTAACTCTGTCCTAGTCCGGGTGCTTGCAGGGCTTCTGGCAAGGGCTTTCGGCCTATCTGCTCTTCTTCCAACCCTCCCGAGTTAAATAAATGATACGAAATTAAACAAAAGAAAACAGACCTGCAGAGTTGGTGCTAAGCAGCCAAAGAAGGACCAACCTTTTCAGGATGAAGCCGGGACACGTCCACCATGTTCGAGTCCTTGATCACTTCCACGTAGTCCGAGCCAAATCGCTCCGAGTAAAAGCTCTGCGCAAGCAAGGACACCTGCCTCGCTCCAATTCCAAGCACTTTGACATTTTGAAAAGCTGACCAGCTAAAAACAAATTGGCACTTCATATACGTGGCTTACAGCGATGCCACATCAGCGGCCATTGTGGTAGCTTCACTGCTGCAGCATTTAACCGGCAAGTCTGCGTTTTTAGGCCTCACACGGAGCAATGACGTCACGTATGTGTCCAAAGCACCTGTGACATCCTAATGAAATCTGAACCTGGAAACACCACTGAGAGGCCCCCCAGGTGCAGTGCTGCGCTTCTCCCCATTCACTTGACCTACACTTTGCACTTTCCACCTTTCTCCTCTCCACCTTGTAGCTTAGGAAAGGAGGATGACAGGAGGATTATCCTCTCTGCAGAAGACTGAGGTTGTACGTCCACCTTTAACAGAAAGCTTATTACGATAATTATTGAGCGTTATCCTCATCATCATTATAACATACTTATTATAAGGCACGGCAATCTGTTGTGGGGGGCAATGAAATGCCTGATAAAGAGCAAACTACCTATATAAAAAAAAAATCTACAAAGTAACAGGGAGTGTGTAGGCAAGTTGGTGATAATTAATCGTAATTAATCAATAATTCATTAATCAGCACCTGAGACCGCAGTCTCAGGTGTTACATTAGGATTAGACATATCTAATACGTAGACCAAAAGTGCAAATTTACGCATTTTCATTAAATTTGTTGCGCAGTAATCGAAAGATTTTATGTCGACAGTTGAGAAATTCTCTAAAGAATGAGGAACAAACAAAAGACACGGAGCGGAGAGACAGCTTCTTCAGCGCTGTCTTGTGGCAGGGGCACTGACACCCCAAAGGTCGTATTTATTTTTATTGTCTAAAACGATGCAAGTTGCAGTCATAGACACGCAAAAAAAAACGCATCGCGAAAAAAAATTTTCCCGCGCGCGCGCGCGCCTTTTTATTTTTGGCGTTTGATTTTCCCGCGTCTCGCCTCCTCGCTTCTTTTGATCGGTGACGTCAAAAATCAGGAAATTTAGAAGCTTTGTAGGCGACATCTCTATAACATTTAATTACGGCAATCCTAAAACATGTTTTTTAACGCAATTGCGAACGCACTACGGCCCTTCTTTTTGAAATACCAAAAATCGGGAGTTCGTTGTGGTGCCGTCTCCTGGATTTGTATCCTCCAACGGAAAACAGGCGACACCGCTCAAAACCGGTCCGCCGCAACGCCGGGCGCTCGCTCCTTTCCTCCTCGCTTTGGGTCGCCATGGCAACAGCAGGGAGTGGTGAAAGGAAGTCGACTCTCAGGTCTCCGCGATTTTTGACGTCAAGGCACCGGCGCCGATCGCGCGGGAACTTCGAATTCGGCATTTGGAAATTGTTTTTTTACTTCACGAATACTGAATTCCCAAATCTAAAATTTTGAGGGTAATGTCCCGGTATCGTTTTCAATCGTTTCGGATAATAAAAAAAAATATGATTTTGATGTGTCAGTGCCCCTTTGTGGCGAGGGCTGAAACGCATTAAAGAGGTTCAAGTTCTTCCCACCAGTGTCAACCACCGCCGCGTATCATTTCAACAGAAGGGGACGATGCCCGGCATTCGGGATGTTTTGTGAGCTCCTCGATTGTCACAGCCCCTGTCAAACTCTGTCCCAAGAAACCAACACCCTCTTCACCTTCTTCCTATCTTGACTTTTTGCAGCTGCCCCGCAACTCGGACATGTAACATACAATGTGCACCCAATGGCACGCTGGCTCTTGGAATGGATGGCAGAAATTTGTTTCCTAACTACGCATTTTACTATTAAAGATATGATGAGCTCAGCCGAGTAAAATATTATACAAGCTTGATCATGCTGACCAAGACCGGGGAGCGTAGAATGTGTCCTGTACAAAGCACAACTCCGTGTGTTGATTGTGCCAATTTTTAAATTACTTTCATATATTTTTTTTAATTTATTCATTTATTTATGATTTTTATTTGTTTATTTTATTAACTCTTTTTGTTATTATTTTTCCTTAAAACGAGCCACTCTAACCTGCACGTTTATGTGCAGATAAAATAATTACCCTTCACGAGTGCTACACAGCTCAGTGGCCATATTATTTGACTGCCACTGCACTGACCCACGTTCTGGCACTGGATCCTTTTATTTCGATTTTACACGGGCCTTCGTAAGCTCTATGCATAACCTTAACGTCGTGTAACGCTCTTTAACGACGCTTGTTCCTGTAGCTCCTTAACAACGCTTGTCATAAAATACTACGACTCATAAAACACATTCTGCGATTAAACGGCAAAGAAAACGTTTTTCTCTCTGGGCTAAGGCTAGCTCAACCACCAAAGGACAACGGCTGGCCAATGGGGCATTTATTCTGGCAATATGAAGGCGATAATAGGTAAGCCAATTCTTATCCTTTTTGCTTCCACTCATTTTTAGGTCGTAATAAATGCCACAATGCGATCCAATGATTTCGCACAAAAAGGAAAGAAGCTTAGCTGGACGTTTGTTTCTAGGAAAACAAATGTTATTATTTTTTTTTCTTCGGGCTAAAGTGAGCTAAGAATGCTCTTCCAAGGTATAAATGCACCACCTGTGTGCACCTGCGCAGCAAGTTGTTGCGCAAAACTCCCTCGGAAGGCTGACCCTGAAGAACCACTGGACGGCCCATTCCCCCCCCTGCATCTGCTTAGGACTAAGCTCTTGCCACTTACGACGACACACTGGCGTACTGGCGCCATATCTGTATGAGCTGACTATGGAACTGCATTTCACTCGAAGGAATATTTGCAAGAGACAAAGCATGTACTATCTATGAGAAATGGTTGAAGATTTTGAAAAGTTTCTCGAGCCAAGAGAGAGATAGGTGGTGCCTTTTTAAGAGATCTCAAAAGTTGGTAAGAAGTTGCTTAACCCCTTAAGTGCCAAATTTTTTTTCCAAAAGTAAACTTGTCACGCTTGGCTCGGCTGAGCGGACACTTTCACATACGTGCTACACTCCTTTATTCTTCCAGCGCCATCCTTCACTCCCCGCCGTCCCTCGCTCCTTCCCGCGACTCGCGGGAGCGGGGACAAGTGTTGTCCCTAGGAATCCCCCCTAGGGAAGGAGTGTCCCCGCACGGTCCCGGTTGTCGCCGGCGCCACACACTCCTCACATTCCTTACAGGTCTCCCCCCCTTCATTCGTGAAATTGCAGGAGTGGCATCTGGTCCATCTTCGTGGTAGGCTGTCAACTGGTCTGCGTGAGCCACTCCGCGGCGACGTCCGGTAGTTGGGTCCCTCAGTAGGAAGTCATTCTCGCCCAAGCACTGTGCCACCCGGAAGGGCCCAGAGCGCCGCGGTGCAAGCTTGGCCGTGATGCCCTTGGCCGCATTACTCAGGGTGTGGCTATCCAGTAGGACGAGGTCACCCTGTTTTATTGTTGTAGGCTTCCTGTGCCGGTCGTAGTTGGCCTTTTGGGTTTGCCTTGCTGCCTCCTGGTGCTCTCTTGCAAAGCTGAGAGCATCCTGAAGGCACCTGGTGACCTCAGCAGCAAAGGCATGGCAAGCCGTTGCAGGCGGTTCAGTGTCGTCTTTGCTTCCTGGCTGCTCCCACGGGGTGCGCAGTTCCCGACCGTAGCACAGGAACGCCGGCGTGTATCCCGTCACTACGCTCTCAGCCGTGCGCATGGCAAAGGCGATTTCGGGGATGTGACGGTCCCAGTCTTTGTGGTCGGAGCAGTAGGCTCGGAGGCACTCCTTCACTGTGCCGTTGTGGCGCTCCACCATCTGTCCTGCCGGTCGATAAGGCACTGTATGGCGGTCCTTGATGCCCCAGTGCTTAAGGAGACCTTGCCATACGGTGCTCACGAAGGGCTTTCCATTGTCACTGGATATTGTCGCAGGTGTGCCATGACGGCAGAACACCTGCACCATACACTCCACAATGTTGCTGCTTGTTGCCGCGCGCAGCGGGAAAAGTTCGATAAACTTGGTAAACTTGTCAATTACCACGAGCAGGTACTTGTGGCGTCGAGGCGTTGATGGCAGAGGTCCCACGATGTCTACACTGAGCTCCTCCATGGGCGAAGTGGCCCACTGACTGCTCATAAGCCCTTCGGGCCTCTGGCGGCGGGCCTTTGTCCGCTGGCATACCTGGCAGCACCGGACGTACTTGGATACATCGGCTCGCATGCCCAGCCACACGAAGCGTTCAGAAACACGTTTGAGGGTTTTGAAAAACCCTGCGTGAGCTCCAGTGGGGTGGTCGTGTGCCATCTTGAGCACTAACTGGCGAAGTTGGTCCGGGAGCCAGGGTACCTTCTTGTTACCTCTGTGCTGAACGAGCAACCCATTGGCCTCCAGCTCTGTCGTCTCAGCCAGGTCGTCCAGTAGGCGTTGATCTGTACTGTCGTCTGGGAGCTTCGTTCCCTGCATCACCATTCTGAGCTTGAACAAAAGGGCGTCTTGATGCTGCTCGTGGACCAGGCTTCCCGGGTCACTCAGGACTGTGGCATCGTCCATCATGGACACTGTCGCAACTGGTTCAAAACTGATTTGGCACTCAGTCTCCGGGGCAGCAATGGGGAAAAGCGTCTCTGGCAGGCTGTGTCCAGGGGTGTCCATACACTGAAGCGGAGCTCTGCTGAGGGCGTCGGCTGGGACATTTGCAAGCCCCCTCCGGTGCTTGATCTTGCAGTTGAAGCCCTGAAGCCGAAGAACCCATCGCTTGACTCTTGGTGAGGCTTGGTCTGTACTAAACATCCAGGCCAGTGAGGAGTGATCGCAGTGGATCTCGAACTCTGTGAACTCCAGGTAGGGTCGGAATTTGTCCACAGCCCAAACCACCGCGAGACACTCCCACTCCTGAACAGTGTAGTTCCGCTCCGACTCAGTCAGCACTCTACTGATGAACGACACTGGCTGTAGCTGGTCTGGGCCCCTCTGCAGCAGCACTGCCGCAATGCCAACACCACTGGCATCAGTCTCGACGACGAAGGGCTGATTCAGGTCGGGAAGACTCACAACCACGTCGTGGGCCAGGGACTCCTTGAGTGCGGCAAATGCTTGCTCCTGACGATGAGTCCAATGCCATTTATGGTCCTTCCTCAAGAGGTCTGTGAGTGGTCGGGCAACAATGGAAAATTGAGGAATAAAGCTCCGGTAGTAGCCGGATAACCCCAGGAAGGCTTGCAGTTGCTTGACTGTGCTGGGCCGAGGGTAGTCCAACACCGCAAGCACCTTCTCATCGTCGGGTCTGCATTCCCCTGGGGAGATCACGTGGCCCAGGAACTTCAGAGACCGACGGCAGACTTGGACCTTGTCTGGATTGATGGTAAGTCCCGCTGACCTGATGCGCTGCAACACCTCCCGCACATGCGTGACGTGGCTCTCCAGAGTATCCGAATACACGAGGACGTCGTCCATAAATGCCATGGTGAATTGGTGATTTATGCCGTCCAGAACCTTGTCCATCAAGGTTTGGAAGGTGGCTGGGCCCCCTGCCACTCCAAATGGCATCCGTGTGAACTCGAAGGTTCCCAGGTGGCAGATGAAGGCGGTCTTGGGAATGTCCTCTTTGCACACAGGAATTTGAAAAAAACCCTGAGACAGGTCGAAACTCGAAAACCACTCTGCCTGACCCAATTGTGCCAGCAGCCAGTCCGTCCTGGGCATGGGGTAGACTGGTACCCTGGTACATGCGTTGAGTGGCCGATAATCGATGGCAAGCCTGAAGCCACCTGACTTTTTTGCCACCAACACTGGTGCGCTTGTCCACTGGCTGTTGCTTCGACGGATGAGTCCTTGTTCCAACAAGTCCTGCACACAGCCGTCAATGATCTTCTGCTTTTTGGCGTTGACAGGGCGCAGCTTGCAGCGCACGGGCGGACTCTTTCCCGTGTCTATCTGATGATGAGCGAGGGTGGTGCAGCCCGGAGCTGTGGTAAACATCGGCCGAAAGTCCACCAGCACATTCTCCATGCAAGTGTCCACCTCCGGTGCATGACTCTGAGGCCGATCACCTCTGGAGGTGGTCTGGTCAGAGGCGCTGGCGCAGGCAGGTTCTTCCTCCGTGAAGATGCCCTGGAGGCAGTAGGAATCCTCCCCGGCCAGAGGCTCCTCAGTTGGCCTCTTTTCACCCTTAGCAAACGGAACAATGCACTGGGGTTCTGTGCCAATCGTCCACCCCCCAAGTGCCACGTGCACTGAAATGCCGGTGATCGTCAAAAAATCTCTCCCCAGGACAATGTCTCGGCAAAGGTCGGGCACAAACAGGAAGCGCTGCCTCCGAGAACCGGACGCCCATTGGATTTTGCACCTGAGCGATGTGGAGGACTGAGACCAGCCTGTTGCGAGGCGCAGCGTGCGGACTTCCCTCTTGTGACTGGCTCCTGTAGCTTGGGCAGCTGTCATCGCCGGCAGTCCCAGCAGACTAACGCTGGAGCCCGTGTCGAGCAGTGCCTGGAAGGTCGTCGAACCAATCCGCACGTCCAAGAGGGGTTCTTTTCTACCGGCAGTTGTCGCCACCTGCAACGCGCTGTCGTAGATGCCCGCCGGGGCAGCATCTACCAGTTCCCGTTTCCCGGGCACTGCGCTTGGAAGTGGCCCGGCTGCTGGCATCGGAAACAGATAAGAGACGCAGCGGGTGTTGACGCAGCCCGCCGACCGGTGGCGCAGTGACGAGCGGCGTGGCCGATTCCTCCGCAGCGCTGGCAGTGAGCCTGTCCTCCGCTAGGCTGCTGCCACTGGGTTGCCGGCAGCGCGAAGGTGGCTGGGGGCAGCATCGGTAAAGCTGGGCCGTAAAGCTGGTCCCGGTGGTAGGATGGCTGGATCGCTGCCGGGTGAAGTGGCCAGGGGTACGTCGACTGCGTAACTGCGGCCGGGGAAGCGAACGTTGCAGCCGCCGTCGATGGCTGGACCGCTGCCGAGTGAAGTGGCCAGGGGTACGTCGACTGCGTAACTGCGGCCGGGGAAGCAAACGTTGCAGCTGCCGTCATCGCCGGTTGCGGTCTGGGAAGGCCCGGAGCACCAGCAGCAGGCCTGAAGGCGAGGTCTCTGGCCACTTGGTTGGTTTGGGGAGGCGGCGGCACGTACTGCAGCCGTCGCCAAGCGCGCTGCATGAGGCCGTCGGCCGCTTTCGCCAGCTCCGCCAGGTTCGCGAACTGCGCCCCCTCTGCCAAGTCCTGCAGCTGCGGGTGCATTTGCCGGAGGACCCGGTCCACTTTCTCCGAGTCCGGCACCTCTTCTCCGATTCGGTCGTAGTATGCCGCAATCGTGTAAATAAACTCCTTCAAGTTCTCTTCCGGGTGCTGTGTACGGAGTCGCAGCTCATCCTTGAGGCGACGCTTCGCGTCGATGGAGGCGAACTCCGCACGGAACGCGGACGTGAAGTCATCCCAGCTGGCGAAGTCGCCCACAAAGCGCCACCACAATTTCGCACTGCCCTCCAGTGCGGCTGGCACGACCTGGCTCAGTCGTTTGTCGGCGGCGACTCCCGTCACCAAACAAAAGTTCTCGAGCCGCTCCAGAAATTCCTCGGGCGACTGAAGATCGCTGAAGCCCGAGAACCTCGGCAGCTGGGCCGCGATCCTGGGCACAGGGCCACCGGAGGGATGGACTGTGGCCACAGTCGCCACGGGCACCTCGGCGCCGGTCAGCATCGGAGCCGCCATTACGGCTTGCCGCAATTGTGCTGCAGCGTGCTCACGTTGCAGCGCTGATCCGTCGGTCTGTCGAAGGAGCTGCTGAACTAGCCCCTCTGGCACTGTGAAGGAGTCCATGGTGCAATCCCGGACGAGCCCCCACTTGTCACGCTTGGCTCGGCTGAGCGGACACTTTCACATACGTGCTACACTCCTTTATTCTTCCAGCGCCATCCTTCACTCCCCGCCGTCCCTCGCTCCTTCCCGCGACTCGCGGGAGCGGGGACAAGTGTTGTCCCTAGGAATCCCCCCTAGGGAAGGAGTGTCCCCGCACGGTCCCGGTTGTCGCCGGCGCCACACACTCCTCACATTCCTTACAAACTAAAAGTGCCAGATTTTTTTTTTAATTGTTACTTCTCTAGTATTACACATAAAATTTGAAAAGTTTATTACACAAAAAGCAGTGGAGGCGGAAAAAATATTTGCCAACAATCAGCGCCGCAAAACTACTCGGACGAGCCGAGCTTGTCCATGGAATTGAGGGCAACTGAAAAACCACTGGACGAGCTGAGCTCGTCCATGGAATTTTGAGCCAGAAAGTGGCCGACGAGCTCAGCTCGTCCAAGGCACTTAAGGGGTTAAGTGTGTGCCTTGAGTTGGGCATTGGGAGACAAGAAATGGGAACGTCGGTCACCTCGAGGCGATGGGAGATCTCGGGCAGCTTGGTCAGGGTCGGCTCCTTGTAGATGAACTCTTCACCGTCCAGGTCGCCGAACCGTGGTCCGTAGAATCCCACCCGGAAGTAGGTTCCAAACACACGTTTGCCGGCCTGCCATGGGGACAACCAGTCAAACACCCTTTTCTTAGTTAGATCCTTTCTTCGCATATACTTCATTTGAGCTCATTGCATCAGGAGGGAAACGACAGCTCCCAGTACTGATGAAAAAAATGGTAAAACAAAAAAATAATGATTCAAAACAACCAAACATTAAGATAGAGATGCTCTAAAGTCTCGCACCATGTTCCTCCATGACAAAATAGATCCGCAACTTTTTTTTCTCACCCTTTTAACTTAGAATCTGGCCCCCCATTGAGACCCATGCAGTTTATGAATGACGCGCTTAATACATCCGACATCAACTGCTCGACTCATTTTGAAAATTAAAAATAAAACTGTACTCCTCACTAGCTATGTTTTTTCTTTCGCCTCGTGTCCGTGCAGCATCCCTCCTAATCCCAGCTATTTGGGGGCACAGTTAAAGGTACAGTTGATCGATTGATAATTGATGAAAGAAAATAATCTTACGCAAGCATGCACAAAGGCATTGGCAAACTGCTAGCATCGTCACCAATCGATAGGTGCGCCATCTGTATGACAGTTCCACACAAGCTGCCTTGAAGCACACTCAATTTATTCAATGAATCCTTCATGTTTCGTCGGGACAGGGTCGCAAGGTCATTTGGGAGGCACCTCATGAGAGCACAATTCAGGACAAGGGCATCCTGAATCGTGCCCTCATTAGGTGCTTCCCAAATGACCTTGCAGCCCTGTTTCAACGAAACATGAAGGAGTCATAGAGTAAACTGAGTCATGGACTGGCGGTATCCCAGGCATGCCAAAATCTAGCACAATATTGAAGTTCCTTAGGATCCCAATAGAGAGCCGTGAGGAGCGGCTCAGGGAGCCTCAGCGGCTTTCCTCTGAATTTCCGTAAGAGGAACGAAGGAAACTTGCGGCCTGCAGTACGTCAGCCAACAATATCAGCCCTCGGTCCTTGCCCTGGAAATTGGAGCAATCTCTCCAGAACTTGGATCATGCCCACTCTGTAGCAGTGGGGGACACCAACTGCAGGCCTAGCTGCAAAGCCAACATCACCTCCACGACAAAACATAGGAAACTGAGGGCTACGAGGTGCTGTTTCAGATGCGGCAGATTACCATCTGGCGTGACAGACAGGACAGTTAAGTAACACCCACCAGCAGTGGACGTCACTTAACTGTCCTCTGCGACATATGGCGTTTCTCTCAAGACAGGTTAAGAAGGAGCTGCTGTCAATGAATCACGTAGGGAGGGGTGAGTTCATCCAGACAGTTACGGGACCAGCACTGGTACGCACGGACGTCTCATTGATTCTGCTCCAAACTGCAAAGGCCTGGGCAACAGACACGAATGAAAGCAGATTGGTACGAGTTCTCCTGGGGACCGAAAGTCGGCAAACCATAAAACAAGAAATGGCGGAGAGTCTTCAATGTCCAGCCATCAATACTGAAGACCTTTGGACACATAAAACGGCCGAAACATTATTGCTGTTGCCGTGTGGTTTTGACTCTTCAAAGCATATAGAGCAAAAGCAAGGTTACAATTGAGGCACTGGAGATGCCTGAACTCTGTATTGTGACGACACTGTCCCACCACAGTAATCTTCTAAATTGTTCACACAGAAGCGCTTATAACTGCTGACGTCTATCCTCCAGATTTACAGGGCTCTGATGCGTATTGGAGAGTGGTGACTGGATAAATTTGCTGTCTAATGAATCAACTGACAACTGTACATTCTTTCTTTGGGTAGATGATGCAGAGATGCTACAACAGTTCAACAGGCATTTAGAGTTCTGCCCCTCCAAAATGTTCCACATCTTCAGAAAACGTACTGACCAAGTCCTACGCTACCGCCACACTTCATGTCGCAGCTTCTGCGCCCATTCCCGTGGCGAGCCCGGTTCCAGTCACGAGGAACACGACTGCAGAGAAAATCTTCAACCACAAAAAAGACGCGCACCAACAACCGCCATTGGTGCAGATGCAGAACAGCGTACGCACACACGACTCCGACTAGAATAAGCTTTCCTCGTCTGCTTCCCGATCTGTGCCAAGCGCCTCTAGGCTTGCAAGGTACTTTGCAAGCCCAGCCTGTTGCAACCAAAACCGCCAGCTTCACGTTTTCCCGAGACAAACACTTCAATGGCAGTCCAACCAATGCCTGCCAGGAGTGAAGGTACTGGGAGCATTAGTTGATTCGATGACGTCAATTTTCATCCACTCAAGGTCATCATCGAACCAGTCGTGAACACTGACCTCGATTGCGACTGCGTACCGCACTGGATGTTCGATCCCTGGTTCAAGATGAACGTCGCGTTTTCTGGGGGAAACAGCTTTTCGTGTTTCAGATCCTTGTGCAGTCCTCGTGCCCAATGGCTCAAGGTTCTCCTCGACAAGATCCCCAATTAGTGCGAAGAATTCTACTACTGTGCGTGTTCTAAGGGGTCGAACCAGAAGTTCACAATGACCATCGAGTTAAAGCACCGAGCAGGCTGCACATGAGGACCGACGAGGTTCAACACCCACTGGTCTGTGCCATCATGAGCGGATCATGTAGCACCTTTGGAAGCGGTGGAAAAGAAAATACCGACACATATACAACTTGTGACGTAGTAATCATGTACGAAAGCACGCCCCCTCTGCTGTGGAAACTTGATCATGCGTCGAAGGTACTTCCCAGCAGGGACGGTGTCACTCGAGCCTGCATGCCTCGCCTTTTTGATGGTTGCCGTGGAGCTATGCCACCCTGCTCGGCCTCTGCATCTGCTCGAGGCAGCTTAGAGGGTTGAGTAAAATTATACGAGCCAGATCAGGCTGACAAGGACTGGTAAGCATGGCAGAATATGTGATAGGCCTTCCAGGGCACCGCATACGCAGGATTCACTCTTATTTCTGAGACGTGCCATGGGAGTCGAGCGAGAAAGTGGCTCATTTCACTTTTACGTAATTAAAATGTTTCAACCACGAAACCTGCGACCACACCTTTGTGCCAGAAAGTCAGCTTCTGCAAGTTCCAAAGACCAAGCCTGGATAGCTCGGTCGGCAAACCACTCGTCTCACAATCTCGAGGTGGTGAGTTCAAACCCGATGGGGGATCTTTTTATATGCTTTCCTATGGGCGTAACACTTTCCGTGTCAATTTTCTGTTACATCCGGCTGTTACAGACGAACTTTACAGTAAAGCGTTACAGAACTCGATAAAAATCAGCCGATAAAACACATTCTGTATTAAAAAACTAGGAAGATGAGGAGGCAACTGGTCATTCTGTACTTGGAGGATAAATGGATGCAGGCAGTAGAGAGTGGTCTTAGCGTTTCTTTTAACAACTGGCTCCCACTTGTACATAGAGGGCAGTTTCACGTCATGTACTTCCCGCTCGAAATCTTGCTGGATACGATGTAGATAAACTTCTGCCGCACGTCTTGCTATGCATCAAAGAGCACCTGAATGTTACCGCGTCGGCAGTACTGGGTTTGTAGGGGGCAAGTGCACATTTATCGCTGGTGGCTTCGTTGCTGGGAGAGGGTGAGTACAGCAGCGGCACCCTCGCTGTTCTGCCGATAAGGGTCGGGCACAGCACGTTTGGCCAATAGCGATTGTGCTGAGGGTCGTTTGAATGTGCTCCTGCCACATGCTCTTTCTCGTCTCTGGTTGCCTGTTCCCTGGACCCTCTAAGCCTTTGTGAGCAAGAAGAGGGCGCCCTAAGTATACGCCCCAGCAAGCGGCGGCTACTCGACGCTCTAAACGCGCCCGGGAGAGAGAATATTGTCCATGTGTAGGCGCCAATTAAAGGCCTCACCCTGGGTGTAACGATGGAATACATTTGACACTCAGATCATGCTGTGTGTGAAAGTGAAGTGGCACCTTATTGAGCAAAGAAAGGACACGCTGGTGCAACCAAGCAATTTGTACAGTGCATTCGTGAGAATGTGTTGGGTGCTAGCTGTCCTGTATGTGATTGGTCTACGGGAGACAGTGCGCGAGGCAACATCACCGAAAAATCGTATCAATCATTAAGCAATATCGTCGAAACATCACACCAGCGGACGCTTCCATTCGTGTCACTTCGCATTATCGTTGGCACAATTCTTTTCAGCTCGCTCGAGTTATTTTGCATCACGATCGATTGTGCCAGCCAGAGCAGCTGGGAACATAAAAGAGCACCAGCTGGCATTCAATTCTTATACGTATCCTATTTCGTCTTAAGGGAGAACGCAGTGATGCGATTCTTCCGAGTCATTTTGGAGCACCTTTTGGGGCAGCTAAAAGTCAATTCTGGCTTTCAGCTCCGTCACCCATTTCCTTCGTTTTCTTGTATGCCGTTTTCCCAGTTTGCTGGTTGCCTCAATGGAGAAGGGGGAAGGAACGCAAGGGTCTCCGCGCACCTACGTGTATGCTTGCATGCTTTTGGCACCTCGGCCTTTGTAATAAGCGTGGTTCGCCACGGATACACTTCCAATATTCCGGTTCGAAATACGTGAATTTCGGTCGGGACCACGATGAGCTTCAATAAAAGCGATGATATGGAAAAAGTGATTTCGTTATAACAAGGAATTACTGTATGTGGTTTTTAACCAAACAAAAATACTATTGCGATTTTTGTCTGTTTCAAGACCCACGCCTCTTCTTCAGGCAATAATCGAAAATTCCGAATATTCGGGCAAGCCTACCATAACATTTCGGCCATATAGCGAGGCTCAGATATTATGCTTTATAAATAAAGCAAAATTACGTTTTGGCGCAACGTTGGTACAGATTCATCGCATTTTGTCGAAATGTAGCAGGATGTAGCAGGGTAAACACTTTGGCGCAGCTTGGCACAAATGGCACAGCAATCACGTCACTGGAGGACACTACCCAAAAGTGTAAACTTTTGAACCCTCTTTGGCTTAATATGAATGGTATTTACAATATATAGGAGTTGGCAGCTGCAAAAAACTAGTTGTCTTTTTAGGAACACATTGACATTGTTTAGGACAACTATCATTAGAGAACTAATGTAATACCCAACATTTTTCTTCTCTAGACACACAGCAGAATGCCTGGAGAGTGCAACTGGGAAAACAAGTTTCCAAAAACTTACTTACTTTATGCTAACATTGTGCTGAAAAATCATATGAGTTTTTTTGCCTTTTATGACGTCAATAAAATCTTAACAACTTTTACAAAAAAAAAATCCACAAAGTAAAAAGCAATGCCACAGTTGCATCGCCCATTAAATTCCAGTTAGGACAAACAATGAGTGAGCCCTTCCTTTTGTCCCGTCACCAAACGATAGTTTTCCTGAAGTAAAATTTAAACCAAAAAGGTGGAACGGAAAAAAACGCCTTCAAATTGCTCAAACTTGTAGCATTCCTTAGCATTGATGGACCGAAAATAATTTATAAAAAAAAAAGAAAGAAATAACCATGCAGTGTGAACAAATGAAACTTTCTGTGAATACTTGCTAAATGTTGAATGTGGCATTTTTTTAAATATTTTTTTTTTGTAGAAAACTGTTTTTAAGGTAGTGTCTCTTTAAGATGAGCCAGTGACCGGGAAGTCGATGTGTCCGTAGTCCAAATGGCGGCAATATTCGGAAGGAAAAACAGAGCAAGCCAATTGCTTTCTGCGTTCCTGGTCGTACTTATCAAGTTCTGTAGTCAATGGTGCCACTCGTCATGCTTGTGCGCTTCACAACACCAAAAACGACTACCGTAATATCCCGAGTCATCGCCCACCCCCCTACCGCCTGAAATTCATTAAAAAAATGGGGTGGGCCATGTCTCGATGGGTGAGCACAAACACTTGAAAAAAAAAAGCGGAAAAAAACCGCCTATTTTTCTCTGCGTATCTAGCGCTGATGCACAAGAGATACATCAAACTCAAAACTCGATTTAGTTTCATTGTTTTATAAAAAAAAATGCTCACGAAAGAATATTTTACTATAGCGAAGTCCGTTGCTTGCATACGCGCTAGAAACACCCCTGATCGGCATATAGCGCGAACGTTTGTTCGGTGAAAGAATGTCACCACTATGTTCTAAGAGTTAGTAAAAAAAAACAAGAAAGAAAAGTCTACAAGAAAATAGAAAAACCGACCAGGCGCAACGAGCGAGCGAGCGGACCAAAGAAGCGACCAAGAGCAATGCTGGGAAAGCGGGAAAGCCTGCGGTCGCGTTGGCAAATACTTTGGCGTCGGGCCAAGTCGGGCGCCTTGTCAATTGCAAGCTCTTGCGCAACTTTCTTGTTTGGTGCGTACATACGTGCGTCCGTCCGTGCACGGCGGGCTATCAATGCACGGTTGGGACGCTCTGCAAACGTCTGTGTAGGGCGTTCCAGCAAAGCTTTATTTACGCGTTGGCTTTGCCTAAAATATTGCACAACCGCAGTCACGACGGGCGGGAAGAAGGAGCGGGTTCGCGGTGACCTTACTTCGGCGGAGACAGACTTTGACCTAACACTCCGGGGTTACGTTAACAAACTCTTATTTTGTTATCTCCATCGTTTTCTTTTCGCACGGATACACGACCACTTTGGGGTCGCTCACGGAGGTAAACAAAAAGAAGTGTCTTTCCCTCCTTTGTTTTACTTTGTCACCGACGTCCTCGAACTGTAAGGTCCGTGGCCGCGTCATCCGGGTAGGATGAGTGTTCGCGGATCGCAGAGTCCGCGCTGGGGTATTTGAAGGGGTGGGCGATGACTCGGTGTTTTTTCGGAAATCGATATTGGCCCAAAAAATGGGGTGGGCGATGGCTCGGGGATGGGCGATGACTCGGGATATTACGGTATAAGAACTGAGCATCTGCATGCAAACTAACGAAGAGTGTGGCGACGCTGTCCATCAACATGGCAGAATGCGGATGTGCAGTTGGAGCTTCCTGCATAGACTTTCTTTTATTTAAAAACAGGGAAAAAGATTTGTTTTTTTATCTTTGTCTCTTTTTTTTTTTTTCTTCCACAAACATTTTCCTTCGATTTTTCGGAAGAATGGGCAGTTGTTACACTGACCTTACGATCTGTGGTTGGGGCCCTCCAGGCAGAGACGGACTAGTTGTGAACAAAGAAAGCTTCCCTCTGTTATCTTCTTTATTTTTTCATTGTCCCGAATGTTCTCCGACCAAAGAGTTTGCGGTGACAAAGTTCGGGGAGGATGGGTGTTCGCTCATCTTGTGGCCTGTGGGTCGGGTTTTTGCAAAGGTGGGCGATGCGATGGCGTCTTTTAAGGAAATGGTTGTTTTGCCCTAAAAGTGGGGTGGGCAATGTCTCAGGGATGCGTGGAGAGTCGGGATGCTACTGTAGTTATATGAAAATTAATTGAGCTTAGAAGTAGAGAAGTGGAAGGTTGGAACAACCTTCACGAGTTCAGCTGAATTTTCGTTTACGCAGGTGCACGGTCGTGAAAGGCTTCGAGAAACTATTCAATATTCAATTAGAAAATATTCGGCTAAACGAGTATTTGAACTCGAAATTCACGATTCGCACAGGTCGACATAAAATACAAGAACTGCTTACCTGCTGCACTACCTTTGTGAAGGCCTCGTGCAGTTTGCTGTGGATGTTGGCCAACTTTTTGTAGTCCCGATGGGACTCCGATATGGGGATCAGGATCTTGTAGACCTCGTTAGTGGCCTCGTACATGCCAGCCTGGTCACGAGCAATCGTGAAACGTTACAAACTGGCATCACAACTACAGAACGTGCAGCAGAACTTTCAATCGGACTGTATAAAAAAAGACATCAAAGAAGAAAGTGTTTTTGTACAAGTGGCACTACACTATATAGCTTGCTTAGGATGAAGGATGCACTTGTTCAGATTGTTGGGTTTGTTCCATGTGGCTACGCTGCAACATGTGCTACTAAAAGTAGCTCCATTTAAGCATGTTTTAGTGCATTACTAGTGCACTCAAAACAGGAATATGAGCACTTGTGAGCATGGATAAAATTTGTTCAGATACTAATGACTGAAGGACAGTCTCGGAACCCAAATTTAAGAAAACAAAATACTATGTTTGCTCACAGATGACCTGATGAACACTACATGTTAGCTGATTCAAGCCTAATAGTAGTAACATCTACAGGTTTTCCCGCTCATTTTAATCCAAGCGACGACCAATTTAATCCCGGGGTCAGTCAATTTAATCCAAGCGCCATACAATTTAATCCAAGCGCCACACAATTTAATCCCGGGGTCAGTCAATTTAATCCAGAATATATATATATGCACTTATTGTGTTCAGTGGTCGTGTTTCGCTTACACATTTGGTAACTTAGAACAATTGTTTATACAATTAGAATTTTGGGGGGGCAATTGAGAATTTGATCACTAATGTGATTACTTTGAGTTACTAGTCCCACTATTGACGAGGCTTAACTGATATGTTGGTTTACTCTTTTTAGAGCGCAGCTCTTAGGCACCCGTTTCCGGCTTAAGCGGCGTCGCCGTCGGCGTAACCACGCGGTGAATGATGGGTAAATTTCCCCGCTAAATTTAGCGGAAAAATATCCCCGCTAAATCTAGCGGAAAACTTTCCCTGCTAAATCTATAGAAATGTTTTCCCAGCTAGATTTAACGAAATATTTGCCCCGCAGAGTCTAGTGGAAAAATTTTCCGCTAAGTCTAGCAGAAAATTTTCCCCGCTAAATCTAGTGTAAAATTCTTCGTGCTTAATTTAGCGGAAAATTTTTTCCCCGCTAAAACTAGCGGAAAGTTTTCAGAGCTAGATTTAGCGAAAAATTTGCCCCGCAAGACCTAGCGGAAAAGTTTCCCCGCTAAATCTAGTGGAAAAATTTCCCCGCTAAATCTAGCGGAACAATTTACCAGCTAGATTTAGCGGAAAATTTTCCCCGCTAAGTTTTTCGGAAAATTTTCCCCGCTAAATTTAGTGTAAAATTTTTCCCACTAAATTGAGCGGAAAATTTTTTCTCGCTAAATCTCGCGTAAAGCTTTCCCCGCTAAATCTAGCGGAAAATGTTCCCAGCTAGATTTAGCGAAAAATTTGCCCCGCAATGTCTAGCGGAAAAGCTTCTCCGCTAAATCTAGTGGAAAAGTTTTCCCGCTAAATCTGGCGGAAAATTTTCCCGCTAAATTTAGCGGAAAAATTTCCCAGCTAGATTTAGCGGAAAATGTTTCCCGCCATCTAGCGGAAAAGTCTCCCCGCTTAACCTAGTGGAAAATTTTTCCCGCTAAATGTAGCGGAATATTTTCCCCGCTAAATCTAGCGGAACAATTTACCAGCTAGATTTAGCGGAAAATTTACCCCGCTAAGTCTTGCGGAAAATTTTCCCCGCTAATACTAGTGTAAAATTTTTCCCACTAAATTTAGTGGAAAATTGTTTGCCGCTAAATCTAGCGTAAAGGTTTCCCCGCTAAATCTAGCGGAAAAATTTTCCAGCTAGATGTAGCGGAAAATTTGTCCCGCTAAGTCTTGCGGAAAAGTTTCCCCGCTTAATCTAGTGGAAAATTTTTCCCGCTAAATCTGGCGGAAAATTTTCTCCGCTAAGTTTAGCGTAAAATTTTCCCCGCTAAATCTAGCGGAAAATTTCCACAGCTAGATTTAGCGAAAAATTTGCCCCGCAAAGTCAAGCGGAAAAGCTTCCCCGCTAAATCTAGTGGAAAAATTTTCCCGCTAAATCTGGCGGAAAATTTTCCCCGCTAAATCTGGCGGAAAATTTTCCCCGCTAAATTTAGCGGAAAAATTTCCCAGCTAGATTTAGCGGAAAATTTTTCCCGCCGTCTAGCGGAAAAGTCTCCCCGCTTAATCTAGTGGAAAATTTTTCCCGCTAAATCTAGCGGAATATTTTCCCCGCTAAATCTAGCGGAACAATTTACCAGCTAGATTTAGCGGAAAATTTTCACCGCTAAGTCTTGCGGAAAATTTTCCCCGCTAATACTAGTGTAAAATTTTTCCCACTAAATTTAGTGGAAAATTGTTTCCCGCTAAATCTAGCGTAAAGGTTTCCCCGCTAAATCTAGCGGAAAAATTTTCCAGCTAGATGTAGCGGAAAATTTGCCCCGCTAAGTGTTGCAGAAAAGTTTCCCCGCTTAATCTAGTGGAAAATTTTTTCCGCTAAATCTGGCGGAATATTTTCCCTGATATATCTAGCGTAAAATTTTCCCCGCTAAATCTAGCGGAAAATTTCCCCAGCTAGATTTAGCGGAAAATTTGCCCCGCCAAGTCTAGCTGAAACGTTTCCCCCCTTAATCTAGTGGAAAATTTTCCCGCTAAATCTAGCGGAAAATTTTCCCCGCTAAGTCTAGCGGAAAATTTTTCCCCCTAAATCTAGCTGAAAGTTTTCCGCGCTAAATCTAGCGGAAACTTTTCCCAGCTAGATTTAGCGAAAAATTTGCCCCGCGATGTCTAACGGAAAAGCTTCCCCGCTAAATCTAGCGGAAAATTTTCCCCGCTAAATCTAACGTAACGTTTTCCCCTCTAAATCTAGCGGAAAATTTCCCCAGCTAGATTTAGCGGAAAATTTGCCCCGCCAAGTCTAGCGGAAAAGTTTCCCCGCTTAATCTCGTGGAAAACTTTTCCCGCTAAATCTAGCGGAAAATTTTCCCCGCTAAATCTAGCGGAAAATTGTTTCCCGCTAAATCTAGCGTAAATTTTTTCCCGCTAAATCTAGCGGAAAATTTCCCCAGCCAGATTGAGCGGAAAATTTGCCCCGCCAAGTCTAGCGGAACATTTTCCCCGCTTAATCTAGTGGAACATTTTCCCCGCTAAATGTAGCAGAAAATTTTCCCCGCTAACTTTAGCGGGAACTTTTTCCCGCTAAATCTACCAGAAAAGTTTCCCTCGCTAAGTTTGGAAAAACTTTCCCCGCTAAATCTAGCGGAAATTTTCCCTGCTAAATTTAGCGGAAAATTTTCCCCACTAAATCTAGCTTTAAATTTTCCCCACTAAATCTAGAGGAATATTTTCCCCGCTAAATTTAGCGGAAAAATTGTGGGGTTCAGGAAAGACGTCCGTCGATGCAGTATAACAAACTGATCTTTATAACCGCAATACACCCTTTCCGGAATTCAGTGCCATCTGGTGACTCAAATGGCAGTTTAACTTTTACCGTACTAATGGCGGCGATGAACCTGTGGTCTGCAGTACTGTATGGGGCACCGTCACTTTCGCAAGACAACGGTAAATGAGAATGCGCGAGTCACTGACCATTTCTTTTTAAATCTCTCTTGAGTGTCGATGGCGAAAAAGATGCAACCAGTCAGAACGAAGTGCCAGCTCACATAGACGCCTTGATAAAATTCTATACATCAAGGGGCTTTGAAGCGGAGTGTGTGCTACTAACAGATTGACTGGGTTTGAATTAGAAATGAACGCTCACGCAGCTCTTGCATCCGATTCCTGCTTCATGTCGCGCTAACATGTAGAATGTATAGGCATCGAATCATCTGCTTAGGAGCATCTTCAACTTCTCTTTCATCACTAAACAGAAGGCCGCCATTAGTATAGCACATATGCCATTTTTCAGATGATGATAGTGACCAAAGTTGCCAGTCGGGATACCGAAAAGGGTCTATAAAAGTGAAAAAGATCATCAAAAGGGGGCTCCGCTGAGACCGCCCTGCTGCACCGTCGAACGCTGCTAGTCTCGTGCTGTTCTGCTCGAGCCCGCAGCTCGGTCCCGTCGGTGCTGCTCGTGCCGCACGCTTAAAACGTCAATAGGGAGTTTTTGTAGGCCGCGTTTCCCCCTCCGCTAAGCCCTCCACAACGGAAAAGCCGTTACTGCGCCTGCGCGCCAATGGCATTGACTGTAGAGTTCCGGCTAGCGTAGCTGGTTGCGGAGAGCATTGCGGGACAGCAGAAACGATCTACGAAAATTCCCTATTAGCTCCCGACGTTGCGTGAGCCACCACAATAAGTGTCGCGCTTTGGCACTACAAATTTTCTCCGCTAAATCTAGCGTGAAATTTTCCGCTAAATTCAGCGCAAAATTTTCTCCACTAAAAACAGCAAAAAGAATTCCCCGCTAAATTTAGCGGGAAATATTCCCCGCTAGATTTAGTGGAAAATTTTCCCCTTTAGATCTAGCGAAAAAATTTCCCCGCCAAGTTTGGCGGAAAATTTCTCCTAAATGGAAGGCGAGCAGGAGAGGAAGAAAAGGCAAAGCTTCCTCTCCGCACCTTCCCCTCCTCCTCCTCAAGAGCTGCGCTCTAATGCGGCGTTACAAGGAGTTGTAAACGGCTTTCACTTTTTTGTTACCTCGAGTTATTGCGGCGCCCTCGAATATATTGAAGTTAAATGGACGTTTTGTTTCATCTTTTTTATTACTAGACAATTAGGAAGGCGAGCAGGAGAGGAAGAAAAGGCAAAGCTTCCTCTCCGCACCTTCCCCTCCTCCTCCTCAAGAGCTGCGCTCTAATGCGGCGTTACAAGGAGTTGTAAACGGCTTTCTTTTTTTGTTACCTCGAGTTATTCCGGCGCCCTCGAGTATATTGAAGTTAAATGGACGTTTTGTTTCATCTTTTTTATTACTAGACAATTACAAGACAACTAGGTACAATTCAGATGATACAAGTACTATTGCAATTTATAATAACTTTTTTTATAACTTCGCGCTAATATTGACGGACTGATATTATTTCAAGTTTAGTGTAGGTATGGCTTCCACTTCTAATCATTTCGACCTATTAATAAC